ACATAAAGGTACATGGCCCCACCGCAAATTTTTAAGTTCTTTGCTTAAAAATCTTCTGAAGCACTTCGTGAAAATATTCATCATAATTTTTTTTGGAACACATAGTGCCGACCACTTCGAACAAGTTGGTGGATTTTCCAATTGATCGGTAATTGACTCGATAAGAGAAAATTAGTTCCGTCATAATCAACTCGAACTTTCGGAAAGAAGCAATAACGTTTTGCTTAAAATAATAAAACAAGACTCTTGTGTAACCTTTGTACTCTACAAATGAGTTGTTGTTACGTGTAAAAAAGAATTTAATCTTGAAAAATTTCTTCAGCATTTTGAAATTTTTATATTCCTTTCGGATTCCTCCAGAATCTTCTTTGTAATTTTTTTTTATTGTATTCGATTGTAAAGAGTTATTTTCATAAGATATACATGGAAGCGAATCCAAAAGGTCTTTTACGCGATCCAGGTATTAAGAATTTTCTAAAACTTTCAATAGTTGAAACTATCTTAAAAATTTGAACCAATAATATTAAAAAATGTGAGTGGTTCAAAATGCAATTCCGCAAATTAAGGAACGAAAATAATCGTTCCATTTACTAATAATCGCAATTAAGTATGCAGGACAGCAATCTTATGTGCGGTTAAGAAACATTAACATTCTTAATTGCAGGTTTAACAGTCCTAATGGTCTTAAAACAGTAAGCGAGCGTCTCATAACATAAGAAGGCAAGTGCATATCGTATAATTTACCGACAATCACGATGACTCTTTATTTAACCTGCCTATTTTATGGATTGTTGTAGACAGAGTTGTCGCCGTCGCTAATTGGTTCTTCCGGAATCAAAATAGTGAATTATTCTTATACCTTCTCAAATTAATTTTGGTTTGTATGCATATATATTAAACTCTGTCCTAAGTTTAGTTAAGTTATTGGAGGATTTAAAAAGCGTTCTTTCAATCCATCAACAAGGCTCTATAATAGTACTATCAGCATTAATAATTTATTTTTCTATATTCAATCAACGATTTCTTTGATTTGGTAAACTTTATTGACATCATAGGACGATATATATCAATTGCTGACATAAAAGTTAAAAGCAGACATACTTTTCACGCCCTATTCGAAAATATAAGCGTGAGCCCTTATGATTTAATTTAAAGCCACAATCAGCTTTTTGTTTCATATATATATATATAATTTATTCAGATTATCTTCAAGCGTGATTCTGTTCAATAATAATGATGAATCCCGTAAAACCATTGTAAAATATTTGTGAATTGTTTCTGGCCATAATTTATGTCGTCTTATTTTAAATTTGGGACATGGCACGACTAAAGATCAAAAATCCGATCGAAGTTCATGCTGATTTGTGTCCAGTAAGATAAACAATTACCCTCAACGCATCGCGAGATATATATATAGAAATATTGATTTACGTACGTTGGAAAAATTTTAACTTAGTGTAAAAGCTGCAGGTCAACATTAGCGTTACTGCAACAACATTACTGCCATGAAGCACCGTAATTTTTCTTATCCAAGATATACAGAAACATTGGTTAGATACGTAATATATACAATGATAGATAGATATCAATAGCACCTGTTTGACGAATATGCCAGGTGCCTGTCGTACAAAAGATGGTCCCAGTTACCTTTCCAACCGCATCCATGGCCCACCGCAACTTTTACACGTGTGTTGTATAAAGTGTCGAAAAATGCCTATTTTAGCTTAATAAATGTTAATATCATACCGACCCAGTCGAAATCGTGAAATTGCGAATTAAAGCATCTTAATTTTGTTTACCGCCAGCAACATTAATCACAATCAGAGCGATTAGTCGCTTAACCACAGCTAATGGTAACACAAACAGAGCCAGGTGCGAATACGCTCAATAGAACAGATCAGTAAATTGTCATCTGCTACTGTTCACGTGTAGGCAACATTAACTATGCCCTTTACAAAAGTTCATGAAAATGTCGTATTTTACATAATGATATCGAACATTTTGTTTTCCATTTTTTTATATACAATGCGTTAAATACCTGAAATTCAATTGAAAGTAGCTCATGATAGAGAACAACCAGCTGCACATACATGTATATCGAAAAATGTTGTCGTGTGTCGTAAGCATTTTTCCAACAAGACCAAACGCGATTATAAAATCCAAGCACATGCCAGGTATTAGCATTTGAGCGTCATAACGTGCCAACTCTTAATTTTGCTTGATTCAAGTTCGGTAACCAAACGGCAGAATGGTGGCGAACGTGCACACCTGTATCGGTAGCTAATCCTTTCCGTTTTTTGTTCACGATTAATGTGCGATTAGTTACAACGGACTTAGCGTAAACATAATTTGGATTTTGGCAGATTGCGGTTAAACGCTCGAAAATAAGTTCAAGCTGTCGACAGTAAATATTCAAATACAATGCATATTTTTCCCTCAATATTTATGGAAGTTGTTATAAAGGTAATATTTCAGATTTTGTTCTCGCTTTGGAAATGCTTCTTAATTATCTCAAATACAGTATGTTATCCTTTTTTGATCCGATATATTAAATGTCAGACTGCGTTTTGTAATCTCAATGAGTACTTGTGGCATCGGTTATCCAATAACGAGTATATGTGGTTTCATAAAGTTTTTTACAACCTAAAAACAATTAGAGGAGATATGCCACTTTATTTAATAATTACGAATTCAATTCACTGTGTACTATCCCATGGATGTGCTCAATTATATGCTAATCGCTTAAAAACGATCAAAATATTACCCAGTATGAAAAGATATGCTTAATCACCTGCCACACAGGAGCGAAAAGCGTCAAGATCTTACGTCGAAATACCGTGTTTTAGACGCCATTGTTTGTTGTTAAATTAGGAAGTTTATGTTCCCGCGATTTGCTCTTTCCACGGTTAATTATGATACCAAGGCAATGTGGATCAAATTTAATGAGGTAGACGATGCTACTGCGAAGTCAATCTTCATTCTATACCTATTGCGTTAGTCTATCGAATAAATTATCAAACCACAAACCATTTCTCAGCTGTGATAAAAGAGAATAAGTAAACCGACAGACATATTGTTATTGGTAAAACATTAGATCATTAAACAGCATCCATCATGTGTACGGCATATCCAGACAGTTATTTGTTTTTGAAACTGGAGATTTGTTGGCGAAATCTCCTCGTATTATTCGTAAAATTAAACTGTGGAAACAAATTATTTGGATTCAAAAAGTTCGTTTTCACATTATCTATTTTTAAATTTTATGTGTTTCCAAATCGATGAGCAAACTAAATTTTTTGATTACGGAAATGAATAATAATCGCCTTTTTTTAGAAGATTTGATAAAAAGGTTTTATCGATTAATTGAAGTGTACAAATTTGGCAGCACTTTTAAATTAAAAGATTTGTTTGTCGGTTTTCCCTGAACGATTATTTTAAAATGTTGAATAACCTAGACCAGATAAAACACACATCTTGAATTCCCAGTAATAATATTATCGCGGTGATTTAAATCATATAGATATATAAACCAAGTTAAAAGAATAAAGTGAAAATTGGCGCTTATGTGGCGCCAAAATTGAGCTCTTCCATTACAGTGGCGTTTTCCAAGTGCCACTTGTTCCGCTAACTCATTTTTATGTTATTGGTTTCAAAATCGACGTTTTGCAGCAGGAAAAATTCACTTATCGGCCGCCACAACAATGCATAGAAACTACTAACATTCAATAGTAACTTTACCTCTGAAGTTTTGGGAGATTGAACTACATTGATGACGTTGAACTTTAACAGGGGCGGTATATACTACGGTACTGTACGTAGTTTTTCCAAATTGGTCCTATTGGATCTGTGGCATTATTGCAACGAATAACTGAGCTAAATATTGAGAAACAAACAAACAACAAATATTAATAATAAACACAATTTTAGTTCAGAAAATCTGAAAGATATGTAAATATTCTACACTAGTAAGCTAACTTTATTTAAAAAATGCGTATAAGTATCCCATTTATTTAACGCGGGTTCGGCGAAAACGTGAAAGTTTTCAGATTTTATTTTATATTATTATACTTGGAACATGAACTTCAAGTTACGATACACATTAGGGAAACCGAATACCCGCCATTTTGTCTGAAAACTACCTTTGGCGTCATCGATCGATACTGACTTGCTCGAAGTCTCTTAATTGGTTTTTGACTGTTATTATAACCAAAAACGGATAAATGAGTGTTCATGGCACTTATTGCGATGAAAGACCTTTTAAACCCCTCCACTGGGGTTCATCTTCAAAGCATTAATATGTCAGGCCAAATTCCAGGTGGCATTGTGCAATCTAGCAGACAGGCGGGGTTTGCTTACAAGGCCATGCTAGGTCAATTGGCGGAAGCTGGATAAATTACATTCTTTTGTTTTACCATATTTCATTGAAACCAGAATTTCTAAGAAAAAATCAAGCACAATTTACAAAACAACCGAATGAGAGAAAAAATTTACTATTTCAATAGTGTAAAAAATGTTTTTTGTTTTGTTTTAATATCGTCTGTTGGCCCTAATCAATTTTCGAGATGAAGCTCTACCCACCAAGTATACTGTCTTACCCACAGTGCCTAATGATCCGGAAAATAATCGAAACTGCTCATGATTCGCTTAAGGTGTTTGTGGCTAAATAATGCCCTATTCCGTATCAGCAGTAGCATCTATGTTCCATACATTAGCGAAGTTTGATGTAGGTGCAGTTGCCTGTGGGGCAACATATTTCTCTGTTACGCCAACTTCAATATAGGAAGATGCTGAAATAACATGACATTTTACACCGATGGAACATAGACCGATCCATTACGTATAAGTTTTGCAGAGTATCCAAGCTGACGGGAAAATCATATCATGCGATTTAAAACGCTTCGGTCAAAATCAAGTTTTGCGATGCATAGCAGAGCTTCAGTCTTAAATATGTATTGTTCCGCCATTTTGCATTCGACTTTACATTTTATTTTTTTTTCCAGAAAATGTGCCATCGCATTCAATTTCTCGCATCATCGGTTGCCATTCTCCAAATCCCTCACAAAGTACGATGGAAACGGTGGGCGAGGAAAAGAGATTGAACAGCGTCACAACGCCAACTTCAATAAATATATCAGGAGATACATCGTGCACATCATTTGAGTCCAACTATGGAAGTGACAATAAACGAGATAAGTGCAAAGGTATGACGCCATTTTATGTCGACGTGTTCTTACGCAAAAATCAGTGAAATATGTCGGAATATCGAGAGAGTATGGACATGGAGTGATAACCTTCATAATAAGCGATTTATATTGTTGAACCACAAAACTAAATTCTCCTTATTGGCGATCAAATGCCTGCTTTATTACTATCTCATATTCACGGATGAGTTCTGTCGTATATTGCAAGTTATTTATATGTCGATCCAGATACAATAATGTTCATCTATAAATTTGACACACAACTTTGTAGGTATGCCTCTATCGCCCACGTCTATGGAAGTAAAGAAGCGACCGCGAACTGCATTTACGCCGGAGCAGATCAAAAGACTCGAAACGGAGTTTCAGCGGAACAAATACCTGTCTGTTGGAAAACGCATGGAATTGTCCAAGGCTTTGAAACTTACTGAAACTCAGGTACATAATAAATAAAATACCGGTATATGATATACATAAATATTCTGCAATTTCATGTTTTATTTAAACAAAATTTCGCAAACCTAAATAAAGTTTTCTTTGTTTCAGATAAAAATTTGGTTTCAAAACAGACGAACCAAATGGAAAAGGGAGTACCTCAGTGAATGGGAAGTTTGGGCACATCAAAATTACTATGCCATGCATGGACTCTACGGCGCTGCAGCAGCAGCCTCAGCTTTGGCAGCGGCGTCCGCTCCAGGAACATCACCAGGGGTACCCATTCGAGCACAGCCCTTACACCCCGGCATGTTACCATCGCCAAATATGACCGGATCTCCGTATGCTGAAGCCATGCATGGTGTAGTGAAAACTCCAGGGCCGTTCAGTCATCCATCTGTAATGTTTCAAAATCAGATGTTACCTCATCCTGCGCGACCTCCCACTCACATCCACCACTCCCCGCCATCGGGTCCTGCTAAACCGAATCCGATAATGCCAAACAGAATAGGACTGGGGTCTCCGGCGCTGCCAATTCCAATAAGTTCACAGCCGATGATTCCACAGCTGCCATTTTATTTCCTACCTGGACCAATGTACGCAGCAGCGGCTGCCGCTGTAGCCGCCAATCATTCTGGTGTCAACAGAGAATCAACAGATGGCTGGATGCCCAGCGTTACTTCTACAAGTCCCATTCCTCATGGAAGTCCAACTTCCGTACATGTTTCTACAACTTCGCCATTAGGGCGCAATACCAAGCTCTCCCCGCCTAGCCTGTATGCCCGACCCCATCCTGATGTACAATCACATTACAGAACCAGCGTTAATGCGGTTTTGTGCGGACATAAGTCTCCACGAATCTTGTCCGATAACCCTTCTCAATCACCTATAGGATACGCTCGATGGGGTGGCATGGCTTCCATCGGGACCACTGGAAAGACAGATGCAAACAATAATCAAGCAACTTTCGGGCACGAAAACGACGCCATCTCTACGCCTTCCTAGGGGGGCTGGTAAAATGGATTCCATAAAAAACTAATATATCATTGTATATTTTTTTTTTCATTCGTTTTGTCCTCATTGTGGGGTGCGACCTCAGCTGTCATATTTATATCTCAATCATAGTTTGCTACTTTCAACTAAGTTTCATTGTAACCACTAATAAATGCTATACATCAACAACGTTTCAGTTCGGAAGATTTAGGTTTTGTGGATAGATGTTGATTTCATTGAAAGATTAGTATTATATAACAAAGTTTTTTTTTTGAAAGAATATAGTAAATTATGATATAGCTGGTAGCAGTAAATTGTATATATTGTTTTTGCCAATTTGAGGCAATATCGAAAAGATATGGAATATGCACTAGTACTGCTAAGATTGAAAAATTCAAAAAAGCTGACTATTTTAAGTTTGGTAATAAATGCGCGCTAGAGTAAAAAATTATTTATGATTAGAATAGTGTTGTGCGATTTAAATATTAGCAGGGATTTCAATCAGATTTGCGAAAAGTTTTGTTTATAATTTTTATACCGGGGTATGCGGTAAGCAACCGTAAATGAACATAAAAAAAAATAAGATGTTGAACATACAAAGTGTCTTGGAGATCATTTTTAACTTGACTAAGGATCATGTTTTAGTAAATTAATTGATACCTGTTAAAATAGAATCTTAAATGTGATTAAAATAATTACTAGTATGAACGAATACGAGTTGACAACGAAATTTGTACGTTCCTAAACTCGAAGAAATGATGTTAAAAATATGGTAAGCTTTAGTTTTAAATAGACAAGTGCTAGACAGGGCTATATATATTAGAACCAACAGACATGGATATCAATATAATGAATTTGTAACCATTATGCGCGTTGAATATATGTCACATGCCTAAAATCGTTTAGATCTAATGTTTTGAAACTATGGCGTCCAAAAAACTCCAGCTATTTTAAATTAGTAAATGTGAAACCATCCCCGACATTCGACATTACTTCTTCATTATCGGCATCAAATTTGAGAAGTTAAATTTATTCGTTCAAATTAGATCTTTAACCCTTCACGGATTCCTACAAATAAACGTAGACAAAAAATAGTCTTTAATTTAAATGGTCTGTGTGGTGTCACCCGTGTTAAAGAGTCATTTGTGAAACATATATGCCTCGCGCAAATGAAATTGCCCACTTTCCCGCTATTTAATAATACATCGATGTGTAAGCTGAGAACAAAATCATACTGCAAGACGTTTATCTTGACCTTTTTTTATCTTAAAAAAAGTCTGTATTATAGCCAAATAGAAAGAAGCGAAATGTGGCGGGGTTGTTTTTAACCCCCATAATGCTGCACTTGACCGCGATCTACAATAGAAACAAACGAGGGGCCTTGAGAGCTTCGTTAGATCACAATCTACATTTTGTAAAACGATACCTCGACTCGTTTAGTTGAAACATGAGTTGATGATTGCGAATGAAAATTGCTGCTTGGAATCCCACTCAACCTAAGACAATTAGTTCTGGGTGTTCTTTGAACCGGTTTAACGAATCATGTTTTAGCATGAAACCGAACAGTTGTTTTGAGTCCATTTACTAACTTTACTCGACAACATATGATATCAAATTTAAAAATTGAACAATGTTAGTTTCTATTGTGATTTTCTAAAATATAGATGGGTGAAGATGGCGAAATGACTTTTTTCGAAATATTCAAAAAGTCAAAATGTTATCAATATGAATTGAAGCAACTTTCACCAACATTTGGCTTCAGACTGATCCGAAAATTGTCGGAAGTACTTGAGTAAGTCATTTGGGAAAGCTGTATTAATTAAAGAAGGAAAATCCTCCATCGAAAGGTCACATGGGGCTGAAAGATGTAAAACAAGCGCAAAAAATTGTATATATAGCTACAAATACACAATGAAAAAATAATGACACAGAACTTATGAATATAATAATATTAAGTTATCCAACTCCAAATACTTAAAGTTAAATCACATGAATCACTTTATTCCGCCTCGTTCATAATAAGGCTATGTGATTTGTCTATTGCTCCGGATATTGCGACCGCTTATAAAGGGTATCACATACGGCCCATACGCTTTCTTGACCCGACGTATACATCAAAAATATCTTAATAATGATATAGATTGTATCAAAACGTTTTTGAAGACTTGCGGTACCGATCGGGCGTTTAGCGGACTGTTATCATTCAATAACAACCCTGTAATATGATGAAGCTCGTTGCATAAAATGGCAGAAATATTTCTCGCGCGGCGATCAAAGCTTGCTACAATTTTCTGTTATTACGTTCAAGTCCGTTACAGAATAGCACATAACTGTTCGACAAGGAAAATTGCTCAAAATGGATAAAGGGCTATTAGGATTGAATTACACAAACCGATAGACTATTACATTTTTAGCGATAAAGATTTTGAATTCTTGAACTTATATTGAAAACGACTCGCGCCTTTATTAATATTGATATGAATACAACGCACAATCGCACCTCGGCCTGGTTTAACTCACATACTACAAATAAAATAATGTTCGGATTTGATTGTTATTTGGATGCGGAAATAATATATTTCGATTTGCAAATTGCTGCGTGCAATAAATTCAGATCCACGAGGTCAACGATGGAACAATTGGTAATCACGAAATAACCCGTGTCGCGTTTCGGAAGAATTACAAGCAATTTACGTAGCGTATCAGATAACATCTCAATCTAACAAGGGTGTCAATAAAGACGGCCTATAACCGGGGCATCATTCATTGATCTTCTTGAGGCGTATATATTGAACTATAATAATTATTGTGGCTATTGAAAGTTATCACACGGCATGTATACACCGATTTGTATGAATCACAAACCATCAGTACAGGTAAGTTATGAGGTAACGTATAAGTTTTGGTCATTATACTAACAAAAAATAGATTAATTTGCAACAACATATTACTTCATTTGGACGTCTACGTTATTCAAACTGTTACATACGATAAAAACTCACTTGGGGTGCTGTATGTTTTTTTCTATATCATGTTTAGGTTCCATATCTGTAAAAAAAAAACTCGAAAATGAATACAATACAAAATATCTTTATAAATATAAGAATTAAGACGATAGAACGACACATTTTTTGAGTGAGCATGTTGTAAAATAAAATGAGTAAAGACTCAGTAAAATCCAGTGTCTTCAAAGCAAAGTTGATATCACAGTTCCATGCCAACGTCACATAGGCTTGGAAGGTGCTATTTATTCTCAAAATCAACACACCAAAAACTAAGTTATAGTACATACATATTCGGATATTAATTTATTACAATCTTCCAAACAATGAGATGAAATCAATTACAAGAATATCTCTAAGCGACAATTGTCAGAAATTAAAATTATGTTCTCATATCTAATAATTATTAGTTTTTACATTTAATAATGGAATAACTTTTGAGATAAAAGCACTTCACAACAGAGAGGTAAAAGTGTATTCTATGATTTCCTACTTTTTTCAAAATTGGTAACTTTTAGCGTATTAAATGAAATCTATAGCCCACTCTCTTATTTTTTCATAACTTTCGAATCATTAACAGCCATGGCGAACTGGCGATTCCCCCATAATAATAGTAACAAAGTATTATCCAAAAGCTAAACATATTTTGAAAGGGGGTTTGAAATATCCAAATTACATTTATTTTACCTGTACATCCACTGTTGTTTCTTCTTACATTCTTGCCTAATTAAAGCGACATTGTTTACGGTGTAAATCGTCAATCAAACGGTGTTTTATCGCCACCATGTGACCGATCTAGCCACACGAAGTTGGATGCATGATTGCGAATTCCGCCGAATCATATCAGGCAAGACAGGCATCACCCAAATAAATCACCTCTGCGAAGCTGTAACAAATATTTTCATCAACTTTTATTTTTGTTTGGTACTGGTTACGTGATTCACCTGCTATTTAGCAGAGCTGGCATTTTTCTATGGATTTCTGTCATCGTTAATGCTGGGAATTTCCGATTAGATTTCCAAATAGAATTAGCATGTTATCGTAAAATGGCATTTTCCAATACTTATAAATGGGTGATATTTATTTCTATGGTGCCAATCCGCCGTCTTCCAATATATTCGAAAACTGGACGATACCATTACCAAACTACTTGACACCTACGATGTATCAGTGAAAGATTGTATGGAATCGAAAACATTAACCGAATCAGCTGTTTGCTACTAAAATTGCAACCAAACGCAAATGAACAATTTCCTTAGACTCCCCGACAATTTTTCTTTTTCTTATTATTATACGCGACTGACAATAGTTCCCACGTATAGCTTGAAAAGTTAGGTCGATTTACGCACTTGTGTAAGGAATGCGTGGTCTGCTAACAATTCAAATAGGCAATATCATTTTATACATAAACTTGTTTAACATAAAAAAATATATATATCCCGAGTGCTCTAACCCAAAAGCACAAAACTTGAAAAAGCTGTTTTGGATAAACGTTTATTCGTGATTTGAAAACTTTTAACTGAAATACCTAGGTAATTATTTTTCAGACTATGTTATTTACTAGCTTAAAAAACACCTATTTCTTTGCAATATTTTCAGGAATTTCTTCAAAGTTTCAACATTCTCTCCTTTGTCTTAAAATCCTCGAGTTATCATGACCATTTACAAGAAATTGTAAATTTGTTGAGCTTCCTCGTTTGTGGTTTTTGCTTGTCAACATTCACAGGCCTAAACAATTATAAAATACAAGACTGATCACAGTCGGCTGAGAAAACCGAGATCATGCGATTCGAAAAACGCGCTTGGTCAGACTCGAATGAAAGTGCCCTGACCTAGTCCCAAATATTCCGACTGTAAAGGAAGTTCACTTTATTGGACCCAGCGTCTAGTAACTTGTTTCCCAATTTCTCTGGAAATACAGTGTGCTGAATTGCTGAATCTATTGTCTAAAAGTGTCTGAAAACGGATTGCATAACAAAATACTGTTTGTCCAACAGATTTTATCGACGATAGAAACTTATTGTACGGATCTTACCATCTGCAAATTTCATTTCCTTAATTGTGTTGATGAAAAGGCAGAATATTAAGAGTAATTCATGGAATATTTACATCCAACTAAATAGAATATAACCTAAAAACAATGAACAAACGAAATTTAAAATTAACATCAACAAATTTAGAAAAAACGGCAAAAATAGTTGAACTATGATAAAACTTAGCCAATTCATTAATTCCAGAAATATTTTTGTAACAATAACAATTCATTATTTCCAGTAATATTTTTATAGCAATAACAATTTTCCAAAAAAATTTCATGTAACAAAATTTGTCAAAACACAATATAACGCAACAGTAAAATAAACGCAGAACGCACTGTCCGTTCATGATCTGACATTGGATATTTTACATTCGTGTTCAGTCAATTAAAATCTCATGATATAAATAAAATAAAAATAACAGAAGCAACAATAACAGACAAAAACACACTTCAACTCAATAACTACATTATAACATATAAAAGGTTTTATACAAGCAGCAGAGCGCAATTTTGCAGTGAATCTATGTTAAATAAATTGGTATACGGGGTGATTGTCGATATCGTACTGCAACAATTTTTGAAAGAGTTGATAAATTGGGTACATTTTATATAAGAATTTCCTCATACGGGTCATTCTGCTACCTTCGATTTCTATTCCGATGTGTAAAAAATTGGAGACATGGCAGCAGCAGAAGGACACGAATTCACGCAATTGAAATTATTTGATGGAGACGTGATATAGGCCGATATTGCTACGCTTTGGCATACTGTCAATCTAAGCTTGTTTCGGATAAAATTCTACACTCCAGTATAGAAATCGATGGCATAACTATTATTACATTCTAGTTTTGTATTGTTTTTCAGCATGTTAATTGTTTAAACATCATTGATTTGAATGATTTAAGTTCCCTCAATATAAATCGAAACACAATGATAAAACATTCACATGAAAATGAATGAACAGTTATAAACTTCACCAAGACAAAAAAAACTTTTAAGCATTCCGCAAATTTTTAAACAGTATAATTTGATGGCACTGTCATGTAAACAAGAAAAAGCAAAAATGAATTCATCAAATTGAAACGACACAATGCATTGGACATTACAAAGAAAACTTCATCAAAAACTAAAAATTCTAATTCTTGGCACTCGCCAATAATGTACACGTGATTTGTGACAAAGTTTTTCGATTCTTGATTAGTAGTTGAAATGCCCTGAGCATGACAGGACTTGAGCTGATTTTCTTCATTAAAAATGCACATTTAAGCCAACTTCTTCTTCCCGGTTGCATTCGCTTTGGAGCGAATAGCGAGTGGCAGGCTATTTCGTCGGTCTGGGTTCAAAGGGCAGTGGCCAATGGTGTGTGCGTTGTTGGCCGTTGCGTCACACAAAGGACAGACGTAACTTCGGAGTACAGGGCATGTAACCCGTCCAATTGGGTCCTTCAGTTGATGAGACAAATACCATTCTTTCACTTCCTTGTTGTTCTTGCAAAACGAACAGCCCACATATCGTGTTGGTTGACTTACATTGCTTGGCAGCATGTTTTTCATTTGGTGTCTATTAAGATCAGAATTTTTCGGCTGTTGTTCCACATTCTCAAACTTTTTCACTTTCTCATCATAAGATGCTGCAACCTTTGCAAGTGCAGCTGTGAGCGAGGCGATATCCATCCAATCGTTCGATTTGTTTTCTCTCATTCCTGCCTGTGGCTTGATAAATGGTTGATTTTCGAAATTTGGCGGTTTGCCATGTGTAAGGTTATATTTGTAGAGAATGGCATCCAATGCTGCATGAATGGCGGCATCGTTAGAGTTTGCATTCATCTGTGGAGATTTATTCTCTGAGCGCTCAACTAAAGGAGTTACGAAAGAACTTTTGTTGCGATTCAATATGTCAGTATCACATGCAGGGAACGGCTTTGGAAATGATGGCATACTGATTGGTTCCCTCTTTTGCAATGTAACTCCACGTCCGAACAGTCTTTCGACGTCGGATAATGCGATATCGTTGCGCCTCAGAAGCCCCGTCTGTCTAGTCTCGGGCGACGTTGGTAAAGAACAGTTGAAGCTGGTAGAATCACTTCTTTTTCCGCTATCTTCGACGCCGTAAACAAAAGGGACTTTTTCCAACAAAAAGTCACGTTTATCGAATAAAGACTTCATTAGAAAAAATGAACCTTCATTTTTTCCGACCACGTTGGACAATCCCAAATAGTCGTTGAACATGTCATAAGAATCCACATCAACTTTGTCCATCCTAATTTGAGCTAGATTTTTCTCACTGCATGCAAAAAGAAGAAATATATGGAATATTGTAAAAGAAGACTGTTTAGTAAAAACGGTCGAGAACCCCAAAATATAAAACTGCCAGCCCGCACGATTCAGAACTGTGGTTTTTAGTTTCGTCCCGTGGTGGGTCATTTGAATGAGTTATTCGGAAATACGACTTCCATTAGGGTTCAAATCTCCCAAGTGCCGCATTATTTTCGCTTTCGAACAATCGCCACATTATACTTCAAATTATGGCGCACATGCACCTTCTATTGCTGTGTTAACAGCCTTCCACAAATATATTATCAAACAATTCATTGTTTTTATTTACTTAATATCAATGTGAAGGATGATGTTGTTTATGTATCATGGGTCATGATTCATGGCCAAAGCGTTAAAATCAAATATCAACTTCGTTGCCCGGAGGTACGTCGTCCAAATGACGATCTGATAAGCGAGTACAAAATTTATTCTTGGTTTCAATACCTTTTGGATAAAGCTGCTCACAGAAAAATATGCCTTCGAACATGCACATCACACGTTCCGCACAAATGAGCAGCGGCGCAGCCCCAATCGAATTTCGTATTTGCAATGACGTTTAACATTAAATTCCTTAATAGCCTAAGTACGATTCTTAATTGGCATATCAAGAAAACTGGTTTTGGAATGCACAAGAAAAAAAAAAAATTTTTTCGTCGAAGCACTTTGGAATGTTTGACCTTCGTCGCAAACTTCCCTTTGTTTCCCACTTCCCAGACATTTTTAAATTTTAAAAATCGAAATTCATCAAGTAAATGACATAGAACTGACGCTACTTATTACAATACAAGAGCCGTACAGCAGCACTTGTTGCCACATAAATCCGTGTGGAGGCAATAATAAACTTAAGATCATTTTTTGTTTTATGCATTAAAAGTCAGGTGATTTGAGGGCCGCAAAAAATAGTTCGCAGTCCGCATTTGGCCCGCTGGCCGCAGTTTGCCGACCCCTGGTCTACATAAATACGAGACAGGATAAAATGTGGAAATCGTCGCGTCTGGATAACGGTAACACTCTGTAAATTAAAGGTTGAATAGACAGCTTTTTGTTAGATACGGTATTCTTATACACAGCTATGACGGACGGTGATGTCGAAAGACCGTGCTCCTCGTACGATTAAAACGTCTTTCGACCATTAATCGCCAAAGTACAGAACTAGACTACACAAATTCTCTCCTGTCTTCTGGGACTAGCAATCCATCGGTCGCCAGCTAAACCGAATACAAGTCACAAATTAGACTATGGAAATATTATTATCGTGCATAATCATACAAGCAACCTCGAAATGCTAATTTCTAGCTCCTTCACTTAACATATACTTAGACGGCAGACCCTACACGCAGCCAACTATCAGCATATCTTTGCTGAAAATACCATAAACAGATAAATACTATGTCAGTCAAAACTTCGACACCAGACAACAGACAACTCCTATAGAAATGGCGGGAGGTACGTGACATCACTTGCATGTGCCTATCATGAGTTTGAGATTGTGACGTCATAAACGATAACAATGACTCACAGTAGATATTTCACGTGACTGAGCGTTTTCTGTTAACGAATGATGGCTCTTGCACCCTCCTGATCTATTGTTATGGCTTTACTTGCTCGAAGTACAGTCGTACGGTTTTGTCCGACGACCTGTCAGCCTATCTGTTAGTCTGTTATTGGTTACACAGGAGATTCAACCCCTACCATAATTCAGTAATTGTCTGACCGTGGTCGATACAGCAATAGGGTATCTGAATTTCATGCGGAAGAGTGAAACAATCGAAAAGACTGAAAACAGGAGTCTAGCGAAGTAAACGTCTTAAGTTAACTGCTTAAAATGTTAAATACAGCCCAAATTTTTATATTTTTTCCAGTTTTTCCATCTTGTCAGTCTTGTAAGGAACGTTACCGGTACCTCTACTACTGTACTAGCAGACTAGGTTATATCCAGATATCCTATTTTGTATGGGACGTATAGACATACCGGTAGGCTACCAGTATCGGCTTAGTTGAACAGTTAAAAATTGAGTAGGTTGGATCTTAACCAAACGCCAGAAACGCGTCTGTCGATAATTTCGTACCGCGCCAGACTGAATTCTGGAATTAGAAATAAACTTAATTACTAAAAGACTTATAAAAAACAAAAATTTATACCACATTTTTGTTTGGCGTTATTTAACCAGATATGGCATTGCGGCATGTTTGATGTTATTTGAGCAATTACCGTACTGAATTATGGCGTTTACTTTGCTAGACCACAGAAATAATATGCCATTTAATCTTTAAACGGAGTAGCCTACCGTCTGACCGTACATTCAGACAGTCTGACAGTTGAACCCCATGTCCTTTGGTCCTTCTGTCCTTGCAGCCGTTTACTAAGGAAAAGAAAGTCTAAAGTAATTCTATTCACTTCTGGAACAAGAAAATTGTAAATTTTGGTGCTAACTCTATGTTAAGAAAGATTTTCACTTTGACTCCTGGTAGTAAAATAAGTTTTAATATAGCTTTGAACTCTAATTTTGGCAGTAGAAACTTTGGCGTATCACATAATCAGTCCTACTTTTACAGGCTAAGAGCTTATACCCCAAGTACAGAAGTAATTAATATTTTACGGTTTATATCATTGGTTCTCAAACTGGAGTCCGTGAACCGATCTTAGGAGGACCGCGAGACAATTTTAAACTCTACGCGGAAGCGCTTTGATTTGAAGTAAAATTTTGATTTCATGCTTTTACAGTGTTTGTCCAAAGCACGACACGCTCTACCGAAGACATTATTACATAACAAACGTTGGTAAACGTGGCAAGTCAGAAAATCAGAGCGTATTGTCTATGGAAGGCGTGTGCATCTGATTTCTAAATGTTCTCGGGGTAATTTAAAATCCCCCCTCCCCCGTTCCGGAGAAAAAGAAAAACCACATACTAAAATGCTCATTCCATTTGCAACAACTTACGAATGTGAGGCAGCTTTTTCTTCGTTACTCGCTATTGAAACAAAATGTTGAAACAGAATAGATGTGAATTACGACATGAGAGTTGCATTATCCAAAACAGAATCCAAGATAGAAGAACTGGTGGGATCCAAGCAAGAGCACCCATCTCATTGAACTGTGTCAATGTCATTCAATATATAAATGCTTGATATACCGCGTTGCTGTTTGTTTCCATTTCTTTAGTGGACCGCGAGTCATCAGAAAAATTGAACGGGTACCGTTATGCATAAATTTTCAAAAAGTTTGAGAACCACTGGTTTATATGACTCCTGAAAGTAGAAAACAGCCGTTTTTTCTTTTGCAATGCCAAACCCACAACCTTCTAATCCATGTTGAATTTCATAACTACTAGGCGTTGAACATTATGCCATGATCATAGTTGAACCATGTATTATTTCATTATTGCTCTTTTTTTGGATTCAGGAAGTATTTGAATGTTATCAAATGTTGGCTAATTTGCCTTTACTCCCCATTATTTTCCTGCCATAAATAGCAAAAATATTAACCAAGGTTTCCTCTATTTTTACATAATAATCTACAATATTGACTTTATTTACAATGCTTTTAATATAAATGTTTTTTCGGGAAGATTTTGGCCAAAATAACGAGGCAGCACTAGTAATCGACGAGATACAAAATCTATCACTTTTGTTTAATTTTCAAATAACACTTTGATTAATGCTGTCCCTTTGACTTTATACATTGCAGCATTGGGCTTTTAAGAAAGCTGATTGGTCATCCAATTTGTCTGAATACGATATATACATAATCGTGCTAAGCTCAGCATTATTTTTATAAAAAATTCAATTGTTTATATGTTGCACAGATACTAAATAGTTCACTTTTATTATGGCATATACTTTGGAGGCTGGGAGATTTGTAACGGTACCTTTGAAACGATCAAGTGATGTGGATTTGATAAAACCAATAGAAGCTTTTGCCAGAAATACATTTGACAAGGTCTGATATTTATGTATTTGGATATACAAATGGGTAGTAATTTTAATGGTTGACTTGAACTTATTCTGGGACAAAATTTGTTGTTGTTTGGCAGGTATACTCTTGGTATAATGAAAATAAACTTGTTAGACTTTCGATTGATTTATATTTTTTGATATATGCTGGTTGATAATTTGAAGAATACTTCAATTCAGATTTTCAGTAATTGTTATTATCGTCTGATTGCATGGGAACATTTGAAAAATCAGACCCAAGAGTTTTAAAATCTCTCTTCTAAATCACTGGCATGCGACAGGCGACCCGCGCGCCACAACCTGGCTTTCTAAGTCATTAAGTGTGGCCATTTTCCCCACCAAGCATAAAATCTGTTGACAGTTTTTTTTTGAAAAGCCGCTCACGTGGGTGAAGATAAATTGTTTTTTGCGCTTGTCGATGTATTTAAATCTTCCACCGTTTTCCCTGTCTCTTAATAATTACTGCAAGGCTAAGCAGTATCCGCATTCTCTTTTCTTGCCTTCCTGTTCGAAAAAACTAAATTTTTTTGTGTGGCCTGGCTAGATTTCTGAAATTAGTTATATGGCCTCCAACCAAAAATGTTGCACACCCTGGGCCTAAATAAGTTTCAAGTTGATGGTAGCTCATTAAAACAATATTTCTCACCAATTCAATAATGCACATTGCATAATTATTGTTATACGATTGTGTTTATATTAACTTTCTCTCATGGTCGCATATTTATCTTAGGTTGATGATGACTTGAAAAAGCAAATAAAAGAGTTCAATAGTCTCAGAAAATCAGCCGTTGGGAAAACACAGGATAGAAGTGTTAGCTCATTAAACACTTTGTTACAGTTAGTAGTATTTTTTATTGAATATGACCTATTTCTATTCTTACAATAGTGTGAACCTTTGAATGGATGTTGAATATACCTTCAAAAAACTATTATTCTAAATATATTGATTACCATATTTGAATCCACATTATTGATAACCTTATTTGAACCACATTTGAAAATAAAAATTGTAATAGATATAGCCATGCTTATATACTTGTAACGTTATAATTAGGAATGTTACAAAACGCGCTTTTTCGCGCCAAAAAATGTACGCACCACGTCTGCTAAGTACCGTAACGCCGTGTCAGAATACCGCTCATAAAAACGACTACGGACTGCCTGCTGTTGTTTGGAATTCCATGAAATTTGGACATAACTTAGATAAAATGCGCAACTATGATTTGGTATTTGAATTTTTTCATTAGCGCATAAATTTCCCAACATTCGGGGCTTTTAAAAATTACGCTAAAGTTATACGTACTGCAAATTAATGATATTGTCTATGGACACCAATAAAATATATATGGACGCATGTATGTCATTCCTAGCTTGATACTTACCAATTTTTATGAAGTTTGTTCAATCAGAACATCGTTAATTATTACCCGCAACGAGGCACTGTCAAACTAATATGCTCAACTCCAGGGTTGATTTGCGACGATCTTCCGACGGCCTCAATGATCGTTGCCAGAATAAAATCCTAAAGTAATCTGAATTTTCTTAGATGTGACACACATCGAAAAATTAAAGATTGATATGTGTTTTTTTTTCATATTTATTAAAGTTCTTATTGAAAAAAGTCAATTCGCATACGTTTACGAAACGGTACAAATTAATTCAAGGCACGAGAAGTATGATCTTAGCACGCGTCTGTCAACGCGCATCAGTTATCGACTGAATGCCGACATTTTCCCTCGCAGCGATTTCTCTCGTTTTGCGTTTCACTAAGCGCGGTAAATCTCCTACGAGTTAAGGAATATTAAATGATAATTAATCGTTCATTAAGGTCGGATATGAAAAACGCTAAATCAGTTAATTGCCGCGTATGCGGGGACTTGCGTATTGGGAAAGTCGTTGCCGACCAGAGGTTATGTAAAGTTCAGAAACTTTCTCGTACATAATTAATTGAAAAGCAGCTAATATCGTTAAAAAGAATTTGTAAACTTTTTTGCATTAGGTTCTTCTATTCACAATAACTTTTCGTTCAAAATTTTTTTCGATTACCTCCAAAAATAGCCGAGATACATTCTGTTGTTTATCGGTCTGACATTCTCGCGGTCACAGTTTTTGAGTCGGCGCAATACAATCCTTATGGAAAAAATTGGCCTATCGGGCGGTATTTAAACGCAGATATCTCCGTTAATTCTTGACCATTTTTCGCAAACTTGGTATTGTTTTCTTATTTTCACTTAGATCTATCCACTGGTGCAGTTTTTATTTAAATCGGATGAACTTTAATTTTTTTGTAACATACCTATTATAATATAATTTAGTCTACACGTAAATTCTTTTGCGTAAAGAGTATAATCGACAAAACGGCCGTTTTGTTACTATAATTCAGTGAAGCGTTCCGGGCCGGATTATATTGCTTCCGGCCTGCGGGCCGTAGGTTGCCGACCCCTGATGTAAACCAAATTCTTTTGACAAAGATAGTTAGAACAGAGAGTTTTTTAATGCATGAAACATGCATTATCCATAGTACACACTGGTTTTCACATGAAGGAGGTAGTTCCTAATTCCATTTATATATTTTCAAACTTAAACTTATTTCAGGTATTATGATCAATTTTCTGCACTTAATCGTAAAGTGCCATTTCGAGAAAGCGGAGGTGTGAATGTATTATTTGCATGGAAAGATGCACTTGATAAAGGATCTCTTTTTAGTGGATCGGCTAAACTCGGTAAGTCATAAAATCAATTTTCTTGTTATTGTACACTTGTTAAATGTACTGTCTGTGACGTTATATTGATCAATACATTGGAACAAATGTACGACTGACTGCATGTGACGAGTTTGCATTGCTGCATGTTGATAGAATATTACAATAATATATTGGTACATGGTCTCCGTGATAAATGCATATCGATTCAGTTGTATTCAACTTGGGGAAACCCAAGTGTATAAGCTAGATACAAATTGCGCGAAATGTCATCTATAATTTTAAAGGTATTTATCAGAACAAATTGTCGTTTCGAAATACCATATTGTATGATCATTCAATTATTCACCTGGTTGATGAGAGGGTCTATACCAGGGTGGTCCAAACCCAGGCGTTATGGACCTTTCCCCGAGCATCGACTTCCTTGTTTACTTCTTGACATTGGCCAATCAGCAAGATGCAAAAAGTGACGTAACAATGCCCCCTTTTCGCATCCCCTCAGACACTTTTTCCACTCAGACAGATTTTCAAGCGTGATTGTAAACATTACCTCGTTTTCGCGTTTTTGAACTCTATTCGTTAGTTTTCAGTTGTGTTTTGGGAACTTAAATAAAAATCAGATAATTCAATGATCACTCTGTCTTTCTAAGAGTTTTAATTTAATTGCAGTAATAAAAATTAGTGTAGAAATAGCTGTGATAGACTAGCCTGAAATTCTTTACCGGTACTTTTAAAAAACAGATTGTTGCATGCTATGAATCATAATGATGGTTTGAAACACATACCCCATTTTACAGGCGCCAACTCGCAAAAGCACTCTTAAAATAGCCTTGACAGTTTTGCAATGGTAAAGTATAGGGGGGAATTTTCCGAGGTTCAAAGGTCGGGGAAAGGTCAATTATCTGTGGCCCGCGTCGCCTTTGCTGAAGGGTAATCAAAAAATCGCTTTCGGTGTTGTTTCATCATAAATATAACAGAAAATCTTTTCGACATCTTGTTACATCACTGATGTCACTGAATTGACTAGTGCCACGGGCTAAAGCAACTAGCGAAGTTGAATTGAGAGTGATTGGGTACTCCAAATTGTTCACTGGCTTTCTATCTATTTGGTTGCGAATATATTCCAACAGTAATGATACCTAAACATGATACCTAAATATTAATGTTATGGCCTTAGAAATAGAATATAATTCGTTCAGGTGATGATTTGCAGCCAGCCTGAACAGTATTACAAAAAAAATTTCTAATGTTTCAGAAAAATTAGTAATTACTCTCCTGTACCTTACATCTGGTAAAAAATGATAATCAATCATTCAGCAGCATGGCAAATATAATCTAAAACGGCATTTTGCTATCATGTGAGCAATGACCATTTCCAAATTTCGAGGGATTTTGCTTTGAGAATCCCATCAATGTTCGAGAGCACTTACATTTGTGGGAGCACCTTCTCCATTATGAAGAGTTTGAAATCATACATTATTAAATGTAGATATAGCAAAACTTTTTCATGTTTCTGTAATTTTCGCTGGCATATTTTGTATGATTTAGCTTGATAAATGACAAACAATGATCAATTGTTATAACCGAGATAACCATAATTTCGTACGTCACTAGTGTGTAAAGGTCAAGCATCTTTTTCTGATATATATAAACTTATATTCTTTAATTAACTCTCCCCTAGAATATATTTCAATTTTGAAATCTACATCGGTCCATGAAGTAGTAGGAAACTTATGGGATATGAACGTTTTCATTTTTTTTTATATAAATGGGGAACAAAAATTCAACCACCGGTAGTTTCTTAAAAGGTGCTAAAAGATAATATTCATATATTCACTTCTTTACCAAAAATTTTATTCGTTATTAATTATCGCCTCTTTATTAACCATGTAGTATGATGAAATAGGAAAACTACTTTAGGGCCATATAGCATGATATGTAATATATCAAATAATCAGAATTGTTTTAAGATTTACATCTACCGTTTTTCCATTATGATATAGAAAAGCTTTCAGAAAAAATGATTGTATGTTTTATTTCACAATTGAAACAAACAATTTGAATAATTGGTTGAACGTTGCCTGTGCAAAAAATCCATTGGAATTCCCTAGTAAAATTTTTGAACGAAGCTTTTAATAATATAATGCCTCAAAGCGTATTAATAACAACTGTTGGAATGTAAAATTGTAATAGTTTTGTATGAGATTGAATAGTAAAATAATAAAATTAAACACTGTAAAAACAATATTGTCTATTCTGAAACCTGTATGAACTTGCCAACCAAATGTAGAAATTCTATTTATGTGTATACAGGCTATGCTCTTTATTAATAAGGCAAAGGTAAAGCCTTCATTTAACCATTGTTTTTTGTAAACTGAACACTATGTCTTATCTTGTTTGCATTGACTCTACCTTTGTTTAACTTGATGTACGATATATTGTTCAGCCATGAGCGATCAGACAAAATTTAGAAGCTAAAACATATTCACATCACATACTCACTGGTGATATAATATTTGGCTGTGACTCTGTGAGGAAGAGTATATTAGACTTTTCCAGTCACTATTTCCTAAAAAGTTGAACAGCTGACCGACGATTCACTAGTTTGAGAAAATGTTAAACTTGTGGATAGCACATCATCCACCTTCCGTATTATCTTCCACCTTTCATAGTTGTCTATATGTGGCGATTGACTTTGTGATGCCCTAAATTTTATTCAAATTTGTTTATAAATTTTTCTTTATATGTTGAGGTATGTTTCTATAATTTCATGTATCTCATATTTACAGCTTTGCCTTCTGGTGAATATGAAAGACTATGCGTTATCTTCAATATTGCTGCTTTAAAGGGTCAAATTGCGAGCGATTCCAATTTAAGTACAGATGATGGTTTGAAATCAGCAGCTTTGCATTTCGCAGTCAGTTAATCTTTATTATAAATTTTGTCATTTTGTAGTTCCTTTGTAATTTCGATGAGATGTTGTGTGGCGTTCATTATACCTACATGACAAAAAATTTGTGCCTAAAAGTTCTTTTTAAGAAATTTAGTCAAGTGAAATTACTACCTGAACTGTTTTCTGGGTACTCCCATAGTGTGTGTACCAGGTTAGGGTTAGGCCATAATTTTATTCTGATTTTCCTTATTTTAGTTCGATCACGAGTTCGTGCACTGTCTGTGTTAGCCAAGTGAATATACTCCCAACCCTCTTGGCCATAGATCTCAGTCCCTTTACACAACTTGATGTAAAGTAGGCAAACAAAATTAGTTACCTCCATATTGGTACACAAACTTCTGGAACGCTGTTTTCTGACCATATTGACATGGACTGTATTCAAGTCTCTTGTCAAACGGCCTCTATTAATAACATGCAATTCTACAATTCTATATGGTGTAAATAGCTTTTTGCACTTCAGTGGCATCCGTAATTTCACTTGAGATTAATCTTCTCTAATAGTTCTGAGCGAGTGCTTGTGACCTTGCTTTGAGAAAATTTTCTTAAAAAAGTTTATTAACAATTTTTTTGAAATCCAAACTAGAAATATTGTTCTTGTACCATTTCTCTTCAAATCATTACATTACTTGCAGGAGTCAGCTGGAATGTTTCAGTATATAAAAGAGCATGTCATGTCGGCTGTTAATCAAAACCCAACTCAAGATATATCAGTCGAAGTACTTGGAGCATTCAAATCCATAATGGTAGCTCAAGCTCAAGAGTGTTTTTATGAAAAGGCAAGCTCAGGTGGGACAACATTAAAAGTCTACTTGATTAATTTTTCAATGCCATGATACACACCATATGTTATTAGAATAAAAAATTCGAAGATGCTAGTATGCTAATTTCTAGTATTTGACCTGAAATAAAAACTTCACTGCAGTTCAAGATAGCCTTTATAGATTATGTTCTACTTTTTTTATTGTTGCCTACTTATTTCCCATTTCGGTTTTGTCAATCATACTTACCATTTACACACATCTAACCACAGGACCATATTTATCAGTAACAATGTCAAAATAATACATTTTATGCTGTGGATATATAGTTGATTCATGCCGTAATTCCCAAACAATTAAGCAATTCAGCTATATCAGTAAGGTCCATGCTTAATATATACCTTTAGAGTGAACACTATGTAGATTGCCATAATGGGCTGTATTTTAGCTTTTTTTTATCTTTCATCCCCTTTTTTTTATCAAAAATATACTCCTTATGAGAGGTTGCCTCACTGGCTTTTGTATATGCCTATTAAATATCATAAAGTTTTACCATCTTGCTCTTGTTTATTTTAGATAAAATGAAGCCGGATATATTAGCAAAAGTTGCTAACCAAGCTGCAACATTGTATTCAGAAGCGAGCAAGGCTGTCACAGAAACTAACAATATTTTACCCAAAGATATCCTTTCTGCCCTTTCATTGAGGCATGACAAATTTTTGGTGAGGGAACGTTTGTGTTTTTTATGCTCAAACTGTGTGAAGATGAACTATTTCTAATTATACTTGTATCTATGGACTATGGTACATGCGTAAATTGTTGAATGTTTTTAATTTTTGGGATCTTGCTTGAACTTCTTACCTTGTTTTGTATTAACACCCCATTTTATTGTCATTGTGACAGTGTTTTGCTCAATTTCATCAAGCTGGTGTCGCTCATGGCAACAAGAAATATGGAGAGGAAATAGCAAGATTGAAGGTATGTTTTGCCATGATCTATAGATATTTGCATACATAGTACTTTGGACTGTTTTAAGGTCATGCCTGCTGATTTTCAAAACCGATTGTGTCGTGTGGTATTACTAGACACATTTGAAATCGACGGGAATAAGTTTAGAGCTATTTTGAATATTTCCATGCCTGGATCTATGAATTCTTTTTTTCACAATGCTTCAATATTTTAACAATGTTTGCTAAGTACATCTTGTTATACCCAAAGTACACATTTCCCATTGCTTCTCTAAAGATGTGTGTCAATATAGTGGGAATGAAGTTCCTATTTTTGCAACTTTTTGTTTAAACCTAACAAATTCGATTCAGATTTTTACTTTATGTAATGATTTTACATAAAGTGGTTTTTAATAATTTAAATAACTGAAATTACCAATATGTGGATGAATTAAGAAGTCCTGTATTTGGTTTGGGGAAATTTACTATTTGAATATGAAAAGTTATATATTTGTTTGGGTTGGTTTTAAATAGATACTCACTAAAATATGTAACCTAATATATATACCTATAAACACTATAAGGAAATGGCTCAACAAGTGTTGTTCCTATTTTATCTGTCTACTGGCGATCAGCAGTCCTAATTATGGAATATTCAATGTAATTAAATTCACAAATTCTTTTGCGAGATCAATAAACAACGCTTACAGACAGTATTACACCGCTCACATGAAACCTAGGTTTCAATATAGGAGAAAGTAATGCCTAAATATTTAGGCACAAAGTTCAAATGAACACTGCGATGCCATCCAAATTTTAAAAGTTGTATTGAATGTCAAATGAAGATGTACCTGTGAATTATAAAAAATATGAGATGGTATATCCTGCGCTATATGACACAGTTAAAATATGAAAGCAGAAAAAAAAGCTTTTCTAGTAACTTCTATCTTCAAGTACTGAAAATTGATTTGAAAATTGAAGTAATTATTTCATAACAATAGCAAGTTACCAAAACGACCTTAGGCACACTTTGTGTACAACAAACTCCTCTTTATTTTGTTTAATATGGCTTTTTGGGAAAATGCTGTTTCTTAATCTTCAAATTTTTCTTTCCTCTTTTTTCAGATTGTTGAGCCAATGCTTAAAGCTCTTGGTAAAGGTTCAGAACTTCTACCTGGATTTTCAGCAAAAGATTTTCAAGCGAAGGTTACATCTCAACTTCAGGTATTACAGACACATTGTTCAATGCATCATTTCCTCATTATTACGTTGATTTTAATACAATGGAGGTACCTTATATAAACATTATTCATTAAGTTAATGTCAGAAACGTCACTCATCATTTATGTATCTCAGGGACTTTTCTGTAATTCTTTCAGAATGTAGAAGTCATATGCAAAACACTGTGTTATCTAGGGTTGGGTTTTTTGGTTATGTAGTCCAAGCACACTTGGATTTTACTGCTATTTCTTAGCCATACTATATTGCATAATGTTTTATGGAATAACAAATAAATTTCTCTGCTGGTAGATTTAAAGTGCTGGAAACTAATATTTTTATAAAACTATCACGTACATTTGTGATATCATAATACAGGGGTGGGCAAATTACAGCCAGCTAGACCGGATCATCCCACCCACTTGTGTCTGCTGAAATTACGACTATAGTTTTTATGGATATGGATTTTTGTTGAAAATATCGATAAGAATGATGTCATAATGACCTCGATTGTTACATTGTGCTTCCTATTATTATATGAATGTTAGCCTAGCTGTTGGACAAGATTTTGTAAATAAAATGTTTTTATTCATAGTTTGTCATGATTTCAATTTTCATAGTTTTAAACCTCCGGCCCAGCAACCGACTCTATTATGTGTAACTGGCCCACCCCTGCCCAGAAATTGCCCACCTCTGTCATGATAGATAATTGAATCACTTAATGAAAGTTTTTTAGAAGAATTGGAATCCTTTTTGTTACTTTTAGTAATTAAAGGTTTGATCCTCAGATATCTATCCTATCACGCCGACATGTTTTGATTCAATCTGCAACTTCTAAATTATACACATGAATCCTACATCCCACGTACAAAGATGTTTTGGTTTGTAGATAGCAGTTCTGTGCACAAGAATATTGAAGTATTTTTGTTATAATTATTTCAGGGTACAGAAAAAGAGAACAATTTCATTTATCACGATACAATACCAAGGGAATCAGCATTAGAACCTATTGGAAAGGCAGTGATTGCTAAACCGAAATTATTTAAAGGAAATGAAGTGCTTAGTGCTAAATTTACGGGTACTGGCACTATTATTGTTTTAATATTTACCTTATTGTTTTTGCTCATATTACTTTAGCTGTTCTGTGCTTTTATATGTAATATCAAACATGTTCATTAACTAATAAATTTAAATGTCATTTATTTTGCTGTGTTGAATATTCATGACTACGTTTGACAATCTATATGACTTACACACTGGTCGCTCAACTTTCTAATTATTTCCTATAACATGATGAAACACAGGGATAGGGGTCGTACTTTGATTTTTCATTCTTGTTTCTTCTGACGTGGCAGCCTTTTCTCTGCCAGACCATATCAACTTTTTATGAAAAAAAAATTGATTCAGGGGTTAACGACATTGTTCGAGCAAGTGTTGCCCAACTTTATATTACCATTATAACAAAGTCTAAGTTAGATTTTATGATTGTTCAACAAATTACTTCATTAGAGGTCTCCATTTCTGAAGCACAAATTATTGACACCTACTTGTTGAGTAATCTTAATTTTTTCATTACGGTAACTAGTAACTTGTGTGATTCATGAGTATAATTTGCATTCATCATTCTTCATAGACTATATGTATAGCTATGATAATATGGGTAATTTATAGAACAACAATGACGTCGACAAAAAATAAACATTAATTAAACATTTTATATTAATATTTCAATGTGCTGGCACAAACTATGTATGTATGGATAAATTTTCCATTCATTATTTTACAATTTCCAGATGCATTCACCGGTATGGTTCCACTCACTGTGCATAATGCTATACAGTCTTACGAAAACAGAAGAAAAGAAATTGTTGAAAGAGAAGTTGCTAGATTGAGAGAGCAAACCACTCTAATTAATGGGTAACAATTGTATTCATTTTTTTTATAGGCTATTTATATTAACAAATTATAATAGAACACAAAAGCATAAGCTCTTCAAGAATAGTCGTAGGCCTATATATTAAATAGCAAATATACTGCATTGAGAATCTGGGATATGTTTTGAAGAAATGGCAAAAGTAGCCTATATGCAATAAACCTAATTCATTCAAGTCATATTTTTTCAACAATATTCAACACATAAATTTCTCTATATCTTACATTGTTTATTGAAACCTTTATCATTATGTAAGCAGTAATTATTATATTGCTATGATCCTAAGTTTACGGTCATATTGTTGGGAATTTTATAATCAAGTTATCGGCAGTTGTTGCATGGTGCTGAGTCGCCATCACATCTCTGATTATCTTTGCAAGTTTACAGTCCAAATCTAGTGGAAGATATAAAGTCCTGGAGCATTGCGGAACTGACTGTACTCATCGCCATTGTAGAGTGGTATTGACAAGGGCAAGGACCGGACAAGAGGCCTAATTTATCATATTATTGGGCCATTTTATCGTCTTTTCTTTCCCTGGGATAAATATGGAAATGAAATTCTATGTATGAATCTGATGATGACTATTCTTTCTGTTTGTCTGTTCTGTTTATTTAATGTTTCGTTATTGTTATCCAGAGTCATGTCCTCGTTGAATCTTCCTGCTGCATTAGAAGATGCTTCTGGGGGGGATCAACTCCCTCCATCTATTCTTGAGAAATCACAGGTAATAATAAGTGCTTGTCATCTGATGAGTCCAAGTCCTGCTTATTAGAATACTGGATCATTCATAGCTAGAGAATAGTTTAAAGCTAGTTTTGTAATTTCCAATTTTAGGAATGTGAGTACTGTGCAACCATTTTGTATTTCATATTTGTTATCACTTTAATGATTCTGTCTGTATTTATAGTATCACTGTATTCATTTATGCTCGGTGCATGAATATATGTAATCTGCATCAAGTATAAGTTTTATCAATTATCTATGTGAGCAAGTCACATGCATTTTCAATGCGTACCTGTAGTTAAATTAAAACAAAATGTAACTGTTTCAATATGAGTGTAACACAGCCTACCCTGGATCTAAACTTGGGCTTTTAACTCGTTGGAGAACTTATCATTATTATCTTTTCAGGCTGTACTTGGCAAAGGAGGTATACAAGCAATTGACGATCTTATGAGAGAATTACCTGAGAGTTTACAACGAAATGAGCAAATTCTTACAGAGGTATATAATGTATAATCCCCTATAGAAAATAACTGTAACTTTATATCTGCAGCTTAGGAAATTAAAACAGTAAAGAACTTAATCCAGTCTGTAGGTATTAATCCTATTCTTTATAATGTTAATTCTTATAATGCACTTGATCAATACCTTTTGTTGTTACTTAGCAAAAATCCAGTACTGCAGTGTATTTATTATGAGTTTATTCAGGTTAGCAGGATGTTGAACGAAGAACAAACAACTGATGATGAGTTGAGAGCCAAATTCGGAGCGAAATGGACCAGAACTAAATCATCTGAGCTGACTGTGCCATTAAGACAAGGTTGGTATTTCATATATAGCTGCTACCTAGGGTTTCCAGACAAAAGGGTAAAAATTTTAATTTTTGGGGAGTTTTAATTAAAGTTAGAAACCATATTCACCAAAGTATTTTAATAAAAAGTTTGGAGATATTTTTCCAGAGTTAGTTCGAATTTTCCTTATTTTCTCAAAGCAGCTTTTTCGTGGTCAAGGTTTATCAATTTAATAAAACCAAAATGAATGAAGTGAGGTTTTTTCATTAGTTAAAAGCTGGAAGACATTAATTAATTAAAAACTTTAGTTAATTAAGTAATATGGGATAATGCGAATCACTCAGTCAGAAGGGTCAAAAACTTTGATTAACTAAATATTTGAACTAAAATTCAAAGTATACTGTCATTGTCAATTACAGTGTATGGCCTAGATTAAAAATTTCTCTTACAAGTTTGTGGGGATAATGGTAATAGCATAAGAAATACCGGTGTGATCTTAAAACATATTTTGATATAATAATGTTGTGTAAAACCTATGTCGGTGATAATTTTCTATTTCCAGAGATTCAAAAGTATACAACCATTATTGACAACGCACAGAAGGCAGATAAAATAGTCAGAGAAAAGTTCAATACTCAACGTGAGGGAATAGAAATGTTGTGCATGCCTGCAGATCAACTAAAAACAGCAATACCATCGGCAAGCAAAATAGCAGCACTCAAAAATAATCCGGTATGTCCAATGATATACATATAGTTATTTGAAGCAATTTTTTTTATCCATTTCTGGTTATTCATTCTTGGTAAATGAGTTGGATATCTTGAACTTTATCAGAAAAGGGATAAACATAGTATGTGTAGCAGGTTAAGGTAAGGCCATAATTTTAGGTACAAATAGCACTGGAGTCACTTGGCTATTCCCCGAACTCGTAATAGAACTTAAATAAGGAAAATTGGAATAAAATTAGGGCCTAACGCTAACCTGGTACGCATATATTACCTTCCGATGTCCGCCATCTTGGTTCACTTCAGGAGTACCAGAATAAGACTTATGTGTGAATTTGCTTGTTAATCAGAATGTATACTGATATCGCACTAATATAAATATTTAACTTATCAGTGACTTTCAGTGCTTAATAAATTATTCATAGTCTCATGTGATGGTTCTTCTTTGTTTTGTTTGGGTTTCTATAAGTAAATTTGACTTAAGTGTTTGCTCCCACAATTCCACTGAAGTCTGTTTCATTTTATGAATGCATTTTTAATAAGAAAATCTAATTTATTGATACATTACTGGCTAATCAAATGTTTAAACTATGTGTTAATGCATGTACTATACTATGATACTACTGCTACCATGAAATATCTTGATGTCTTTTCTTAGTATAAATCAGTGGTTTCCAAACTTTGGTACGGGTAAGCTTTCCAAGCGGTATGATATGTTCTAAAAAAATGTAAAATTATATTTGTTTTCACATAAATTCCCACAGAGAAATGAGGTTATGTGAATTTGACTTTTTTTAATATTAGATTCTCAGTAATATGCATGTCTCCTTGAGTGGGCTAGCTTTTTCTGTATCACAAAATTAGTTGTCGAAGTGATATGCAGTTACAGAATAACTTCTCACAAGGGGCACTCAGCATTAAAAAGGTTCCCTGATCTAGATGAATTCTATCTTATGTTTTCATTTTTTTCCGAATCCACCGTATATATATACTTATTTTTATGATATCAAAATTTATTTAACAATTAAGGTTGTAACTGAACTTCGTCAATTGTGTGAGCAAGCTGAAACACTGAAAGCGGAAAGAGAAGTTATTGAAAATGAAATAGGTGGAGCTAAATCTGATATGACCGATAAATTCACGGAGGTAAGCAAGTTTTTCATAATGCTGTTGGAAGTTGTATAGTTATGACGCATCTCAAAAATTAATTTTTTTTTCTCCATGCAAAATGGACTAAAGGTAAGCCACAAGTCTTCTTCTAAAACGGAGAAATTCATAAAGCTGTTATAGAGTCTGTTTCAATATATCTTGACCCAGTTGGTTTTATTTTAATCAGTGTTAAGTATTTTTTTAATATGCCTTTATATGTTTACGGTTAGTTGCACGAAGCACATTTATGAACACTTCAATGACTCAGGACTCGCACTTCTTATTACCATAGTTTCATCACCTTACATTCTTTTAGGCATTGGCATCAGAAGGGGTTTTAAATGAAGAATCCATATCTATTGAAGAACTTGATCGTGTTTATCAACCTCTCATACAGCAAGTTACAGAATCTGTTCACAGACAGGAGTCAGTGCTAGCTAATATCCAGGTAATATGATTGGCTGTACTTAGTCTTAACTTGTAACTTGCTCACCAAAATTGATTGAATTGCTATCATAGACATATGTGAGGCGATAGAATATGGCAAACAAATATATTCATAATTCCATGTAGGTCATTGTTTTAACTGATTTTCAATGTTATTACCATCCTAGTTGAGTTCAATATAAATTTATGTAAGATTTGTCTCTGAAGTGGAGGTTTATTTATGTTTAGTTCCTAATACAGGATAGTATGGGGATTGCTAACCATTTAATTGGGCATACCTGGCACAACAAATGAAATAGAAATTGATATGATGCTCTGGTACAGAGGTAGTTCACAGATTATGGTAAACCCTTCAAATTTATATTTCAGAGAGCAAGTGAGCAGTTTACCACGCTAAAATCTCAAGGTGCAGGTGGAAATAATCGAGATGAAGTTTTGAAAAAAATTGCTGCAGCTCACGATGGATACATGGAACTGATTGCTAACTTACAAGTAAGTATTGTATTGGTATTGGAATGCTTCTCACTTGATAAAATGAATATTTAGAATAGACCGAATAGTTAGAGCAGTGGTTCTTAAACTTTTTAAACCGGGCCCCCTTTTTCGAATTTGTCAAGTCTCGCAGCCCACCTCGAAAATAACTAGCTAACAATAAGCTACAAATAACATGTAGTAAGGCGAAAGAATGTTTTATTAAAAAAAACATGTTGAAAATACGCAGATGGAACGTAAAAATCCAAAATAAAGAAATGTAAATATCCCAAATAAGGCGGGCACAATCAAATATTTTTATTTTTAATTAGCTTCATGCCCCCCTCGAAAAATTCTTCACCCCCCCTTGTGGTCGCACCCCAACCACTGAGTTGGAGGGTTCCCATTTTGAATCCCTACTTGTTCATGTTTATGTCAATGTGTGTTTTGCCACATTCTTTCAACTATTTCGCAAAGCTGAAAATATAGAGGCAGCTTTATTCATAAAAATATTGATTTTTTATTTTGAAACTTAGGAAGGGAAGAAATTTTATGGAGATTTGACTCAACTTCTGATTAAACTCCAAAATAAATGCAGTGATCTTGTTTTCGCAAGAAAAACTGAAAAGGAAGAAATAATGAAGTAAGAATATAGATTATAAATTCATTAACAACATACCATTTGCTTTTACTGACAATAAATCGTAGATTAACATATATGTACAACTTATATTTGAAGGAACTGTTGTAAAAATATAATTCTGAATGGAAAATAAATATTCTATTGTGTTATTGGTAAGACCAAATATATAATATTTAAACTAGTTTATATATCTAATTAAATTGATTAAGATTTTATTGCCATTATATCTGGGGAAAACTGAATTTGCTTTTCTATAGCTTTTCAACATCCCTAACACTTAAAAAAGTATGAAGCTTCTCATATTGCTAATGCCAGTAGTCAGGGATTCGCAGACCAAATTAAATATTCTAACACATTTGAAATTGATAATATTCGATGTATTAAATTCTTAATTTTAGAAATAATTTACAAAAGTTTCATTAATTAAAATTTTTTATTTTAAGCATTTGGCATATGATAGTCGGACAGAAAATAGACTTCTGATTCTGTATTATCAAATTTAATATTTTTGAATTTGCAACGATTTATACAAATTTCTCTGTTGAAAATGTTTCATTTAAAATATATACTATATTCAGGAATATTATTTCGTAATAGTCAGTTGTTCGATTTCAACCATCCCTGCGTATAGTTTATTTTCTATCGTTTCACATCTAATTAGATTACAGCCAATTTACTTCATATAGTCTGAATTGAGTCTCACTCACATTGTTATGCTTTAGGTGGATGTGAGATGGCGATGAGAAGCATTTAGCAGATGATATCCATCTTTGTCGTTTATATAGTCATCTATGTTTTGTACTAATTTTATAATTTATGCAGTTTGTATTAAAGGAACCCAATAGATTTATGAATTCAAATGTTACTTTATCATAATCCTATATAGCAATTTAATATTAAAAAAAAGCAATTATTTCAGGTATTACTACCCAGGCTTTTGTATTGTGCAACTAATCCTTAACCTTTGCCTTAATGTGGAAAGCAGTTTTATATATAATTTCCTATTTTCTAGCACTTGATTTATTGTACAAATTGGGCCTTTAAAAGCAATTTATGCACTTTATGATAAAATGGAAATATTTTAATAGTAAGTGGTGATATCGTCTGAATTCTAATATGAATATTTCTGTAGTAAAGAATAAAGATAATGATGTGTGTTTGTAGAATACTTATCCAGTTTTAATAATTAATCTTTATATACCGTTACTCATCATTTATATGTTGGGTGGGTATATCACTCACTGTTACTTGACTAAACTGCTGTTTGAGATTAATATATATGTTTAAGCAGTACATATTATAATACGTATCATTTACCTAATTCTTCAAGCTATTTTTACGTAATTATCAAAAATGTTTTCATTATTTTCATTATTGATGAGTGTTTATGAATATTTACATTCCAACTTTTAATTCTTGAATTTCATTTATCGTGCATCAAATCCATGATAGATATATCATATTTATGTATCCTATATGCTTTGCACAATGAGGGACACTCTGGTGAAACAATTCCTAATTTTGCTTCCATTACTTTAATTACTGATTGTATATTCCAAGATACATATCCCTGCTCTTTGTATAATTTAATGCTAATTGATGTCTTCACATTTAAATCCCAGCTTTACATTTATGTTCTGAAAAGTTTCTTGCTATAGGTGTGGTCATATAATAATTCTGTTATTTGTCATAGATATGCACTAATAAACAATTTTCATGCAAAATGCTTGTTCTTGTCTGGTTTATTAATTCTGATTCTTGTTGTTCATTAGGGATATGCAGCAGAGTATTGTCACTCAGGGTCCAGGGGAGTCCGCACCGCCGCCATCATATCATGACGAGGTCAAAAAAGCGCCACCCAGGCCCCCTCCACCAACCACTTCAGCTGCTACATCATCTCCGAGACCCCCAGTGGCAGCCCCGAGGTCAGTAGGATTTTAGTTTAATTTCTCTCAGGGATTAGGGATCATGCTCTCAGGGATCTGAATTATTATCCAGGAAGAAGATATGGGAGAATAAAATTTGAGATTACTATTGACCATGGTTTCAATAAGTCTAAAATGTTTGATTATTTTGAATTTTCGGATCCTGGGGTTCCTTAAATGGTCGAGTGCAGCAGGCAAAAAATGTGAGGTCTTCATTACAATGCGCAGAAATGGTATTCACTACTGTGAAAAAAAACATGACACGTATGATAGCTGTTGTTTTGTCACTTTTGTCGGTTGGTGTGTCATGCTAAGCGTTAGGAACATGTTTATACCATCTGGCATCGTACCTCTAGTAAGCCATACGGTTGAGGATGATTCTGTGCCAAAACAATTGCAGAGCTCCTCCTTGTTGTAGGGTGGTTTGTATGTTCATTGTCGGTCGGTCAGACTTCCCCCACCATCAAGTCCAAGCATTCGTACAAATAACTGGTCCACTGTTGGTATATTCAAGCTGTCCAATTACCATTCCTCTACTTGGGATAAATCTGGGCATCTATATTGGAGTTGGTTATTGTGGAGGTGTGCAGTGCGTAATTGAATGACATGTCCGCACACATACATTTTTTAATGGAAACTAGGAAAGAATCATGGATTTTAAAATTAAGATATTGCTGAAGATTCTCTAAAATCACGTTTTACAGAAAGGCGCCGGCACCTGTCCCTCCTAATGCAGCTGCTGCTGCACCTTATGCTCCAACACCTTCTGCTGCCAGTGTAACCCAGTCTCAGAGCCAAGTTCCTGGTGCTCCATCATATCAGCCTCCTCCTCAAGGATATGGGTAAGTTCAGTGTTTCAGGTAATATGCAAAAGAAATAATTGGAATCAAGGACTAGGTAGTATTTTTACTTAGCATTGTAAATTGAGTCATATTGGTAATTACACACAGGTATTTTTCAATATCCTGGGTGGTTGCGAAATTCATGCACTAATATATTATAAATTATGATATTGCAACAAATTAGGAAATTCGTGTTAGCTTTTTTATATTTTACGCCATTCGGAAAAAAAAGACTTTTGTAGATAGCTTCATATAACAAAAGATCATAATAACCCGTCAATAGCGATAGAACAACTAAGTTTCGGGATGACCAAAGTCAGTCAAGTTCAAACTGTTAGTTTGTTACCATTATTGTGTAGTCTTACCGAATTTAATAACTCTCTTATTTTTCAGATATCCTCCCCCTATGCCAGGTTATGCTGGATATCCTCAACACGGTTATGCACCCTATGGCGGGGCACCCCCTACCGCGCCTGGGTATTACCAGCCTCCACCAGGACCAGGTTATCCTCAACCACCGCAAGGCATGGGATACGCTCCAGGTGGCATGCCACCCTATCCTCAACCTGGACAGTATCAAGGGTACCCACCACAGCCTGGTTATCCTCCTCAGCCTGGTCCATACCCACACCAACCACCATATTGAAATTTCTTCAAGAGATATTTATAATAATTTGTATATAAGTCGAGTATTTCAATGGGAGAATCATTTATTCAAGTGTATATTTGATTGCTTCGCGTGGAGCAGTTCCACGCTGCTGAAATAGGAATCCATTGACTATGTTTGCCGCCTTACTTCTCTCTTCTGCTCTGAAATTGCTCCAACAGCGATTACATTAATTTGCTAATTATGGTGTACCATACCATACAACCAACTAACTGTCTGTTAGACAGTACTGGAGCTTGATATTGATTATAATAAATTTCAATTTTGGTGACACTTCAGAAATATTTCCTACTCTTATATTCTGGTAGATAATTGAATACAATTGGTACAAATAGTTACTATGTGTTCTTATGCAAATTGCTTACCTTGTAGAACCGTTTTCCCTGACTATCAATGATTTATCAGAAGGTTGCTAATTGCCTATACCTAGCTAATTGTACATATACTATGAATATTATAACGTATCATTTGCAATATTACTTTGTATACAGCACACCTGAGTGTGAGCAAAAGTTTGTCTTGCATGTAATTAGTTATCAGTATACTTTAATGCCAAATGGCTGAATTTTGAAGTGCAAGTTTCCCCAATAATAACTGTTCACATTTACTAAAATTGGTGACAATAATTTAGTTGCTGTTTTCTTGTGTGAATTACATTTAGAGGTTATTCACTTCTCTCTGCCTGACTTCTTATCTATATGAAAAATATATAGTGTAACAATAAAACATACCTTAGTCTGCTTTTCACTTTGTAATTACTGTATATATTACTGATTTATGAGCTCTTTAATTATGGGATCGACATATTGCGATTGAGAAAATAAAATATGTGCACATGGATTAAAACAACTTTTTTACTGAGTAAAAGCCCAACATTTAGTATTTGTATCAGAAGTTGGTATCGGAGTGAACAAATCAGATTTGTGTTGTGCTGTTGATCATGTGATGTATTTAAGCGGTAATTTAATATCTTAGCGTCTTTTGGGATGGTGGGATCCGGATTTGTGAACAGACAGTGTGGTAAGTGCCGGTGTCTTGAGTTGAGGTTGCCTATGTAGCACTTTTTATGATCCATGAGTGTCCACATGTACGAGCATTGCTGCAGTTGGGTTTTGACAGGCAAAAGTGGGAGGATTCCTGTTTCATCAAGAAGTGGAAGCTCTTCACATATCGTTATATATTAGGGCCGCTTGCAGAGGGACTTCTTATGGAGGAAAATGCATGGTATATATAAAAGGTTTCAGAGTCTGGCTCCGATTTTGAGTTCGGATTTGGAGTCTTCAAATTTTAACTCTCTGTCCTTGCACTAAGAATGTCTATTGTCCTTGACTGTATAGTGGCCCAAAGCATATATATATAAATATGATGTTCTGATATGCGCTCTGAGGGGCTATTCAAACAGTGATTGTGACCCTGTAACAAGCCAAAACAAGCACCATCGCACCGACGATCGGGATTATATGTCAGGTTGTTTTATGTTTTACTAGGGCGCACTATTGATATTCAAAATGGTATTTATTTGTGTTATATTTTTAGGGTAGAGCTCACTACACGACACTAATAACATGTTCACAACGAATATTTGCCTTTATATTTCAGGCACACGTGGTATGGAGGGAAGTTGCAAGATGGCGCGGCGGTGTGGCTCATCGTGCTAAGCGTTAGGAATACGCTCGCCACCGCACCTCTGACTACTCTGCGTGGCTTCGCAGGTTCGAATTCCATGCAGGGATGGTTATGTGCGAGAGGATTGCTGGACTCCTCGCCGCCGTTGGGTAGTTCACGTAACCGCTGGTCGGTTACGGCTTCCTCCACCACCAAGTCCATGCTTCCGAAAACAAATAACTAACTAATCCCATACCCGACATGGAATGGTAACCGGACGAGAGGCCGTGGTTCGCCTTATGGTTAATCCGTCTTATAGGCTTTCCTCTTCCCCTGGATAAATATGTAAATTCTATCCTGTCCTATGTTACGCCAATTAGGTCTGTACGTGGGTTTCGCAAGTTCGAATTTATTTTTACTGAACCTGTCTACCTAAGAGTAAATTTGATCTGACGTGGACACGTTACGACATTTTACACCAGTCATCTCGGTGCATTGGAGGAAATTGAACAAGTTCATATTCGCATACTCAACCTTAATGACAACAGGACATGAGCTTATTGGAGATTACTCGAATAGTGCGAAATCAGTATCAGGTTACTTGCAGAAAATTACTTTACAGGAGAGGAAAAACGACAAGATATGGCGAACCATGGCCTCACGCACGGTTACCAGTCCATATCGGGCATGGGAATAGTTGGCCGGTTATTTGTTTCCAGATGCGTGGACTTTATGCAGTTTTTAAAAAACGGAAAGATATGGCGAACCACGGTGGCTCGCCGGGTTATCAGTCCATGTCGGAATACCATTGCCAAGTTTCGCAGCCGTGTTCTTTTCTATCTTGGTGGCGCTGTCTGCCTTTGCTATATTCAGAAGCTGTCATCACAGGCAAGATCGCCATGACTTTATTGCAAATGTTAGGCTACCGGTGACGCGCTTTGGCTCGCCGGCTATTTTGTTTTATACAATGTAAAGATGTTGGTACGGTACCGGTATATATGCAGATGTAAGCATGTATCGGGATGCTATATATACGATATTAATATATGATTCAGAATATCAAATATTTCAATTAGTTTGTGATGTTTTTCCATACCGGAATGTCAACCATGCCATCAATCTTTTCGGCAAATTAAGTCAGTAAAATAGTTGGTTAACCCGTTGACGTCAGGGGTAGGACGGCAACTGGCAATTCATATTAACTCGTTTATTCTTAATAAATTTACTTCGGAACAAAAGTTGAAGAAAAGTAAATATTCTTCAGTCTGCAAAGGCAGAAAGGGATACCTGGATACAGTATTACTGTATTAAGTATTCCAGTATTCGGTGAAATCGCATTACTAATATTCTATGTTTTAACAGTCCTGGATGAAAAAGGCAGCTGTTTACTGTGGGATTCCTTCGGTTCTGTATCTTTATCGTGCATGACCTCTTTAAATTTAGTAGATCAGTAGATAGCAATGTATTGCTAATTGAGAAAAAATCGAGGAAATGTAATAGCTGAATAGCCTATTTGTAATATTTCTTCACCAACAGTGTGTTGTTAGTTACTGTATAAGGATGCTAACGTAATAAATATCTAAAAATTAATTTGAAGTGAAACTGTGCCTGTCATATAATTTGGAAACCTGAAGATTCAGTTACAGACTATCTGCAGATCTGACTATAATGGATATGATGGATCAAGATCAAGTTTTGCTTTTCGTTCGAGAGCCGGTAATGTTTTTTTTTACAGTTGTAAAATTCTTTTTGATCCAAAAAATAATAAATATTCATTCAAGATGGTCGGAAAATTACAAGCCAATGTGAAATTATTATTTATATTGAAGATTGTCAAAATATGATTTTATGGGATTTCATATTAATTATCATTATTAGGAGAAAATAAAGAAAATTGATATCATGTTTTGCTTTGTTGAATAGATAATAGACAACTTATTCAAATAACGAGGACATAGTCATCATAATAATATTCACTACAGCAATAAACAGTAGAATAAGAAGCAAAATTGTTAAATGTTTTCTGATTAAAAAACATGTTGTTCATCTCACAGGACATGCTAAAACGAATGGACAATGGTCAAAAACTTATTGAATACTTAAGCAGTCTTGAGGGAAAACTAAGATGGGACAATTTGGATCGCGTCATAGATTCTTTATCAACATATTGGGTCACCACTAGTAATTTCAAAGTAAGTGTTTTCATATCGTATTTATAGAATTTATGTTTTTTCTGTGATTTTGCAGGTCATCATTTATATCGATGATTTTACCTTAAAATTATTTTCATTTTCTTCGTCTCCTGCCGTTTTCACCATCAGGGATTTTTATCTATTTTATCATTTAGGTTTTTAGAATTCGCTCTTTCAAAATGAGCAATTTTTAAATTGGATTGGAACTATTTAATACTCATGCAAAATTTAATATTCGGGCTATCAACTTGTGCACAATCTTGTCGAAATTGACCAGGCTTAGCAATATCTGTCTCCATAGTGTTTTCCATTTTAGCATCATAAAAGAATTGATTTTATAAATAGATTGGTGAAAAGTTAGTCTAAAAATCTTTATGATGGAGATGGAATAAATAATATTCTTTGTAGTCGATGATCAACATTCTACCACAATACTCAATAACCCTAGATTTCATACGATTTACATCATAACAAAATTACATAGAAAGTCTTAGTTTCATCGGTCTCATTTTTTTTCTATCTCTTCATCGTAGGTTTCCCTTCTTGGATTGGATATTCTCAGTTTACTTGTTGAAAGAATGGAAGATGAATTTCAGTTTCATTACAACTCAAGTATGTTCATAAATCCATTGATTGTATTGTTTTTCAAGTTTTTCTTATATTATCAGACATTTTATACATCAGACATGATTGCCAATCTGAGTATGATTTAGCTTTTTATTTTATAATATGCATTCAGGATATGCTTAGGAATAGGTGGACAGCAATGTCATATATATATGTTGAGAATTTAGTATTTTGAATATTAATAATTAAACTTATCGAGGGTTTTTTCAAATTTGAGAAAATAATAATGGATTATGAATTTATTTAAAATGAGAATGACAGCCAAAGATAAATATCAGATTTATCTTGATTTTTGAATATATGGATGTTTAGCAGAATGTCCGTCACAAAACCTTGCGAATCCATAAATGAGTTCTCAAAATTTGCATAAACTACAATCAATCTTTTTTCAATATTACAGTTACAATGAACAAGTTTACTATGTTTAGGCTTACCGATTTGGAATGACCATTACGGTAATTATATTTCCAAGTAGATAAAAAGTAAATTGAGATTGAAACCTGTCTGAGGTGTCATGAAACATATTTTAATATTGAATTCATCAAAGCTGAAGTTACAGTAAATACCAGTAATTATAGTTTTTTATCGTATATGTTTTTGTATCACTGTATTTTTGAAAAAATATTTAAATGTTGAATTGATTGTGAAAATAATACCTTTAAGATTAAATTTTGTCCTCTTTTGACCTTGGCCTTACCAGCCATTGATACCTGTTAAAGATTGATTAAATAGGTTCATATTAGTGTAAATTACAGTGCGTTAGCACCAGCTTAATGATCCAAATCTAAATCCACACTTTCACGAAAGCACATAGATCAATAATCGCTACCAAGTGCAGGGTATTGATTATGTGATTTGCAATACAACACACACAGCTGTAGCCTGTAGGAATATAACTCAAGGGAGAGAGAGAACGTCAGACCAGACGATCTATCCTTCAATTATTGATTGATTCTTGTTTCCTTTACAACTCATTTTATAGAATATATCTACGGAAATTTTTAATTTACCAAATGTGAGACGTGGATAAAACAAACATCATGATTTTAATTTATTGACCAACATCATGCATCACTAATGATAAAATGTTTCAAACAGTTTCTCTCTTAATTTCTCCATTTATTGAAGTTTTTAATTTATTCCTTATTTGAAAATAAAAATAATCAGTATCAGTAGTCTGTACGTTTTATTGTGATGTATAGTAATAGTTGTGACAAAAATGTTGATATAATTTTCATCAATTTTGGGGATAAAAAACAATTGGTATTTCGTGAATGAAATGTAAATAAATAATATTAGAGCTTCTCAACACCCATGATAATATTTTTAAAGAATTAATGTAGTAATGTACATAAAAGTGTCAAAAAAGAATTGAGTTTTTGGATACCACTTGTAATCAATTATAATATAAATAAGGCCATCTGAAATTTAATAAGTAAACTGTTAATTTCAAGTATAATGTTTCTTTTGAAGTTATTTCGGGCCTTTGACAGTTCGATAAAAATAATTTATTCAAATTCTGAAAACTATAGAAAGTTAAAAACCAAAGGAAATAATGTTGAACTATAATTTGTCACATTTTCAATACTGGTAATTATAATTTACCAGTATTTATTGAAATTGCACTATTGACATGACACAATTCAGATATGTATTTGACGTTTTATTGAAAGAATGAATTCATAATAGTGTATTGTATGATTTTGTCCATCTATAAATATATCTTGAAAATGTTATATACTATCTTCTTAAATTTACTAATATTACGATAATACTGCCTTATATTTGACCAATATTTATGCATCAAGTTACACACTATTTTTGAAAAACTAATAAGTACTTCACCAGTGTCGCTACAGTTTTGTTTAGCAAAGTGTAGTGACTTTAAAGCTTCGCAAAATATTTAAAGGTACCGGTACTTGACAATCTTGCATACTTCTTCAGTACTGCTTAGCAACAGAATGTTTTATTAATTATATTCATACTCCTTAGGAATTACTGACACTGTTTTGTCATGACTTGTTTCTTGCAATAAAAGTTGCTTTGAAAATAGGTTACTGTTGAGGTTACATGAAACTAACTAACTACTTGCCTTGCTCTATGCCTTTGCGCATGTGGATACGTATGCGTAAAGCGCAAGGATGCTATAGCAAGAGTGAAAATGACTATTCTATTTAATTCTTAAATTAATTTGAAAATAGGTATAGCAAAATATTTACATATTAGGTTTTATAGTGATTAAGGTGAACTGAGATGAAAACAGACAATGTCTAACCACTAAATACTGTATTATTAAAGAAAGCCAAGTTTATATAGATTACCACGAACTTTAGTTTGAAAGCTGTTTATGTTATGTTTTTTACCCACAAACCTAACCTCATAATAAAGTTTTGCTGTGTTCCTGGCCACATTTGGCAAGTGGGTTTTCTTCAGGTTTAAGTGTACTTACTGGTTTCCTGTATAAGTGGTCTACCCACCACGCTTCAATGTCAAATCGCATACTTGGAATGAATTTTTTCAATCTTGCTTAAATTATTTAAATAACTAAGCTAAGAATATATCCAATAAATTTATTATTCAATTAATTGCTTGAAGTTGATATTTTTACTCAACTTGATTATATTCTGTAATAAAATATGGTAATTGTAGTCCATCCTAATTCATATAAATTACATATTTCTCAATAAAAAATTCTCTTCATTATGCAAGTCTGATAGATTTGTATATACATTAAACTATATTTTCACAATGTGTTTCATATTATTAGACACCAGTCATTTTGTTATCCACATTCATTTTTATGAATCATTATATTATATTACATTGCCTCTTGCATCTTTTAGTTCAACACGCTCTGATTGACAGACTTGGAGATCAAAAAGAACAAGTTAGAAGTGCAAGTGTTACTCTGCTCACAAATATTATGGAAGCCTCTGCCAGTCCACAAGTAAGCCTGATATTTTTGTTTATCAATTTTTTGTATATCATGAACCAATGTTAAAAGAACTTTTGTATTAAAGCAGTGGTTCCCTTTTTTTTTCATTTTTCTCTTTCTGTTTAATTTGGATTTCCTTATTCCTTTCTTACTATGCATAAAAATATGTTTCCATTATAAATTCAACCTTTTATAGATTTTTAGCTAGTGTTACATGCAATTTGTTATCTGGCTTTTGCACACTTTGAGCAGTTAATAGTTTGTACATAAATATGTATTACAGTAATACTAAATAAATGAACAATATTATTACACAGGATATTAGGCTAAGTTTTTTTTTTTCCCCGAAAACAAAATTTCTCACCAGTTAGGAAATGGTGTTTTAGAGCTTTGTTTTATAGGTCATTTATTTAATTTATTCAAAAAATGTGCTGAACTATTCTAGCTGATTGTGTATTATTACTACCAATAGTTGATATTTGAATTAATCTTCAAAAATTGCCATTAATTATTTGGGTCCAGTACCCTTTCTAAAGTTATCACGCTGTGAAATTCTTTCTGATCTTGGAATTAGTTGGATTATTGTTCACTTGTAATCTGAGAATTACCATGAGATTATCATAATTTATTATGTTCTAATTAGGGTGGAGGGTTCACTAAATAATTGTCTGTTTAGTATATGGAAATGTTGTGTATTAATTGAACTACGTTTTTAACAGTTTGTAACAATCAATTGTCCACCTAAAATTAATTGAAAATTTTAAGGATGGAATATTTTTTTAAATCTTGATATAGTCCTGCTTAGGCTATTGAATTTTCTATAGTACCAGTACCAGATATGTCAAGTTACTTTAATTTGTTGATTGGTTGTGTGTCTATGGTTGCTTTTGCATAGAAAGAAATTTGACTCAAAGACCTTTTTTATTCGTCATATTCATGTCTTTCGCTCCAAGCAAAGCTCTGTACAAGCAGCTACTGAAATGTAAGAACTACTTCATTTAAAAGGACCCGCATCTGTTCCTTTCAGCATTGCTTATGCCGATTTGTTACACATTGGGTGGATTGGTAGACACAGACATTTGAGCCGGAATTTTAACCTGTAATGCTGTTATAGTATATCAAGTCTGTATTTATTATCACTGAATTTAATACAAATACCAAACATCTGAAGCTTGTTGAATGCGCCACAGGATTTAGATGATCTAACTTCTTGTGAAATAAAATTTCAATTTTACCATTTATTTCCTATATTTACAGTTTATTTTCGATCGACTCACTCACACAGTATTTTCTCACAAAGTATGGAGAGTACGAGAGAGTGTATGCATCCTTCTTTCTGCTACTATCAACAGATTCGGAGCTCGATCACTGGCTCTGAGTAAAGTTGTTCCTCACATTTGTAAACTACTTTCTGATCCTAATGTGCAGGTAGGTATTTATTATACTGAATATCTGATTACTCCAAAATTACCAGGAAAGAACAATAAATTACTTTTTTTATCATTGTACCCACTGAATAGTTGTAAAACTATAGATTTTTCATTGTCAGTGTTGGTAAATCAGCCATTCAATATTTGCATGTACCGTAATTCTCCCTATTTTTTACATTGTCGCTTGCAGTTCGGAAACCTACGTACTAGTTTCGTACAATGATCTTTATGTTTCTCGTGTACAAATCCCATGGGGAATATATCATCGTTATTGATGTTCAATACGAGGCATTCGTAAAATGTCACCTGACCCTTCCAACTTTGTTCATGATACATCATGCGGCCATGTAGTGGGAAAGAACAACCAACTTTTTGTCTTGAAGTGAAAGGCAGAAGGCCAGAGACAATTAGCATTGGGTTCAGAATTTCCTCACTATAGTAGTTTTCCCACTGAATTCAAGTATATAGTATTTTGACAATCGACATTATGTATAGTTTTGTCTCATTTCCAAATTCATTGAACGCTACTCTAAAGCGGCTATAGTCATTTATTAGTCATGCTATGTTTGGTTGAGGGTATTATACATATATATATATATATACGGTATAAGTCGTGTATTTCTCATTAGTATCATCACTAGTATCATCAAATTTGTAAAATTAAAGGCCATGTACACTGAGGTATAGTTTAGCCTCAAAATGCCTGTTTACTCATACATGGCTGATGTGGTGCAACCTATGTCATTGAATACATAACTAGACTGAAATTTCAGACAAGGAACTATTATTTTTAAACCTGTTCCGTGTTGAATAAGGCTATAATATGAGGTAGAGTTTGGTATACATTTCAAGTTAACTCTATTTCCAAATGCATAAATTCAAATTCCATTGCTATAACAGATTTGGATAATTACTAATTGTCAATAAGCCTATTAGATTCATTCGTGACTTACTATGTAGATAATATAGTACATTCAGAATGTTTACTCAGTAAAGTAAAAGTATTAAACGTTATAAAGTTCAAATATCATTATTGGGAATTTCTATATCTAACTAAAGATAAAATGTTTCTTTGTGCAAATATTAAATTGTTGGCATTCGGTAGGCTATTATCCTGTCCTGGGTCACACCATTGGATAATAATACCAATTCACCACATATAAATTAATATAATCTGGTCTTGACTACGGTTGACAACTCTGCATTTTTCAAACTTTCACAGGTTCGTGAAACTGCTTTGTCAACACTAGGTGAAATATACCGACACGTTGGTGAAAAAGTTAGGCAAGATATCCAGAAACGAGGATTACCACCAAACAGGTATGTAGAATACATAATGATATTGTTGGTAGCTTTTCCACAATTACAGTGCAGACATTTCTGGCTTTCATTCGGATTGACGAAAACTGAAAACTTTAAGTCGATTATTATATATATGGTCATTGGTCAATAATATTAATCATTTTTATCACTTTTACGGATTGAATGCAATTGTTGTTTCTCCATTCAAGTCTTTATTGAATTAATATGATTGATTTAAATTGTAAATTCAGGATATTGTGTTCCTACAGCACAGATGGTGTATCCATCAAATCCGCTTGGTGATTCTGAAAAATTTAACCTTATCGTGATTTTCAGATTGGCTCAAGTTCTTGACAGTTTTGATGAAATTTATCAATCTGGGAAGATGGAGATGGAACATGAAAATGAAACAGGTACAAGTCATGACTTCGGTCATCATTAAAGGGTTTAGCAACTATTTCATTCTTCGAAACAAGTCTATAAGCTAGCATAATATATATGAAAGTTTAGTAATTAAAAATACTTGAATTGTGTTGCTTAGCCTTCTTCAATATGTTAGTTATTGACTTGATTGCTATCTGTCATGTACTCATGTTATCAAATTAATGCCTGTTTACATCTCTGAATGCATTGGGAGCAATACTGTTGTGCGGAATCCTTATGCTAATATATCTGATTTGAAGTGTGTGCGCAGGCAAATTAGGGTTGTGAAATGTTTTGGGTTTACATATATAAAACATGTGCCAAATTGTTATAGTAAAAGCTTCGTAGGATGAACATAAGAAAAATGGAGGGTACATGCTAAATCGGGACTATAATATTAAATACACAGGTATTGCAGAACTACTATATTCTGGCATGATCTTATTTTATTTGTTTAGATGTATGTTTACAATATGACTTTCCATTATTACTCTAGCTTCTGTAACAAGTTCTGGAAGTTTCGGTTCTGTAGGCAGCACAACACTAAATTCATCATCAAGTTATATGAAACCACCAACCACATCTTATGTCCCGAATAATCATAGAGCATCAACAGCAGTGGGAAGTCGCACTACTACAACGCATGAAGCAAGAGGCAAGTATTTGAGCGCTTAGTTCCTCAAATTCCTATTTGTATGTGTTATTAGAAAAAGATAGAAATTGTAGCATATGCGAAGATTTTGTTGTATGTTGCTTTTATATGATGCTTAGGTACACTTGTCACTCAGAACAAGGTACTGTACAAACGGCGGCATTGGTATATAACAATTTGTAAGGAGCTACTACTTTTGCTGGGCCAATGGGGTCTTCTTGGTTCGGCATTGCCTACTCGGCCTTTTACACCCTGGGGGACGCAGCAGGCAGATGTATTTAACCCCCAATGTCAACCCACCGCCTCAAATAAATGGGTACTCCTGTAGTCTGTGTACCAGTTTAGGGTTAGGCCATAATTTTATTCCGATTTCCCTTATTTTAGTTCTATTAGAGTTCGAGGACTGTCGGTGTTAAACAAGTGAATATCCCCCTGCCCAACTGGATGTAAAGTAGACGAACAAAATTAGTTACCTCCACATTGGTACATTGAGCGCCACAGGCTAGATGTGTAACCTGCAATGTCAATCCACTGCCTTGAGAAATGATTTGTATTTTACCTATTGAACAAAGCAACTAGGGCTTCCCAATCCACAGCATACTTAATAATTTAAATCTTCATTTTATGACCCCATCTGGTTGATTTCCTTTCTAAATTATTTTTATTATGTTACAGCTCAAACAGCAATTGGCAGAAGATCAGTAGCACCCAAGTCATCTGGAGCTGAAGGTTTGTTATTTTTACATGTTTTATGGCCAATTTGTGTTTCAATAACTATTTGTAATTAAGTGAGGAAGATAATCTATATTTAGTTACACAAGTTGTAACTTCAGGAATCGAGCCTGATTTAAATTTTATGAGGTGTTTTATCTTGACAATACGCAATATTATAGTAGGTTTTGATATACAGGGTGTTTATATGTATTCAAAAGATCTGGAATCTAGAGAGTTTATGAGAATGGGATTTTAGTTTTTAAGATCTTTTGCCTAGGACGCTCACATGTTAGTTGCAACACATTTTTGTTTTTACCACAGTTTTTCAGAATTTTATTGTTTCAAAAGTTTCATTTATTCCCAATTTTATAGAAAGTTATGTGAGCTTCAGTATTTGTTGTCCAGATTTGTCTTTCATTTTAGATCTTTTATGTTCAATTTTGTTTATATTCTCTTTCTTTAATAAGTCAGAATATGAAATGAACCCAGTATTCCAAACTAGGAGTAACTTGTATTATACATGGGTTTTATCATTACTAATATGATAACATACTGTCAACGGATTGCTAGGTTATTAAATAAAAAGCCCAGAGTAAAGCAAAAGCCAAGATGTAAACCAAGATGAGGGGCCGCATCTTAGGGGAAATTTGCTATTTTTTTCAAAGTATGATTAGTGATTACTGTATTCAATTCATATTATGTTTTGATGCAAAAATTGAAAATGAAGGCAATAATTTTATCTCAATGTTATTGTACTAGCTATTTAGAAGCAGATATCACCCAACAATTTAGTTCTATACTTGAACTTGATTAAAATTTTACATATCAATGGTTATTCCTGCTGTACTTTACATCTATACATTGTAAAAGCTTGATAACATACATCATTTCTTTCTGTTGGAAATAAGATATGTTTGGTGGTGATGATATGTGTATTTAATTACTGTGTACCTCAGGCATTTTATCAATGAAAACAAAACCTTTCTATATTGTTGTTATTATGAAACTTATTACATTCATTACATTATAACACAAAGCACAATACATAGTAGATAGCATAGACATACCTTAAGTGATTGTAAACATTGTTTTCTCATAGATTTTCTTTGATACTATTGTCGTTGTGTGTGCGCTGAAGAACTTCATTGTTCTGTCTTCTATTTTAAGGGCTGTTCTATCAGACGCTAGCGTAGTAAATAATATGACGCTTTTATGACCTGGGTGCTATGTGGGTTCATTTGTGGAATTTTGCAATGCTGCAAATTTGCTTCACACCTTGGAGTAAAAAACTTGACGGTTGAAGTCCTGCGCAATAAACGTGCACGAATAATGGTGTTGTAACCAGTAAATTAAGCTCTTTTTGTTTACAAAAGAGCAATACTCAAATATATGGACACGTAGAGCAAAACAAAGTAGCATCAAATCTTCTATGGTACCGGTAGTCTGACCGCCAGATCGCTGAATGTGATCACCAAATGGTGCGAATTTTTCAATTTCAATGACATCACACAAAAATTTTAAGAGAAAAACTAATTTCATGAAGCCAAACAAAATTTTTGAAATGAATTAAAGTGATAGCCTTCTAGCGACAAAAACAATCTTTAACCACTGAAAATTTCAAAGCGATTGGTCCTGTAGTTAATGATAGAGTGATTTTTTCATAACAACAAGGAGAAAAATACAAAATGATAAAACAATCTATAGGTCCACACTTCATGTCCAATAAAAGGATGGAATGATTTGAATTTGGTACATGATTGATACATTATAAATGTTTTGTTTGAAGAATATTTTTATGTGGTTTATACTCGCTCGTGTGTAAGCTCAGCCCAGCTCATAGCTTCAAACTAGAAATGTTAAAGAGCGTGATTGAAATGTTTATAATCTATATGAAAATACGGATAACAATACCCAACCTGAACCTCGACTCTAATTCATTAAATTCAGTTTGTAATGGCATAATTGACCATGCCATCATGCCAAATGAAATTAGATTATTGAATCGAATACATTAACCAAAATATAGCATTCCATAATGACTGGTCCTTATGTCAATAGAAAGGTCTGTGTTCAAAAAATTTCGTGATTGCTCTTTACTTGATACAATTTTCGGTTCTATAACAATATGATCTAGATGTGACACTGATCAGAAGGGCTAGCAAAATTCATTTTGTTATTTTAGAATGTATCATTGATCGATCTTGACACAATAAAAAATTTGATTTTGATAATGTATTCAATCTGTATATATTATTGAAAAATGAATGCATTTGGTAAAAGCAAACGTCAATGCAGTATGTAATGTTGCATTTTATTATGTTATTCCAATATTAAATTTTTATAAAAATACACAGATGAAAAAATACATTCATTAAATTTAATATGCTTACATATCCGTCCCATCTATGAGATAACATAATGTCCATTAAACATACTGAGCACAGAATATAAACTTACGGTATTAACCAGGTATACGCAACACCATTTGTCTATTCTCTGTTTGTTGTGCTTGGCTATAATAGGCGGTTTCAGGCACGACTATATTTTTATGTTTTCACAGTGCAAATCATTGACTAAACTTTAAAATAAAAACGTCAACAAAACTGGCAATTTGTCGCTTCATTGCTATCACTACTGTTTATAAGGGTTTAAGTTACACCCAAACATTGCGTGCCATCTAGATACTAACATACTTCTTAAATGATAGTTTTGGTTCTGAGGTTTATTTTGAGGTTAGGATATTCATATTTGAATTGTTTGGTATTTCAGAATTCTTCTTCGCAATTACATTTTTGTTATGAATAGGAGTTTGTGTATATGAGCAATTGTTTATGGCATATCTTGAAGATTTACTTAATCAATTTTTAAATAAGAATCTTATTGTTCTATTAGTCTGAGTCTGGTGGTGTTCAGTTAGCAATAGCCAAGGTTTTTTCACTTTGTGCTGAAGATCTTAATTTGAGCCATTTGGTTTCAATACGAAAACAGCTATTGAATTACTTACTGAATTTTTTATTAAGATATGCGAGCCAATGGGCGAGCCAAGAAATTCTTTAACGCATTCTTTGAGAAAGTATTATCAGTTTATAAAAAATGGTGGAAGTTATGAATGATTCACAATCACAAATGATAGTTTTTAGATCATAATACGGTGGGTCATATCAACATTTTGACCACATAAACCATAAGCAAATTTGCCAAGTTGAAATACCTTTCATTCCATGGATGACAATCTCGTTTTACAAGCTTGGTCAAGGTAATGGGTGGGAGCATTGTTTTTGTGTAATTTATGGATTCTTTGAAAAAATAATAGATACTTGAGGGAACTTCAAGTTTAGGAGCATACTCAATAATGTTGAGTAGGCCGCTCATGAAATAGATGAAAGTCTAGGAAATCTAATGTTTAAGTTCTAGCATGTTATTATTTGTCTCATAACTTTGGTCAGGGTTTTATAGTTTATTATTTTATATGATATATTTTAGTACTGAAAGCATTCTTATTAATATACAAGAATAATGTAGTATCATTCTTTTTGGAGATCATGTTTGCAGATTTTTAATCTGCTAGGGCAGACTAGAGAATATGTAATGCTTCGACTTGATCTCGATCAAATAATATGTTTATTTGCATTGTATTTTGTCCTTAATTTAACTCTATATTTGTGAAGGTAGTCCATTTTGACAAATACGAAGTGGCATTCAAAAGTAGAACCTTGGAATTACTTATTTTTTTCTTGTCAAAACCAAGTCAATATTAAGTTCATATTAAGTCTCATCTTTTTTTAAGTTTTGACTTATTGTACTGCATGGTATATAGAGGTGATGACTTTAATTAGGAGAGTTTTTCAAGTCTTGTATTGAGTTCATTTAAGGAGACAGAATTAATTAAAAACTGTATTAAAATTGTTAAAAGTGCACCTATGGATTGTTTTACAAAATTGTTGTTCTCGTTAGATTGAAAAAAATTTCTCTTTTCAGTAATTTAATTAATGGACTTATCAATTTCAAATTTTGTTAGAAGTGACTTTGGAATGCTATTTTTCTGTAATTTTCTCCTATATGGCCTGATTTTTTAACCCAATTTTTTTTGCTGTAATTTTATAGTTCATGAATCATGATTACACTTTCATTCAGTACCATTCTTGTAACATTTCACTGGTATTGTGGTGGTCATTTACCTTGTCCATATAATTAAACATTGCTCTTTCGTTTGAATTTGCATTGCTTCAAATCAAACCTTAAATTAAGTTTTATTATAGTGTATCTTGAGTTGTATGATGATGACCTGTTAAGATTTCTTCCATATTAGGTGGATCAAATAAACAGTTTATGTAACCATAATTATTTTTCCAGCTGGTGCAATTGATGAAGAAACATTTATAAAAGGAATGGATAAAGATTTACCAACAGTTCGAATCTATAATTCTCGAGATTTTGAAGAATGCATGAATAAAATTCATACTGTATTGTCAGATGAAAAGAAAGATTGGGAAGAACGCTCGAAGACTGTAAGTTTAATAATATACGCCAAAATTTTCATTTTTTTATATGATGCTATCAACTTCGAAAAAAGGCCCTGTGTAAGAAATCACTGTCTCACTGATATTTAAATTCTTAGCTATAGCCATTTAAACCAAGAAAAAAAGATAATAATTATGTTTTATATCCTGAAAAATATCATATGGCATCAGATCCAAGCATCAAATGCTTAGATCTCTTGTAAGTGCCTAATCTGCATTTCATTGAACCTATTGATCAACTTACAAAAGGGTGTTTGTGACATTCCCTATGTTCCAGTATATAAAAGGACATTGGTTAATAGTTGACCATTGGAATATAACAAAGGCCTTAACAAACTAAGGAGCTCACACCTTGTTGTCGACAACCATCGTTCCAACAGAACGCTAAAATAAACTTCTATTTACTGGACAATACAAACTTAGTATATCCTCTTAAGCTATACTCAGTTCATGTTTGGGTAATTCATAATTATCACATTTAGAGTTGAGTTCCTTTTATAGTCTATGACAATTTCATCCTTGTTGGTCCTAAGTGAAATGGTATGTGCTTTACATGTATAAATTGAACGAGTGGAATTAATATTGGCTCAACATTCTCTTGACATTAGAAGGGGATGAGTTTTTATCATAAGGTATCTGGGGTCAAAAACTGCTAAATTTTAATATTGTTTTACTAAAATTTGTGAATGTTTTGATGAACTGTAATCAGTGTATGAACTATGAACTGAATGTGATATTAGCTCATTATATCAGAGTGTTTATAATTTGAGAATACAGCATTTGTTATGTCTATATTATAATAATACAAAAATAATGAAATTAACTTTCCTTTTTTTTTAAACTAATATTGAATATTATTGATGCTGTATAAATTTGGTTTGTTTCAAGAATGTCAGTTTTCCATAAGCTCTACCAGAAACTGTCCTCTCAGTCCTAAACCAGACTTTTTGGGGCAAAAAGGGTAAAATCTCAAAATGCTGTTTCAAAAAGAAAATGACAAAAACATGTATATTTCATTTTCAGACTGTTAACTTTATATTGAAATATACTAGTGAATACTTAATAAGAAAAGGATTCATTTTTCTCTTTTTCCAAAATTTATCTCAAAATCTAATTGAGCTATAAAATATATGAACTGTTCAGCCTATATGTATCTGGGAATATTTTCAAATAATTTTTGTTTTTTCAAAATTTCAGTATTCGCCTGTTTGTCTTGAGACCATAGTTATATTTGATTTCACTTTTCGTCTGGACCCTCTCTACGTCAATTTTTGTTAGTTTATTATCTTGATATTCATGTATTTGTGCCTTTTATGCTTTTTATTTTATGCCTTTTTCATACTTTTTCCAGTTGAGAATTCTTCGTGCTGCCATTGTTGCTGGTGCACTTGAATATGATTCCTTCGCTCAACATATCAGGACGCTTGAACCTGCATTAAGACTCAACGCAAGGGATTTACGATCTCAAGTTGTTAGAGAGACTTGTATAACTATTGGGTAAGTGTTAATCTTTGTTCCTTCACTTCTTATCACAGTGTGAGGTCATAATCAGGAAATTTTTGAATTGTAATACTTATCATGATTTGTAGAGATGTATTGTATAATACTCAACAACACCATTGCTATTATTGGATCTCCGCTGTAGGAGACCCTTGGAGATTTTTTCCAAGCTCTTGTCATTCCAGTGACAGGCCCGCCGGTCTGTTCAGTGGTTTTTAAAAGGCATAGTTTTCCTTGGCACTTTAGGGTTCTGCCAGTACAGACCATGGGTTTCGCAAGTTCATTATGAATCTGAGAGCCTATATTGATATATTTATATTGTCTACGTATAATTATTAAATACCTATTAGATTTGCCACTATTATTAAACTGTCTACACTTTAAAGATCATTTTGTTTTTGTCAGTATTAGGTTTGTTTTTATATATATTTATAGTCAAGACATATGACAATTAATAAACTATTGCACAGGGGTTTCTCGAGCCTCTGGAATGTTTGTCTGGGGTTCCGCTTTACCAAAGGGGTTGGTAACAACTGGGTCAGTTGAATAATAACTTGGACCGTAAGAAATTGCTGAATTAAGCAGTAGCTTTATATATTTTAATCACTACGTGCCTAGTGCCTTATTCACGGCTTCAGTCAAAGTGACAATAAGAACTTGCCTTCTAAGTTTATTTGTTAAGTTGATGTAATGGTCTATATTTGGTTAGATTACGTAGGAATCTTGTTTCAATATGATTTAACACATATCACACATGTGGATGCTGGAGTACTTTTTATTTTACTTTTCATTTATACCTTGTACTGCTACTCTTTTAAAAGACCTGGAAATTTTTTGAGTATGACGCTGCTCATCTATTTTGTACCCCCTTGGTGAGTTATTGAGTGATTTCTGTATTTATATGTATTTTGACTTAACACATTAGATCTCTTTGATACATGAAATTTATTTTCGAAAAACAATGAAAAAATATGTAACTGTTTTCTTATGATATAGCATATTTAAAGAATGTTGAACATTTTCACCTTCACGATATTTAAAGTCTAATTAATTTAAACTTTATTAAGAAATTATGATTCACCAATTAGATGATGTGTATGACAACTATGTCTGATGAGTCTCGCAAGTGTTGAAATGAAACATTTGAACGATAAATTATCTTTTTTTTTCAGTCTAGCTCAATAAATTATACATGTATATTGATTTATTCTTGACTCAGACATTGAAGCCAAATATACTGGCATATTACTTGCTTGTTGACTAAAATACCCAGAAAAGTTTTAGTATTCCAAATAAAACATATTTCTTGTTATGTTTCACAATTTACCCATGGGTGTCAAATATAGTATGTAGCTAATCTCGCAATTTAGTGAATACAACTTTCTATATCTGAATGATTCGAGTAATATATACAATTTCTAACCTACCATGCATGATAACTTATCTGAAGCTAATGTTTTCATAGAATTAAGAATTTGAACGGATTTCCTAAATATAAAGTTAAGGAAGATTCTGGCACAGATCAATAGATTACTAACTAAAACAAGATAGAAAATGTTGTATGGAGGTGTGCCAGTGAATTATAAAAATCAGAAACATGAGGGGGAAATATCTGGACTTTGAAATATATAAACAATCCCTTCTACCGATTTCTTTCATCGTTATGTACTGAAAATTTGAATGGGATGGATTGAATAAATTTTCCGGAGAATAACAATAACGATTGATCCATCATTCACATAGGCTACTTATTAAGAGTCCAAAGATTTGTGTTCCATAACTGATTATGCACCATTTTGAATATTATTTTCTATCTGTAATTTGAAAATGATACATTAATGGAAGAAATAGGCCATTTTTTTAAAATAACAATTTAGCTGTATCATAAAGTATATTTTTATTTTCTTCAGTCATCTTTCAATTGTGATGCAGAATCGTTTTGATCATGCAGCAGAATTATTGTTTCCAACACTGTTCAACCTCGTACCAAATTCAGTAAAAATTATGGCAACTTCGGGTGTTACAACAATAAAAATTATTTTAAGGGTGAGTTAAATATTAGTGAATAAATTATTATTTTGTGTCCAACGCTTTCCTTTTGATACCTGGTGAATTCTCAGTCTTCTTGGGGAGATTCTTTGTTAGTTATCTGCTTCCATCTCTGTTCGCAAAAACTTTTCGGATTTGTAGCCATTTTAAAGTTTAAGGTCAATATCAGCGTTTCTCAAACATTTTTTGCCTTGAAACACCTTGCTTTTTTTGCCTCGTGGAACACCCAAGAAATTAGAAGGGAAAATTTGTTGGTGTTTCAAAAATATTTAGCCTATGGTAAAATTAAAAAGTTTGCTGTAAACTTTGCCTTAAAAAAATTAGGCCGACGATTAACGATATTGAACAGTTAATGAAAACCCTGAAGAAGCTCTGTTCCGCGGATATGATGTAATGATTAAGTTTTTGGATATATTACGTTCTTGTATATCACCAATCCTCATATTAGTGAATAATTCCCAACTTCCAAAAATATGTTCCTGGTTATCAATGCTCTTCTGCATGTGATTTTGTATGCATGCACATAAGGAAAGGATATTGTACTTTAAAAATAAAGATGAGATTGCGATACTTCACATTAATTTGCTCAACTTTGTTACAGAATACACATGCACCTCGATTGCTTCCAGTTATCACTGGTAATTGCACTTCTAAATCAACTGCAGTCAGAAGAAAAACTTTCGGATTTTTATCTTTAGTTTTACAAGAATGGACAACTAATGTACTCGAAAAGTATGTCTGAAACTACCGTAATATTTGTAATGAAAATGTCAATTTAAAAAAATTCTTAGAAGTGAGATGAACCGAGCCTATTTTCTCCTTGAGTTTATTTCTGCTTCTTACCCCTTAATGACAGTTGTGTAGCAATGATAAAATGAGTTACTGATTCTGAGTGATAAACAACAAATTAGCATAAACCTTTTCCCATAAAGTGGTAATTATTATATTTGTATCTTTCGTTGTAATTCTACATGAGTTCTGTAATCCATTATGCACTATTTTCAATATTGTCTCTTATCTGATGTCTGGGTATACAATGCGTTGGCAAGGGTATATAATTGATAGCAAGGATTTCCAAAGACAGAGTTTGAACAAAACGCTATTTAAATTGTATTGAAAGATTTCTCTTTTTGAGTTTTACTATTAATATAGCATACTTAGCATTCCTAAGCGGAAAATAGTGGAAGTCATTGATCTTGTTTTATTTGATTTATTCCAGGCAACTCCCACTTTTAATTGAAGCAGTAAAGAAGGGAATTTCTGATGCAGATTCCGATGCTCGATCAGAAGCTAGAAAGTAAGAGTTGTTATATCTTAATTATTTTGTTAAGTTTGGGTTGTTGGTTTGAAATCACAATATTCAAACTGTGACTTCATCTCCAACATCAATTTGTCGTCTTGAGCTGGGCCATAGATGTTTTTTGTTTGACCAATAACATGTTAAATAAGTCCGAGTGCGGTTTGTGGTAGTATGATTCAAAACCATGATATAAGTGTTTAAAATTAAACTTCAAACTTTAATTATAAAAATTTAGCTGGAAACTTTCAAAATCAAATTGATATCAGAGATTAAACATTAAAAGAAATTATAAGAACGAAAGAAAACTTTCCGTATTTTTTATTTGAATATTAGAAAATTATAAAGGTTAAAAAATAACTAGATGGTTGAGAGCTTGAGCCACTGAAATTTCTGGACCTGGTAGCTTTGACTCCAGCGTTATGATAAGCCTGGTTCCACCTCCAACAAAAAGTCATATTTCCAGAATCCCCAACTTCTCATTTATGCTAACCTAGTTGAATATTGAACACTATCTTTCTATCTGACAAATTGTCAAGGCTAGGCTCTTCCACTTATGGCATCGCAAGTGTTTAAACTTAAAATCTGATATCTCACAAACGGCTTACTTGGCAGTTGACACTAAATATATGAAATCATCTATCTACGTTGTCTCATTTATGTACTTACATGATGCTAAATTTGTTATTTACCAAATTAGTTTTCTTTTCATTCCAAAGAAAGTCTTTAAGTTGTGGGTTTGTTATAGACAAAAGCAGTGGTTCCCAACCTGTTATCGCTTGTGGGTACTTCAGGAGGGTTTTAGCACTCATGCCCCCCGTTTATCTTTCCAGTGGTATTTAAAGTGTTTTTTGATTAGTCGATTCCAAATTTCATTACCATTATGTTCAATCAATTCTTTCGCAACAAAATGAAAAATACTCTGTGAAATAACATTATCAAGCTATGAAACTGGGAAGAACGGTGGTTTACGCATAGCATTGTGTGGCCCCTGTGTGTGGCCACTTGACCCCCTGTTAGGAAGTGATGGACTAAAGATTCCTCAAATTTTTAGATCATGGTGGGGATTGCGCTCTCATTTCCCAGCTGAAGCAGAAAAATTATACAACGGACTTACCTCAAACCAACAAAAGATGATTCAAGGAGAGTTAACAGCATCATCATCAACAGACAGCATACCGAGATCAACAGCATCAGAATCTCATATCACCAGCAAGTAAGTTGCAAATTTGAATAAAAACATCTTATGGAAGTTAGAAGACTTGCTCGGTACTGTTTGTTTTCATGCTATACATTGGGTTTCTGTGGGTCTGCTGGTGGAATTTGATCATTATGCTAAGATGCAGAAGCAAGAGAAAAGACAATTATTTTGGGTGATTTTGAGGGTCTTGATGCACAGCACAAATATATTTTTGTAACGTCTCATCTGACTAAAATCAAGACTTCCAGATACGAACCTAATTCAAATGTGGACCATGATTCAACGAACTCTCTGAGAAAGTTCGACTTTGGTCAGATGATACACTTAGAAATATATTTGTGTCAGTGTGCAGCAAGACTTTTGAATCACATAAAATCTTGAATTCTAGCTGTTAGATCATTTCTTTTTAATTCTTTCAAAAATTGTTTGTTTACAACTAGAGGAACCTCAGAAAATCATAGGTTATTACTAATCTATTTTTTCAACTAACATACTCTTACAGATTACATTGCTTTACATTTCTATTGAAATCAGAAAATTTTCAATCTTGATTTCTCCTAATTAATTTGGCTGTTAATAAATTAGTCAGATTGCTGGTCACTATAAAATTTCTATACAATTTTTCCCATTATCAAGAGTATTAATACTGACATTGGAGTATGAAAATAAAAATAATTGAGTTATTATATCTGGTGAAGAATTGGTAGGAGTTGTAAAACATTTCAAATTTGTATTATGCAAAATTTTTCGGCACTTTTTCATAAGAACCCAAATCAGGTTCAGAAATGATAAAGCAACAGGTTTTTTATATATTTTGTATTTGTATGTATTCCAGTCACTTTATTTACATTTAACCATATTTAAATACTTAGCCTATTATAGTTAATGATTCCAGGTAATACAATTTTGTAAGCCTAGACCAAACCTGGCCATAGAAAATAATGCACCTTTGACAAGCACCATCTATAGTTTAAGCTTGGTCAATACATCATATATTTGTTTGTTCTTTTCTCAAATGAGACGGATTTACTTGTATCTAGACGACCACCATCATCATCGTCTTCTCGTCAGTCTCTCTTGCCAAACGCACAAAGAGTACCAGGAAGAAGTAAGTGTTGTATTTTATATGAATAGGCAGATAGATGAGCTTCTATTTTAATTCATTTTGTAAATCTGATCGAGTATTAGATTTGTGCCATGGCTTAGTGTGCTTATAAATAGTATTTAAAGATGCTGTATAGGTTTTTATTTAATATAAGTATGTATGTGTCGTGACGTGATGGTTCATTTTCTATGTGAATTTGCTCAAAGCAAGTTCACACACACACTATAACTACCTTATATAGATTTGAGGTGGTACAAGATGTGCCAGTAAATATTGACGCAAGACACGACAGGACTTGGAGCTTGTGAATTGAATTGGTCTAATTAAATTAAATTTCAATTTTTTCAAATTTGTCCTTTTTTATTGCATGACTATCAGATTCGATTATCAAATTCTGTCAATAATTTTTTTAAAAAAATATGGCACCTCAAATTTTTTTTATTTGTCAATTTTTTCAGGGTTCGGTTGATTGTACTATATTTTACGGTGTATCACCATCTTTGTGTATTGTTTCATATCATATATATGCATTTTGTTCATTCATACAATGACATTATTTTGTATATTATAATATACATAGGAATTGTTTAAACAGTGCTGTGCATTATTATGAATGACAAACAGTGACCGCACCCACATAGTAATCAATCCATGATGTTGTCAGTAAACAATCTATTGATTGTGAAGTTGAATATTTATATTAGGGATGTAATGCTGACGCATTCCTGAATTGTATCAATTTATTATTATTGGTGCTTAGCATAGGGGTTTATTTTTGTGGGAAATATCCATAATTATGGTTACATTTTCCCCAACCTTCCTTTATAGCAATGTTATATCAAAATCGGAAATCAAGGTGATTTATATATTACATCACAATTCACAACTCGCTGGTTGAGAAATTTTGTTTTTAATAAGAGAATTCGGTCACACTCTTTTACATAGAAGCAAAGATGACTTCTGGATGAAGTTCAGAGCTATTGATCTGAAACCATATATGAGTATATTTGCAAAATGTATTGAATTTTGTATTTTTAAATGTCTGGGGTAAAAGAAAAATCAGTTATGTTCCAAGTTCCTCCAATGCATGTTAAATGGTTGGAATATAAATATTGATTCGTCATTGGAACTGTTGTTCCCCTTGTGCATAATAAACTCAGATAGAAATGGCCTCTGGATTATATTTTATATTACATTAGTAATATAAAAGTTCAGCTGGGTGTTTATATAAAATGTGGCGTCATAATAACAATAATATTTTGCAGCTTCTCGACTTGGTACTGGACCGGACAGAACAGTTTCGAAAAATTTCATGCGATCAAGATCAGATATAGATCCAGAAGCTGCTAAACGATCAGCAATGAAAGCAATGACTTATGGTAAAGTTATTTTCATAAATTATGCTTTGAGAATGGCAAAATTAATAAATATACCAGTGTTTCTAAAATTTTAATCTAACGTCACAGAAAGTCCATACAAACAACGATCTCTCAATATCAGCAGAGAGAAATCTGCCACGAGAGTAACGGCCAAATCACATGAAAATCTTTCTTATGGTTCAGATAAAGGTTTTATGGATGTTGTTGATCATCATGTTATTTTATTTCTACTTATTTTGCAAATGTTCCCTATACTCTCCTCTACCTTGTTGTTTTTCATACTGTAGTGTATACCAATAATAGTATATTATAATACTATTGAATGGGGTACATATACATTTTGGTACATTATATAATTATGGAATGAATATGTGTCATCTGTTACCACCACCTCCCTTTTTTCTGAGCATTTCATGCGCTCACACCTATCAGAAGTGCTTCTTTTATGCTTTTGTTGTTAGATAAATTGAGGCGTTTGCTGTTATGGCTTATTTTTTATTTTTGTGTAATGTTTTCATCACGTGACATTGGAATATTTGTTAAATTAGAAAGGTGCTAATTTAATGTGTATTTCTGTTCCTTATCTCAAAAAGGTATACCCATCAAAAAATTGAATCCTGATTTCGGTGTTGTCTCGGATTAGTTTTGATTCAGAATTGACTAGTGTGGATATGTTCATTTATCGTGTATCTTTCAGGACGTGCAAGACAATCTACGGCTACGAATGGTCGACCTGAACGCAGAGGCAGAAACACAGCTAGACCAGCAACATCACAACGTATGTATATCTATGTATCTTCGTGTTTACACTATTTTTTCTCCTCCTTTTTCTGTTGAGATATGTAATACTGTAAGATTTATTTTGGCTCAATTCTCTTTCGTTGAGTATTGGACATGATTGTTTTGTATTTCTTCTTATTGTTTTTAACATTTGATGTACTTTTGTTCTTTCCATGATATATATTTTCTGAAGATGACAAAAACTCCAATTCTCTTCCTCGTTCTCTGGAAACAACAGACAACAAATCTTTACTTTCTTCTGTTCTTATGAAAAACGCAAAAGCTACTGAATCCGGTGATTCTAAAGCTAACAAAAAATCTCTCGTGTCTCGTCTTTCCAACACTTTACCTTCACCGAGAATATTAAAAAGATCCAAATCCCTGAAGAATGATAGAAGTCATCTGGGAATTCCGCAGGTTTTAATTCGACCCGCCTCTCCTCCCTGCTCCCCTTCGTCTGTAAGAAGTAACCCCACGCCTAGGTCCCGTGCTCCTAAAAGAGTCCTTAAATTGGAGAATAACCCTACTCTTGCAAGACCCCTTTCACCCACTGGTCGTGTGAGCGAGCTGTTTCTAAAAAGAACCGATCATCAAATGGCGCATAGTGAGTACAGAGCTCGAAACAAACTCCATGTTTGTGAGAATGTCTCTTTAAATCATAAATTCTGTCTGTATTGTTTATTTCACAACAAAGTTGAATGCGTTTTCAGCATCTCATTCATTTCACACATGATTACCATTCATGATAAAACACTTACGAATACACAATGGAAATTTTGCTCTCTTCTGTTATTGCCCTGAATTTTAGTTACAATAATATACTAGTTGCAATGTAGAATAATTATTAAATAAATTTTTCATATACACATATGATACACATGACACAATTGTATAGTGTATTGGTCTGAAAAGCTCTTAACTAAGCATATTAAATGAGTATATTCTTTTTAGCTACTCTGAATATATATTTGAATTATAGTTTACCTAATATCTAAGGATATGTTATAGAGTTGTACATCCAGAATTAGTTCCTGATGTTTATGCTTTGATTCAAAATAGTACTTCATGTTTTGTTTTCTGCCAAACAAATATCTAAATCAAATATTTTTCATTGCATCCTACATCGGCATTCAGGATCACAATCAGCTCATAGATTTGGTAAGAAATCATCGTGTTGTGGTGTTCACCTTCACTTTTATATTGACTCGCTCGTATTGCACATTTTGAGAAAACGATTGCTTTTTATTCTTATTGAGAATTTCAATGACAAATATGCTTGCATTGAATTTCACTTCCGCCATAGTCCAACTGTGCCTGCTGAGCTGGACTAGAGAATGTGTTGCACTTTAAAATCTTTATATATAATATAATGCGTGAAACACGTTTGAAAGTTTTTACAGAGAAATTAATAAAAAGTTTTTATCGAAAACATGAAATATGGATGTTCTTCGTTGTGCCAACTAAACTAAGTGTGCTCCATTTTTCAAAAACTCCTTATAAATTCAGGAGCTCTTGGCAGATCAGCGGTAGATTGTAACTTTACTCAGGGTTGAGACTCTTTTATTCACGAGTGAGTGTGGGTGACCTTGCTCCGAGCAAACCCTCCTAAAACCATTTTCAACCGGTATCAAAATTACTGTCTGAATATCAACTTCCTATTGCATGTGCAAATATCTACTGTATTGGAAAACAAAACCGGAGTTTGCATATTTTCAATTCGTCGAAACTTAAAAATAAACTTCAAAATCTGGATAATAAATAACAATCTCCAATTAACATAGTAATATGCAAATATGATTCTTATAGATGTTTTTGAATAATTTTTCTAGTACCAACTTTAGGTTTTAACAATGCATTTACTTTTTGTGATTAGAAAATAATTATGCATTACTAACTAGTTTTAATGTTTTCTAATATATTTCCCATCATTAATAAAATATTTGTATATTAATTCTAGTTAACTAAAAACAAAATTTGCAATTTTTTGAAATTTGAAAAGTTGAAATCTTTAAAGCTGTTCATTGAATCATGTATTATAGATCCTTTTTTTAAAATAAAGTGACTGCTCTTAGCCATATTCAAATTGATAATCAGAAATATTAACTTTTAATATTATTTCAATTAGTTGGTTCCAGGATTCTTGTGTCCTTGTACCAGTATTTCTAAACTTTGTATAAAGATAATTTGTTAGCGATGTTGAATTTTGAATTAAAAAAAAAACTTATAACTTGACTTATGACCTATCATATGTGAGTATGATCTGTTTTAACAATCTACATTCAAGCCATAATATAAACCATGATATGGGAGAGTTATTGTTTAATTTTTTGATGTTTTCCAGTGTAAGTGACAACAATTTTTATACAGATAAACATTGCACACCTGATTTTTTTGAAAAAAAGTACCTGTATTCGACGAACATACTAATTTATCTAACCAGTACTATGATATCAACATCAACCATATGATAACTAACAAATGATAAACATGAAATTTTCTTATCTATTTTTCATGTATTATCTTGTTTCATAAAATATCACTACTTGCATGATTTTGTTTCCAAATTTGATAGATAATGTGACGATTACAGTATTTTTTGCTTAGTTTCAGCAACACCATTTGACGCTAAGCATATAAATATATCGATGTAAGGTTGTAAGACCTAATTTTGTAAGAGTGAATTATGGAACAATTATAGAGCAGTGTTCCACAAACAGTGATCGAATTTGCGACTAAATTGGTTGACACATCGATCTTGGTCATACTTCAGCGACTTGGGGTGGTAAATTGGTCTCCCCACTGGCGACAAACAGGATTCGTGCCAGTCTGGAAAGCATGGAGTGTTTGTTAACCATTCAATATTGTTAACCATCGGCCTAATTTTTCAATTGTCAATTTAACTTTAAGCTAAATATTTTGGAAACCGCCTATCAATTTGACCTTCTGATTTCGTGGTGTTCTGCGAGGCCGAGCTAAAAAGCGGGTCAAAAAAAAGTTTGAGAAACGCTATTATAGAGTGTCAAGTCATTGTATCTGCATTATTATATTATCTGACATATTTTGATATAATTTCAGCTGGCAGTCGATCAAATTCACCCAACTCCAAGTCTCGTTATCAATATAATCCTCCAAGAACTCCGACAGGAGTTTACAGAGCCTCACGAGCTCACACATATTCAGCAGAAGATAGTCCAGGTTTGTTATCAATATTTGCTTACATTGTATTTTACGTAAACATCGGAGGACTTTTTAAATCTAGTTGATAGTATAGTTTGCTTTTAAAAGCATTGCTGGTATGTGTAAAGTGCAGGAGTTGTCACCCTTCTCAGTTTTAATATTTTTTATGAGTGACACCTTTCAATTTTATGACAATTTTTTGCTCATATTAGTGATCTGATTTAAATCAGGGGTGTGCAACCTTTTTCGCAGGCGGGCCAAATATCAATAACTGGGCAAAACCGCGGGCCGCACCTTCATTTAGCATAGGCTTTATATTAGTTGCAGGCACAAAATAGTTTCTTTTTATTATTGATCTCATGTTGTCATCATAAGGGGTCCTTGCAGAAAACGCATAAATATCTTAAAACTGTAATTCAAATATAATGTCACACCCAATTTAAACGAATTCGGTGAGAAATTTGCTGCTGGATTCTTTTCCTGACTACTTTTATCCAAATTTGCTTAAATGGAAGTGCTAGCAATTTGATATGACGCCCATTTTAAAAAAAGATATGTAACCGAAAAGTGCCATATTTGAAGCCATGACTTTTTTCAAATGTGGAAAGTTATCTTAGTTGAGATGTTCTCGGTATAATACGCCAAGATTCATTCCAAATACTTTGCTGTCAAATCCTATCCTAAATTAGATTTTAACAAAATCAACTGATAGGCTGGAACCAAAACTCATTTAGCTTTTGTATCTCTTAATATTACATTTTTTTCAAACTGCTTTCCAGTAGCCTAATCTTCAATTGTCCATTCTTACAAATTCATTAGCGTCTGCTCCGCATTTTTCTTTCAATTGTTCGCTGCTCGGCAAGAGACAGCTTCCTTGTGAATCGCGTGAGGAGGCTTCACTGTGAGGACGTTGTAACGTCATAGGCATAGATAATAAATTGGACTCAAATATAAGCTTCGCAACGCAAAGGGAACCAGATCAAACTAAATTAAAAATTAATTTAGCTTGCCGCACACCATTCAAAACTGGCACTTCTCCTCGGGCCGCACAATTTGTCCTCGTGGGCCGCATTTGGCCCGCGGGCCGCACTTTGCACACCCCTGATTTAAATTATTCAAGATGTGATGTCAAACTCAAATTGAATATTTCAAAATGCCTTCCGGATTCGTTATTTTAGCTATGATAATTTTTTGAATATTCCTAATAGTATATAATAATAACAAATTGTATGAATATTCAACAGTATTGAAACAAAATCGTTCTTTGGAGTCAAATCTGTTCATATAATCCAAATAAGAATTTGGTAATTAAAAAAATGGTGTTTTTAAACAACTTAACATTTTATAGTATTTCAAAATTTACATTGGCATCAAATTATGTAATAAAGCTTGGTTTACAGTGGCTAAACAAAAATGAATATTTGCATTTTCCCAAATTAACTCAAAAATATATTGCACAATATCACCATGTTAATTAATATTGTATAGTTAGTTGGTGAATTCTGGTTCTTCAACAAATCAACTCTCTAAATTATAATACTAATAGTGTAAATATGCATGGGGTGATATTATTGACGGTTTCTCAAACCTCACTTTTTATCCTGCGGTATGGGGCAACAAAGTAATGTTAGCTTGTAAAACAGCATACTCACACAAATCACTCACTCATAATGAGTAGTTTCTGAAATATTTCTCATCTCAACAAAACCAATTGAATCATTGTCCTGGTATATAGTTTATCTTGACTCTTCTTATTTTCACTCAAAATAGTTCAAGTAATCTAGTTTATTTTTACATCCGTTACAATTTCTATATTATTAGTCTTGAAATAGTGAATAGCACTTTCAATTTATTAATTATCTGTAGTATACAAGACACTACATAGAGCATATCTACAACACTCATCATTAATCCACTTTCTTTTTCGAATTTTTTCTATTATATATAATCACTCAGAAGTTGAGAAAAACTCGTTTCTAAAAGTTGTTGGTGATGGTGACCCATGAAATGCTCAAACCTACTGAGACTGTTTATGGTTATGCATTATGTACCAGCAAATTGCGATTGACTGACATTTGAAACATTTCAAATTGATGATTCCCATACCTCATGTGTTTTTATGTAATTTGGAATACTTGGCACTTGGCAGCAATCCTTGCTTTTCTTTTATAGTTCGATATGCAGTCATGATTATAATTTATTTAAACACAAGCCTACTTTAAAATATATTTCTCAATTATTTTTAGATGGGTTCAATGAATGGGTCCATGAATGGGTCCCTTCATTGAAAGTGCAGTAGCAATTTTGATATAACTATAACATTTGTCTATCCAGAATCAATTCAAATGATTTGCCAAATTTTCTTTTCTTGTTCTTCTAAGCTGTCCTTTTCCTAAGTTCCATTATTGATAGGCCAGATTTCTCATATCCTAATTCCTAATCGTAATCGAAAGTGCTCTTATTAAATATTACATTATGTTAGTTGTTTATATGTTTAGTCTATATCTCTACATGGATGTATATAGTCACGGCATGCAATTTAGAATTCTTATTTCATAATTCCAGTATTTAGTTGATAATCAGTTAATTTAATCCAATTAACTTAGAATGCAATATTTATTTATTTATTGTATAGAATACGACTACCCCAGACGTGTGGCTACGCCATCCAGTAACGCAAATGGGGCTGCGAAATCCGCACTTCCTACGAGAACCCCACCATCTTCTCCAACCCAATCTCGAAAATCGAGAATACCTATTTCGACTTCTCGCTCCGGTTCAAGAGCTGGTTCGAGAGTGGGTTCTCGGGTGGGGTCACCTCAAGGTAGTCGCGGATCGAGCCCCCATCGATACAGAGGTAAGCGTCACTCCCATATTTTTGGTGCATGATGCTTTGCAACCTGTTGTCCATTGCTTGCATGTAATTCCATCTGTCTAATTAGATGATGGTGGTAATTCACTAAGGGCTTTTACAATTTAACAATGGTAATACTGTGCTTATCTGAAGGAAAATATCCAAACTCTAGAATATTTTCAGTTTGAGATTTCTCATCTTCTACTGATATTGGTGTTGCAAATCCTTTCTTGTCCATTGTCTTGATGTAATTCTTCCAATTTCTCGCTTTGCTGTATGGTTAGTCAAAATATCTGGTTTGTTCAATTAAATGCAGATATGTTGTATACTGTATGCTGTGTCCTATCTCAGGCTTCAGCAGCTTTTTGGTTTTCACAGACTGAAATACAATTTTCAATATTTTCTAATCTTGTATAATTTCAATTTTTCAAACTTCTGATCAACTTTTTCGAATTTCTATCTACACGCCTCCAAATATAAAAAAAAAATTTTCATAAAATTGAGATTTGTAATAATTTTTTGTTGATTTCTGAGAAGTGTAATACAATCTATTCTTTGGATTTCTGCGGGACCAACTACCTATTCTTCTTTTGTGCTGGTGGATCTGTATATGTGTGGTACTAGGATGCTGTAGCAAAAGTGAAGACAGCTATAAGTGATTCTAAGATCTAGCCACACACTAACACAAATATATTTCTGTGAGATTTCGTCTGACCAATGTCAGACTTTACGAGGTCAATCTATAGATGAATTATGTTTGTCTGAGGAAGTCTGAATTTTGATCGGACAAAACATCAACAGAAATATGTTTGTGCTTGTTATGTGCAGCAAGACTCTTGAATCCGTTATATGTGTTGTCTTTTCATGTTAGATATATAGTTAAATAGGCTAAGGCATGATAGACTTTTTTGTTGTAAGATCATGGTAGACTAGTGTGTAATGTTTGGTAATTTTGTGTGCGATGATGTTAATTGTAAGCTGTAAAGGTGCTTTGGTTAATGCCAATACCTTTTGATAATGTTTGTTTGTTTTTGTATTTGGACAAGTTTATTTTAAAACTGTAATTTTATATACATTTGGAAATTGTCTTGTTTTGAGTGAGTGAGGATCAGAAGTATAGAAAATCTGAAATATGTTTATACATAAACTCATGCTTTTCTTCTGGGAATAATTGCACAGTTTTTTGTAATAACATAATATCAAGTATTACTAATTTTTACTACAAGCTGCTAAATCACGAATTGCTCGAAGTGAACCTGTCTCACGAAATTGTAGTCGTGTGGCATCCTCACAGGTCAGCAGCCGGGATTCTAGTCCTGGGGGTACTGGTAAGTATTTCATGTCATTTGCCGCCATCTTTGCTATGGTTGTCAATTTGTGTATGTTTTCATTGAAATGTTTGTTGTATTCGGGAATTGAAAAGTAGCTGTAAATTTGAAGTATTCTACTATATTATTAGTTAGGTAGATTAGTTTTTGAATCCATCAAATCAGAATATGGAATTAACATTTTTCGGTATTAAATTTTTATTCTCTTCGCTGCAAAATTAGGGATTAAGTTAAAAGTGAAATTTCTAAATGTTTGATTATATACAAACCTTGATTTCCTCTGAAAGTATATAAATCAATTTCATTGTTAAGTAACCTCTGTGTCTTGTTATTGTTTCACGTTTTAGAGGTGTAGTGTTTCAATATATGAATTACAGGGAAAATTAAAAAAAATATTAACAAATGTAATTGCTTTCTAGTGAAAACTTCTTTCCTATATAAATACTAAATATTTTAAATTTATTGGGCCATAAGTGGCGGGAAAGTGCTTTTTTCCACAAAAATGTTAATAATTAGAAGGTGAATCCCCGAAAACAATATTTCACTGTTCTGAATACATTCTGAGAAAATATCTTTGAACATGGAATATCGAATACAATCTAAATTGGGGGCAAGCTCATGGGAAAAATTAAATAAATTACTATATCTTTGTGTTGATCATATCCAATACAACATTAATATCAAATCAAGTTTTCTGTGTGTTGTTTGTTACCAATTGAGATAGGCTATCGTACCTTTTGATCTGCTTGTCTGACGACTTAAAATCCTTATTTTTAGACAAGACTGTTCTAAATTATTCTGAAATTTAAAATTGTATTATATTGAATACAATAAATTTTGAGTGTAGTCAAACATTCGATTTGTTTTGGACATACCTGGTAACGGTCATGCAGTTATCGATATATTTCATTTAATAACTCTGGACTGTGTTTTGCAAATATTACTTCATTGTTTGGATAATGAAAAGTATCAATTGTATGCAAATTGTGTGGAGAATTATCATTGTGTCAAAGAATTTTTCGACTTTAATAAATATCTAATTCAAATTTGAATTAGATATCTAATCTTGTTGTGACTACAATTAACTATATTATAGCATTTGCAATTCAAATTTAAATACAGAGAACATCAAAATTAATCGAAATCAAAATTGTGTATATTCATATATTATTTGTAACTTAGGTTGTTAATTTTATGTCTGTCATTTGCTCTTTCTTATTCATAACATCTAATTACTTTTTTCTCATTACATTGTACATGTAATCCTCATCTTTAATTGAAAAACAATTTCACAATGGCTTAAAAAAAGTTGCATGTTATCATATGTATAAAATTACTTCTTTTAAAAAACATATTCCTACTTTTTTGCAATGAAAATATTATTCATTACATGACGAATATATTGTTTATTCATGGTTAATTTTTTTTATATAGCCTACTAGTACAGTATTACTACAAATGTAATTTCTGTTATCAATTGTTAATGAGAACTAATTATTTTGAAGCAGGTAGAGGGTCAACTTCTAGTACAACAGGTTTTGGAGGAACAGGTCCACCTATGAGAGTTTTACCTAAGGGTAGAGAAGGCGAACAAGTGCTAACAGATGCATTGGTAGGTCAATGATATAAATGTATACCATAGTTATTACTGCAATCCCATGTTAAACTGTGCGATAGGATAATAAGAGAATGTTTGTATTCAATCACCTCTGCCCAGTGTTGACTTGAAGTTGACTCCGTAACTCAAACTGACTCGAGTCATCTAAATAATCTGGCTAATAATCTAAATAAAACTTGGCTCACTAAATGATCGGACTTGTGACTCGGACACTCTACTTGACTTGTGGCTCTGAGTTATCTATTTCTCATTTTGATCATATTAGCGATAAGGATAAAGTTACTTTGCTGCGGGCCCAATATGAGACCTTGTCGTTTTCAAATATTGTCTCCCCTCTCAATGATTCTTCATTGTAAATTTATATACAAATTTTTCAAGTTGGAAATCTTACTATTGATTTGTTTTCAGTTTGGTCGTAAGACTCCAAAGCGTCGTGGTGAATCATATGGTTATTCTGATAATGACGATGATTTCTCTGATACTTCTAGTGTTTGTTCTGATAGATCTTCATCTTATCAATCCAGGTGAGCAGCTAATGTTCTTTGTCAATTTGGTTCTCCAGCACGATATTTATCATTTTTATCTGTGTTCAACAGGGAAAATGTGGTTCTGTCGATATAAAGATGACTTATTACTTATAATAAATATTGCTTGTAGATGTTTGTTTATAGTCTCTGTTTATGCTGTATATCGAAGCTGTAAGTAAGTTTCTAATCTGTGCAGATAGCATTTAATAAGACATGAAGCAATAGTCAATGATTTCGAAATACAATTATGAAAATTCAATCAAAAAACTATCTCAAATCACTCAAAAAACATTTTATTTTCTGGCAAAAATGAACAGATTCTATTAAAGGCAATTTCGGAATATCATTTTTTTCTTATTTCAGTCGAAACGGTGTTCGTCGATCACACACACAACACACAGAAGATATTGCAGAAATATTAACTTTATGTCAAAGTACGAACTGGGCAGAAAGAAAAGAGGGATTGATCAGCTTACATGGTTTAATCAAGAGAGAAAAGTTAATCAGGTATTAATATCTTGTGTTTTTACCAATGATTCATTGCTATTTGTGGAGATGGACGTTTTTGGGCTGGCCTATTTATATTTAGATATGTTCTTGACTTAACTAGTCCTATATGTGTGAAAAATTTCATAGCTATCTTTTGAAAATCAATATTAACATCTAAATAGCTTTGCATATAAAGCATTTTTCAACCTGGTAAAAAAAATTATTTACGTATTGTTAAGTATGATAGTTTTGCTAAGTGCAGTTTCTCTATAGGTTATGTTTTAGAAGGAGGACATCCATGCTCAATAAAAGCTTTCTTTATATTTCTGACTTGTAACATTGAAAATTTATTCCTTTATAGTCGAATGGAAATGAAAAAAATCTTGGAAATATTCAACAGAATGTTTGCAGATCCCCATGGAAAGGTTTGTTTATATTTATATTATATATATACGATATGCCATACATTTATTTTATGAATCAGTGAGAAGTATTCCATCGTGCTAACACCAAGAATCATATTGATTGATTTGAGAATTTACAGATGTCCATAAAGTTTCTTTACAATTTAAAACATTTATTACTTTGTGATAAATTTAAAAAAAAATGGAAAGACCTTGGAAAAACCCTGTATATCTTTATAAAAGCAATTATATGATAAGATAGATCTATATTGAACAACTCTTCCAACTCTAATCAACCGATAAAAGAAATATTGTCTCTTGAGATGCAACCAAAATGGCTGAAACACCCTGAATGATCATTTACTATATGGTGGTCATTTACTTCAATTCTTTTGCTCAAGTTGCTTTATCGGATATTGTCTAAACCTGTATCTATCATACATTTCAGAGCGATATGTATTTTTTTTTCATTTTATTAATTTTAATTCCCTTTCTTTCATGCTTCAAGGGAACAAAGCGGGTAAAAACTATGTTTTTGGAACGTAATCATGCTTGTAACAACATTGATCATAACTATCATTACATTCATCAAGACTTTATAATGAAAATAATAATACTATGTAGTATTCTTTGTAGGCATTTTACATAAAAGGAGTGAAGCGAAATCAGTAGATGTTTCGATATATTATTAATAGTAGCAAAATACTTTGATTTTTTTGTCTAACATTGAATTATCTTAAGAATTCTTCACTTGATGTAGTTTTTTTTTTGATGAAGTAGGCTATTTTTTGACCATACTGTATACTATTTCTCAGTAAATTCCATTTATGCCTTTTTTGTTACAATACCATCTCCTTATAACGTCTGGTACCATCTACCCAGGCCTAAATAGTGAACAGATGAAAAAATGAACCCCCAGTTCATGCATGATGCATTTATTTGCACGATATCGCCGCAGATGCTATAACAGTATGGAAAATTCTGATTTTCAATCCTATTGAGCAGGGCTGTATAGTTCGGAGAATGGCATGATTTCACTGCAGCTGAAGTCAAAATTCTGAATTTTCTGTCAAAATTGAAGTCTGAATTTTAGATCTTCAATGGTTATACATGTCAAAATTTTCTATATGAAAAATGAAAAAAAAATATGAAGTATACTAATTGTTACCAACAGTCTATTAAATAGGGATTGAATATGCAAAAACCTTTGTTATCAGAATTTAATCTTTATCGAAGCTGGAGTCGAAATTTGGTACTCCTGAAGTATGTGCACCAAGATGTCGCATAACCTGAACCCTAACCTGAGTTCAGGTTGTGCGCTATCTTGGTGGGCATACTTCAGGAGGTCCCGAATTTTTTTATAACCCGGCATCGTAGTCGAAAATTTTTCAACCTTGAGTTTGGTCAAATTTATTTGGATTCCACAGCTCTAGCATTGAGCAGGCTCCCTTCGCTTCAACTTAACACAAAAATAAACGATTGCTACTTTGATACTTTTATCAGTGAATAGGCTAAGGAATTTGAGTCATAACCAAGAAGCCCAGACTATCCTAAGTGAAAGCTTATATTGTATGAAATGTTGTATTAGGCGTGATTAAATTAAATTTTTATTTTCTATTTTTTTTTGCATTCAAAAATAGGGGGCTCCCGAAGTATGCGAACCAAGATGGCGGACATCGGAATGTAATATGTGTACTAGGTTAGGGTTAGGCCATAATTTTAGGTATAAATACTACGGGAGGCTCTTGGCTAGTCTTCGAACTGATAATAGGACTAAAATAAGGAAAATTGGAAAAAAATTATCGCCTAACCTGTTACCCATGTTACGTTCCGATGTCCGCCATCTTGGTTCGCATACTTCGGGAGCACCAAAAATAGTATATTAGAGAATAACACAGGATATTGATTAAAGTTGATATAGTCATAATAATAACCATTTACAATAAATTATAAATGTATTCTATAAAACCAATAGCGTAATTAGCATATTTTTCTACTGTTTGCTCAGGTTTTCAGTTTGTTTCTTGAAATTCTTCCTGATTTTGTCGCAACTTATAAAGAAAACATTGAAGATTGGTTATACGTATTAATGACCCAATTATTGAAAAAAATGGGAGCTGATTTATTGGGCTCGGTACAAGGAAAAGTTATGAAAGCTATGCAAACAACAAGGTATGAATTAAACATAATGCGTTTTAACTCAGTGGTTCTCAAACTGTGTGAAACAATTTTGTATTCTTCATGAAATGCCGATATTTTCCTTCAATTCGATATGAAATGATCAAATCTTATAAAATTAACATTGAGAGAGAAGCAACCTTTCACCCATGTGATGATTGTTTATGTGCACAAAAAGAAACTCATGTATCACATGTAATAAAAAGGATATGTTATAATCATTTTTCTCATCCTCTAATTTGATGTTAGTAAAGTGAAATTTTGTACCCAATGCATCAATATTCCTAAGGTGGAAAGTAAAGTAAATGCGTGCAAATTTGGACTATTTGATGTTTTTCAGATTAAGGGGTTTGTTCGCTTTTGCAAATCTATATTTTCGATGTTTTTTGTCTGGGGTTTAGCTATCTGATTCACCTTCAAAAATGCTTGCAACCTTGGGGGTGGATATAGATTGGCCAGACTCCAACTCGCATCAACACAGATGCGAATTGGGAAACTGTGAATTAATTTATAATCATTATAATAAATTAATTTCAGAGTATCATTTTCACCAAAACAGCAATTTACAATATTAACTAGATATATTGTCGATCAAACACAAACTCCAAATCTTAAGGTAATTTTTATTATATATATATTTAGATAGGAGGTAATCTATTCATATACTACTGGAATGCTTAGTAAGATGCTGTTTCCCTTCTTGTTTTGTCCCTCAAGAATGTACTCTCATTTGTTCACTGTCAATTTACCCATGAAACAAGTATACTTAAGTATATATTCCAATTTTTTTTTTATGTGAATTTCAGTTATGTTGCATTCACTGCCTCATAGCTGTTCTAATGATCGTATTGATTAGAACTGCTGTTTTCGTTGCTACCCTGAAAATAAGACCTAGCCTGAATTTTGAAAATAATTTTATTATAAGCCCTAAGCCCTTAATAAAATAAGACCTAATCGAAAGCAAGAAATCTCTCCTACTCATTTTAAATGATTAATCTAAAACGTGTGAGAAAGGAAAACGTGTTATTTATAAGTAAATGGATAACGGTTTTTGGTAGAGTAGTAAAATCTTGTAAATCTCTACTTTGTATTATTGTTTTTGATAAATAAAAATAAAAGACATTCCTGAGAATAAGCTCTAGTGTTATTTTTCGAAAGAAAATTGAAACAAGGCCCAGTCCTATTTTTGGAGAAACACGGTAGTTACTAAGGTTTATATCACCATTATAGTTTCGGTGGATTGGGGCGTTTGCCTGGAGATTTGCTCAGAGATGACTCCTCTTTATAACTTTATACTGTTGTTCATCTAAATTAAATTGAATTCGATATTTTCTGATGATGGTATAGTTTTTGACTTCAAGTTTGATAAATAGTTTACATTTTTCCAGGTCAAAGTTGCTTTACTTCATTATCTTCTGGAATTAATTGTATTGATGGATTCTGCTGATATCAATAGTACAAGCGAAACAAGACTAGCGATATCTAGGATGATAACATGGACAACGGAACCTAAGAGTCAAGATGTCCGAAAGGTTTGTATCCATTTTTTGTCAACACCATTTTGCTTAGTTCAATTTTATATATTTTTATTTCTTAGCATTTGCTTTATTCGGATATAGATTGTAACAAGATTTAAAACAAAGTGTGTTTCATCTCGTCCCATTTAGAAAATCAAAATTATTTTTTCTATGCATAGCTAAAATTTGGGGAATATAAACACTAGGCAACAAACTATTAGCCTGAGCAGTGAGAGATCTAATTTAATAAAACATTGTAGTGGAATTAACAGCAATTTCATAGGCAGTCAAATATCCACTGGTTGAGGATGGAATTTTGCAATATGTATGAATTAACAAGGTATTCAGTAGATGAATTAATTGAACTATAATGTTTACTGTTTATAACAAATATGTTGGATAATTTGGTGACTCTCATGATAGGTAATAAATACATAGGAAATCATTGTTTCGTAAAAGACATTGTTATTGGACACAGAGGGGACCTTTAGATCATTTTGATAATATGTTGTTATGTTTAGAATTCTTGCTGTTATGGAAAAATTGCTCTTCTCTTTAATTACGGGACCAATTGTTTTGAATTTTGTATTTGTCGCTAGAATGCTGTTACCTTTATTTATTTCAAAAATTTTTGTGGGCTCTATTGGATTTCTATGGGATTCGTTTTTAGTGTATGATGACATCATCAAAACTAAAAATTACGCACCTTGTGGCGATTCAGCATTTGTGGTTTGGTGGGCAGTCGAAGTCGAGAAGACTACGTAACAGTACTGTAAAAGACCCGTACTACTTAATTTTCTCTTTCGTGTCCATATATTTGAGTATTGCTCTCTCTATGATAATGAATCTTATTGATGCATTTAATTTTCCACAAAATTAGACTTGTTAGTTTTCATCTATTCCATATTGAATTCTGATCAAAATGGATTTAATCTCAATGACATTGTTCCACATCTCAATTTTTATTTTCAGGCTGCAGAATCCGTCATAACAGGATTATTTGAACTCAATCCTGGAGAATTTTCACAGATGTTGAGAGTCTTACCAAAAACATTTCAAGATGGTGCAATGAAAGTATTACACACACATGTCAAAGCTAATGGAGAGCCCAAGGTTTGTCTCGTCAAATATTAAGAAAGAAAAAAAACAGGGTCCAGGGGTGACCAACATCTTGATCGCGATTGACTGGTTGATAGCCATGTCCGATGTAATAGTAATAGATTTTTAGCGGCGAACTTAAAAACATGCAAAAAATTCTTTTATATTTTTTCATGCACCATCCTTATGTTGTTCAGATGCCTCCACAGTCTGGGCCTACACCAGGCAGAGTTACAGCTCGTGTTGGTATGTCACCTTCTGGTCAAGTCGTTTCTCCTCATGGAAGTGTTTCATCTGGAATGGCTGATATTATGTCACCAAGGTATTATTTTCTATACTTCACACTTTTGTTCGAAAAAAATGTCAATAATGAAGGGATAACACTTTAGTGCTATGTATGTATATAATCCTGGTTTTATTTTAACATTATTTAATTCAATGACCCCCTTAGTTATGTTAATTTAGGGATATATTGAAACCAGATGAAAATAATGCAAAATCAGTCATAATATGGTTTCTTTTTGTCTCTGAATATTGAAATTCAATCACCTAAATGTGTAAGCTGTAGTCAGATTTTTTTTTCTCTAATCTATGAATGATTCTAATACCAGTCAAGGCTGAAAACAGTTTAGACTGCAACTCTAGCTATTGGCTATGGGAAAATTAAATTTTTGAACATTTCTGTTTGAAATTCAGTGCAAGTTATTACTTGGTATTGTTTATATTGACTATTTTGAATCCAGCTTCAACCTCCAAAGAAACTTGTAAAACCAGAGTCAAATTGCAATGTCTCTGATTCCACTCCACAACTTTCACAACCAAGCACATAAATGTATTACTCTGCCACATTCTAATACAAATTTGGAGTATATTCTATAAAAGAAAAAATCTTCATCTTCAGATATTACAAAATACTATGATTCAGTAAAATATGCTTTCACACAGGAAATCCATATTCATGTATCCTTGCACAGTGATTTCACTGCACAAAATTGAAGAAGAGATAATTTTTCTATTCAATACCTTATGTATTTCAATGTTTTCTGCATCTTTTGCATTCTGCCTTCTTTTGTCAATTATATTTTCAAATTTCCAGGGGCAGCGAAGTTGAATATGCTATGTCTGACAAATCAGGCGGAGAAGGCTTGGATGAAAAATTAAATTTTGGTGACATAACTGCAGAAATACATAAATTAAGATTGGACAGTAGTGCTGATACTCCTGACTTCAAACACAGTGAACAAGTAAGTTCTCGGATATTAAATTTTTGTCTCACATACTGAAATAAAAGAATTTGGTATGGTATCTTATAATGTGATTGTCCCATTTTTACAACAAAAAACTATTTTTCCTCTGTTCGCTGGTGATTTGGAAATGAAAATACGTATATTCTTATTTTAACTATATTTAGTAGACAAATATTTGACGTGGTAAAGGTGTAATTTATATGAATAAAGTAGTTACAATTAGTTTTTTTGAGGAATTTAGTTTTGAAAAATCGCTTTTTAAAATCTAGGAAAGTGTAATAATTACTTCTTTTTGCTGTAGAATTTACACAATGTGGTAATTTATCCGTTTATTGTGAAAAATCAAAAACGGTTGCAGGACAAATTTTTAAATACTCAATCATATTAACATAAAACCATCAATTATGGTAATGAGTAGTACTATTTGTAATGTACTAGTTGATTATGACCAAACGAATGGATAATGGAGGAATGATTAGATCAGGGGTCGGCAACCTACGACCCGCGGGCCAGGAGTATAATAATCCGGCCCGTGGCGCTTTACTGAATTGTAGCGACAAAACGGCGATTTTGGCGGTAATTTAATTTTATAATCCACGCTCGAGCAGTTTATTATATGAACAGCTACTCGTTTAACGAGCCTACAATTTAATTATAATTAGACAAAAGGCAACACACAGAAAAGTTGATGTAGAGGGCTCAATTGCGCAGAAAATATTCGAATAGAGCTTCTTGATATGCAATGCGATGAAAAAATAAAATCCACATTCAATTCGAGAGATGTATCACTGCTTGATTTTAATAAAAAATATCTTCCTGAGGGAAATCTTTTATCCAAATTTGACAAACTGTGCGAAAAAAATAAACATTCATGTTTAGAAGTACATTACACAATTATTTTCGAAACTGAACATCACAAAGAACAATCTGAGAACTCGGATTAGTGATTCCCATTTAGAAAGTGTTTTAATCTTGGCTTCATCCAGTGTGTCAACTGATGTCGAAAATCTATCAAGCGTGATACAACAACAAATGTCACATTAAATGGCATTTGTAAATTTTTTTCTTTTACCAAGACTTACCAAGTTCATGAGTTGTCGCAGTCTTTGTCCGCTGTTTAAAATCTAAAATTTCAACTTCTGATCTGTGTGAGAAAATTGTGATTCATCGGCCATTCATTTGATATATTTAAAAAATATGTGCGGCCCGTCGAGACTTGCAACCCTTAATTTTGACTTGCGGGCGACAAAAGGTTGCAGACTCCTGGATTAGATCATATTAGGAATCCAATTTCGCAATTCAGTTTTTCTCATTCATTGCATGAGTTCTTTGGGTATTGTTCCACAATGCTCAATGTTCATTTTTTAGAAACCATACAGTCAAATTGGAGGAGGTGACGCTATCAATTTACCCAATGTTTGTTACCCTCCACCTTTCCAACAACTACAAAATACGCCGACGGTAAGAGTGATCAACATTGATTATTTTTTTAAATAACCCATTTAAATACAGATTGGATTTTCAATATAATTTTGTTTTGTTAACTTCCACTAGGTATATGCTGAACCAGGGGTGTGCAACAGGCAGACCGTGGGCCACAACCAAGCCCGCCAAACCATTTAGTGTAGCCCTTGTCAACACTCAGAATTTTTCCCATCAAGCCCAATCCCACACTTTATGTTTAAAAAAGCGCTCACATCTGTAAAATACATAAATGTTTATTGCCCTTGTCGCTGCTTTAAATCGTTTGCTGTTTTGCCCAAAGCTTTTATTGCTGGACGGCTTAGCGATAACCGTTTTTTACATTTTTGTGTGGCCCAGCCAGATGTCTAAAGTTGGTTAAAGTTGGCCAATCAACAAAAAAGTGTTGCGAAGTTGGCCAAATGACAAAAAATGTTGCACACCCCTGTGCTAAACTATACATAGGAACATGTTAAGGGTAATTTTTAGATATTTGAACGTATGGATTTGTATGGGGAAAAAAATTAAAGAGGATTATTTTAAATATCAAAACAATCCTCTTCAATCAATTTTTTTTCTTCAAATAACAAATTCAAATAGAAAAAGTTACCTTGTTTTATAAATTTGGATAAAAATTTCTAAATATTTATCAAACAATTATCATTTGAAAATGTACTATTTGAATATTGGATATTTATTAATTCTAATACAGCAATTGTCAGCCAACAGAGGAGTTAATAACAAATATAATCCAGGAATATATTCTGATAAAACGATAAATCCACCATACTATAACAAAGAAGCATTAAAGGAAGCAATGTTTGATGATGATGATACAATCAGTGATGGTAAGCAACTAAGTATTGCACATAACTTAAATGATTTGTCTGTCTTTTGTGCTGGGTTTTCTCAATTGTTTCGGGAACTGGAGTCGGTAATTAGGCTTGGAGAGAGAGTATGACTTAGTATACGACTTATTACATCGCTGTGGTGGCGTAATATTTGGACGACGTAGTCAGATGGGGGATAGGAATGACGCATGCTAAAATTATTCAGCCAAACCCACTAGAAGTACTTGTCGTACTTTACTATACCAGACTCGATGAATGACTTCCTTTAACTGAATTAAGTTATGTAGGTTGTTTCGAATGATTGAAAATTTTGATCACCTGCAAAAATTATTTTTATGCAGAATTCAGCCAGGAAGAAGCTTCGCTTCTGATGCAACTTACGAATGCATTACAAAAGAAATCACAACGGAAAGTTGCACTGATGGATTTTCGTAAGGCTTTGAGAAGCGGTGATACTAAATTATTTTTATCTGGTAAATCATACCAGTGGGAAAATTATTTTGTTCCTCTACTCATGCATGTTCTGGAATGTGCTAAAGATGAAGAGGTAGGAAAATTTCCATTACGTTTTTTAAATGCAATTGCTCAAATTTTAACTAGTTCAAAAAACTAATTTTGAGACTCAACTTTGTGGTGCATCGTGCTAAGTGTTACAAAACGCTCGCCACCGCACCTCTGATTAACCTGCTTGTGTTCGAATCCTGTGAGGATAAATATCTGCGAGAGGATTGCTGGACTCCCACCTGAAGTACGTAACCGCTGGTTGGTTATGGCTTCCTCCGCCATCAAGTCCATGCATCTGAAACAAATAACTGACTAACTAATTCCATACTGACATGGACTGGTAACTGTACGAGAGATCGTGGCCCGCCATAATTTAGCTGTCTTCTCGGCTTATAGCCTGATGGGCAACACCAGCATCAGGGCTGTCGAATGGAAAAAATTGACATCTCACTCCCAAAGTCCAGGCCATTGGAAAAAAAATTCTGACTCTTGTTTGAACTCTTCATTGAGGCACCTTTCAACTCAGACTTCAAAGAAAGCAAAATTTTGATACCAAAAGCTTCTTTGAGTCTATATTGCTAATCCTAGCTTTGCTTACCCCTCTAAACGTCTGAAATTCTGACTCTTAACTTCAAAAATCCAAATCTCCAGTCTGGGGAGCTTGAAGTGATGACTTTAACTGTGACTCCAATGTTAATAAAATCATACTTAATTCACGATTTCAGACTTCTGACACCGCGGCGGTAATCTGCATTTCAATTGAGCTGTCATGAAATTCTACAATACAATATTCTTCTATTTTTTTGTAAATTTATGAATAAAATTTATTCAATTTAATATAGGCTGAAACAAGAGTACTCTCACTTGCAATTTTGAAAGAAATGTTCCTCCGAATATCCTGGGAAAATTTTGCGGATTATATTGAAACGATTGTTTACACTGTGTTGGAAGCTCATAAAGACAGAAACCACGAGGTATTTATAAATTTTTTAACACAATCCGCTCAAAGCAAAATTTTTTTTAATTTTAGAAAAAAAATTCTTATATATGACACTTATTAACGTCTTTTGCTCCAAATATGGTCCTATATCCTCTGATATGTGAAGAGCTACTCGGGAAAACTTTTCAATGTTAATTATGAAAGTGAACACTTGCAATCATCACCAGATTTATGGGAACACTGCTTATCAAAATCTTAATCTTTAGGTTGTGAGAGCAGCAGAAGACACAACAACAACATTAGGAACCTATTTGCCTCCAGATCTTTGCTTCCAAGTCTTGATTCCCTTCCTTGATGGAACTCATGCATCAACAACACAAGCTTCTATTATAATGTTAACAAATGCTATCAACAAGGCCAGGAAAGATGAACTTTCTCCGAAGATTGTAAATGATATTGTACCGTGCTTAATTAAAGTAAGAACGGCTTTCTGTAATTGCATACTATATTATCATTACCAGAATATAATAGTAATATCTTGGGCGGTATCGAATTTTTGAATTTTAAAAACTCCCATAAATTGGGCCCTAATTTTGATACTGTTAAGAGCTGGGCATTTTCGAATACCTAGTGATTCTAGAATCTAATCACATTATTTCGAATAGATTCTCGAATACTTGGAGAATTGGTATTTGTATGTGACTTTTTTATTGTAATTACTGAAGACATCGAATCCGTCACACACACATATTATCATCAATAAATCAATGTCATTTTGCATTTCCAAAATATGGCTTCAATTTAAAAATATGACTTTAAAAAAAAATGGCGCATTTACCTCTATCTTTAGTGTACGAAAAAAAAAGATGGCGTCGATTCGAAAATAATTCGAATTATTTACTATTCGATTAGAAATGCCCAGCCCTAGTACTGTTTTGGTTGGTTTCTCACGGTAATTAAAAGTTATATAGGGGGTTAATCAGTGTGAACAGCAGATATCTGGTGTGCATTCCTTTTTCCCAAATAAAAATATTCGAACAGTTTTCTAGAAAGTCTAGTAATTAATTTTAACTAATATGATAGGATTTACATATTTATCCTGGGGGTGAGGAAAGCGGATAAGACTGCTTTATCATATGGCAAACCACTGTCCCGTTACCAGTCTGGTACCATGTCGGGTATGGGATTAGTTTAGTTTTTTATTTCAGATGCATTGACTTGATTTTAAATAAATCGCAATATTCATTTTATTTCCAGTCATTCCTGGTCATAGTGTAGTGTTATTTACAAGATACTACATCCATATTAGAATATATGATAGAAGCGGTTTCATTTGTTTTGTAAATAATAAATATTTCTTCAAAGGGTTATGATAGTACAGAAAGCAGCATGCGAAAAGCCGCAGTATTTTGTCTTGTTGCTATCCATCAAGTCATCGGTGAAGAAGATTTACAAAAACATCTTTCATCATTATCTGGTAGTAAGGTGAATACACAAGATTGTTTTGTAATTTCTCACATTGGCTCGATTCGTGCTGAATATGTCGCTATATTTAGGATGTATATTCTATTCTTGAATTTTTTCCTATCCATTTTATTTAAAGTATTCATTATGATATTTGCCTTGGTTGTGTTTGATTTGAATAAGAATTGAATGAAGTATGATTTCTCTGTTATATCATCAATTTTTGATGAAAAACACTTTTGAATATCAACGTTCTTGAAATAGAGCTTCCCCTGATTATTCTTATTATTAATCTTTGTTTCAACAAATATATTTAACATTCATATGCTTATCAAATTCAAATGATAATGTTTTTGAGCAGACATGTTCTTGTGCTTGAGAAGCATCAAATTTGGCTTTCTTTCCCTAAGATTCCCTGTTTTCTTTCCCTAAGATATATAATTTTATTAATTTACTATTCTGCCTTCTAATCTTACTTTGCACATTTTCAGATGAAATTATTGCAACTTTACATCAAGCGAGCACAAACCAGCAGTCACTGAAAACAATCTTCCAATAGACAAGTCGCCTTCGAAGTAACATAAATTGCATACTGGTCATAATTGCAGTGTGACAAAGCGGTACATTGCGATTGCCATCTGTGTGGAAAGCGTTGTCCCTGTTCATACACTACAGAAGTACAGATGCACAAACAAATTGATTGATGAAAAATGAGTTTTGGAAAAGTGTAGCCTTTGAAATGGTTAAATGTTATGAAGTTGTCAATCTAATCGATGACAAAATTCAAAATTAATTTTATATGAGAATCAATGCTGCTTCAATACAAAGTTTGTATTTCCAATCTCAGTGTGGTTAGGTAGCAGATATTATACAGGTATATAGATGTCATATGTAATAACCCTTACTTGTGGCGTTAGGTATTTCTGGTAGTCAACCGATCTCAACTCCTATCTACACTGATATAGTGTTTTATAATCATAGTAAAGCTACCACATGACAATATTTGGAACAATTTGCTGTTATATTGGTGATCTGTCGAAAACTGATTTTATAAATTCTAAATCTATATTTCTGAGTCTATATTGTATTGATATGCTATACCACTGATGGTAGAATGAAGAAATCCAAACCCAAGAAAGGAATACGTTTTTGTAACTGTATGGACACAGAGGAAATAACCTTTAGTTTCTTCATACATTTGATTCATTTAGTCATCTTTGTCATCACCAGTTCAAGTGTTTATATTTTAGGTTTTATGTAACGCCTATGTATCTTGTATGGTAGTTACTTTGTAAGAGCAACATAACAATTACATATACTTCGTACGCAAACTTTTAAGTATGATTTGATAGACTGTGCTTATGGCGTGTATATTTTTTGTTGAGGTGTGAACTATGTATGTGTAAATGCTGCAAGACATTTTTTCGTTCCTTTATTTTTTAAATTTTTTTTTTTGTTGAAGTTGCTGGTGAATTTTCATAATACAACACAATGTTATGTCCGAAAGCGGATATTTTGAAAAAGTCTTCTATTAGGTTTTTAACATTACACCTGGTATGTTATTTGCCTTACACTCGATTCATAGCGTGAGGATGCATATATTTTGAATGCTTTGTTTGTTAACATTTATGAAATGCAAATTCTCTCAAGGCAGTGCACTATTACTGCTGGCAATGTCTTCACTTCATAACTGAATGACACCCAAGCGCCGAAACTGAATTTGTATATTTTATCATTCAAACCTTTTTTCTAATATCGTCAAGCTCCGACACGATTCTATTTACCTGAACAATTTTTGAGGTGCGGTTTCAGTTTACTGTTGCATTTTTGGTTTCCTATTTTAATGTCACCATGAACTATCTAAGCTAAGGTAACCATACATCTACAAAATGTGCCAATCATTGCCCATTATATGATATAGCTTGCTGCTCAGTACCTTTCCTAAGACTGTAATATTAGAAGTGTGGTTGGGATGCATGACTGCTCAAACTTGGCCAAGTTTGGATATGTATAAGAATTGGGATATTAAGTTACGGTTCATGATCGATCACACATAGGAACAGTGATTTGCTGTGAAAAGTGAATGTACTCCTTAGCTGGTGAATGTTTCCTTTAAAATATGCATTGGCCAATCACACAGGCCTTGCATAACCTTCGTTTTTATCTGTGATTTGTATTTCGCTGGTAATACATTTTACAATACACTTTTTGTTTGAAAGTGAACAAATTAATATATCATTTCTATATAAGATATTGTACCGTTATCTTGAATAATACTTCGCTTGGTGCTTCGACTTATATTTCATTTTTTTATCGTAATTTCATAAACTTTGGGACATATAGCGATGCCTCTTACGCCATAGTCTTTTTAACTGTTCGAATTTGTATTTTTTTAATTATTCATCCGTGCCAGTCGAGGGAAATATCAACCATTGTAATATCAAAATTTGCAACAATACTATATTGGCGGTTCAACAAGGGATAATATTCAATACACACTAAAATTGACTTCGATTAGCCTGGATAGGTATTTTATAATGTGGATGATGGACAAAACTACAGAGATTTATTTTAAAGGCATCGTCTTCGTTCGCCGAGCACAGACAGTGATTTTATCAGTTTGTCCATTTTCATTTACTTTTCTTAATCGTCATCACGGCATTATTATTCTTTCATTATTATTATTCTGTTTGGCGACAAATTTGACGAACTAAAACTACTTGACTTTGTTTTATTCGTTGGTTGTTTTTGATGTCGCAATTGTTGTTTCAATATGTTGTTATCGCAATTTGTGCATGTTACAATAAAAATCTACATGCTTACCATATTGTGTGTAGTAGAAGCTAAGCCGTTTGAGAAATTACTTAAAGATAAAACCCTTTTAATGCCATCTTTGAGGACAGTCTATTGAGCACAGTCACAGTCTAAAATCCTTACATAAATTCCTGTTATTACAGCCTACATGCCTTGGTTTGTGGCAGCACAATTTCACCCACTGTGGTTTCAATTTGCTGCCGTGGTAACCCGCCTCACGCCATGGTTTTGCGGCAGCTTCAGACGCCACAATATACTTAAAACTGCACTTGCATAAAAGAGCTCATAGAATTCGATTTTTATATTTATTCCGTGGAGAGAAAGGCGGTAAGACCATTATATTGTGTTCAAACCATGACCCCTTGTTGTTTACCGACCAATCTGACACGGGAACAGTTAACCAGTTCCTCTTTTCAGATGCATGTGGTAGTTTGAAACCCGGACCTACCCGCTGGTGTTAATCCGGTGGGTAATTATGTTCGAAAGGATTGCTGTATGTACAAAACCGCTGTTCGGTTATGGTTTCCTCCGTCTTTCAACTGAAATATATGCATTTTATCCCATATCACCTGCGATATAAAGAATGATTCTTCATGTGATGAATACTATTTATTATCCAGTCTAGGATTAAATAAATCGGAAAAAAATTCTTAGATAAATTGCCTCTTTTTTCGGATCGTAAATAGTTTTGGATTTTTGTTGAATAAATATCCCTATTTCAGTAAAAACTCGATTTATTTCAACAGTCGACATGTGTGATACGTTATTTATATAAAAAACCTAGTGTGCTGATATGGAATTTTGGGCAAGGCAGGAGATGATATTAGGTAGGCTTACCATACGTCCCGCTTTTCAGCGTTTTGTCCCGCCGTCCCGGTAAGTCAGCCGAAAGTCCCGCTTTTCCAGTATAATACACAAACATGTTTTCGTTACTGTTGTTTCTGTGTAGCGCAGCGCTAGCCTACTTACTGAAGGTGAATGCGTTCGTTTCCCGTTGATTTCCATTGATGGCAGACGTATCGCATGTAAAACCAATACTAATTAGACTAAATTCGAATTATTTGTACCGGTATCGTTAACGTCAATTCCTTCCTATTTTTCGAACTGAACCCGATATTTGGACAGAGAATATGCGCATGAAATTTCGATAACAATATGGTCAATAAAGACAGCTTTATATGTAGGAATGTAGGCCTATGTAGTAAAATCGGAAAATGTGAAGTTATAAAATCACAGCTAAGGGGTCGTTGTCTTTCGAGGCGTCCCGATTTGAAGTCACAAAAATATGTTAACCCTAATATTAGGTTATCTTGATAATGATATATTGTACTATTTATGCATTCCAAATTCGGCTACTCACTGAAAACAATATACGCCTCTCTATATTCGAAGATGTGGGTGGGGAAAGTTTGTAAGCCTTAAATCAAATCGTAAATCATTCTTCCGATCGGACACCAAAAGCTTGATTCCGATGATCGACTTCGTCTTCGAGAACTTATAGTTTGGGAAGTTTCCCGTTGAAAATTTCAAACTGACCACCAACAAGATATATACATATCTGAAATGCTGTATTCATGTTCCATATAAAATGACTGCGATGCGAAGCGAAGGCCTGACGCTGGATCCATAGGCGACATGTCAGCAACAATAACCTTATCACTACGCTTTCTATTGACAGTTCAGAAGGGCTAGGGTACTTGATAATGATCTGTTCTGATATTCCATTGGGGTATAACATTTTAACAATGTCTGTTGAACTATACGAGATGTTGAATGCTGCTCAGAGATGAGGTCTCCCAGCTGGCAGTCACAATGCCATTTATTCGATCTCAGCTGTAGGTATTGCAGACCAGATAAGTTAACTTTGAACCTTCGGTGAAAATGAACTAGTTCTGGATTAACAAAGTTTAAGCCCGGTATCAGTAAATTCAAGTTGGGAACTTGACAAGTTGAAAATGTGTTAGGGCGCAAACAACTTATTTCATTGTAACTCAGGTCAAGTCTTTTTAGATTTGGAAGACCAGCGAATGCATGAATAGAGATCCAATCTATGTAGTTCCGTCGCAATGATATAGTCTCCAATTTTTCACCACGGGTGACAAATGTGAAGTCCGAAAGAAATCTAAAGAAATGAATTGAACATGAAGAAACCAAACAAAATAGATTCACTTTATTTAATGTAAAAGTGATTTATAGAAATACTATATAGATATATATTAGGTTTATCATTTCTGTATTGTAAACAAGAGGAATATTTTAGTAATTGTGGCTAACTTATAGGGGGGTTGCCACTAATATCCTACATGTGCTCATTTGGAAAAGTTTACTGACAGTCTCAAAGTAGAAATTGGGAATTCCATGACTTGCGCACAAAAAAAAGCACATTCAATTGATTACAAACTATGTTAAGAGCTTTGCTTGAGATAGTTCTACTCACCCAATCTTATTGTCGCTTAAATTAATGTCAACGATTTCATCAAGAAAAGTGAAAACGCCACTATCAATAGTGTGAATTTTGTTTCTGGAAAGATCCAGTATTCGAAGTCTTTTCAAAGCCAACGTCCTTGAATATAGATCTTTTCTGATCAGTTGGGAAATACGATTACCACCCAGATACAATTCTTCCATCGAGTTTGTCGAAGAAAAATATCCTGACAAATTTAGGTCTTGTATACTTCTGATTTGATTTTCTCTCAAATCTAAAATCTTCAGTACTAACCATACGAACCATAAACACTTCGGTAACTTCTGTATTAAATTCCCTTTCAAGTCTACATTTACAACTCTTGGGAATATCGAGGTAGAGTCTTGACAACGTAGATTGCGTGATTTATCATACCTCGATGTTATATTTTTCTTTATAATGATATTGCTTATACGATTGTAACGAAAACTGAAATCCTCAAAATAAATACAGACGTCGCAGAAATTGAGGTCTAATTCAGTTAATTCGTTCGCATCCAACTCCAGAAGAGTCGTCCATTCTGGAATATTTTGTGGAATTTCTTGCAAGTCTTGACTGTTACATTCCAATGTATGTATTGAGTTGTAATACGCACAATCACACCCAGAAGGGCATGTGTAAGACGTAGTTTTTGTTATGAAAGCTCCAACCAACAGAAGGTATAAAAATGTCGACATATCTTTATCGCGAATCGTATTAAGACAGAGTTAAATTTATTTACTCTGCTAAATCGCCTGAACAATAAATGCTAATTCTAAAACAAAAAATCACGATTAAATGTCTGAATTATCGTTAATGCATATCTGTTCGACCTGTCATTCCTTACACATAGCCTGTCTCGCGCTATCGACTACTCGATATAGTTTCGAACCTCACTGATGTGCACTTTAGTGTATAATCCATCAACGGCAATTCACACATGCGTGAAAAAATCTTAAGCATGCTCAATGGAGCAGTTACCAACACATATATTTACGAGAGATACCGTCCATTTATGCATTGCGACACATTGCATCCTCACGGCTATTTCTATTCTTTGAGAAAAATATGCTGCGTCTCAGGAGTTTAATTTGCTACTTATCTCGCAATCTGAATTTTGGTAATGTATTTTTGGCCATTGAATGTATGATTTGACAATACTGGTATTTGCGTTAAAACATTTTACGAGCTGGGGAATTGTTACCCACTTTTTGATATTCATAAAATAAACGCATTTCAAATTCTGCATATTTATTTTTGAAGTGGCAGTTGAAGAAAACAAGTACTTGAATGCAAATTGTCAATAAAATCTTAGATTCAATATGTACATTAAACAATCAATAAATAAATCAATCAACAATTTTGTTCACTAGAATTGGACGCTAAGTGGAGCATTCGATGGTCTCCTCCAGAATACTCTTCGTTCGTTTTGTTCCTCTCAACATCGCCCATAAACTGGAATGTGTGTAGACATAATACCCATCGTCCATCGTTGACATCATAATCTCTGGTGGCTGATGGTCGGGTCGTTCAACTACTGAGGATCCCACTGAGAACATTGATTGGCCGTCTTCTCCTGTATGAGACTTGGTATCAGTTTTGTCTTCATCACGAAGATTCGATTCCTTTATCGATTCGTAAGTCTGCATAAAAATTGTATTATTTAACCGGTTTTATAGCTGAAACTACGAGTTTGCCATTTGGAAATGTGGAAACCCAGTCATGCAGGTCGATTGCTCATAAGCGAGTATGACGATTTTATTCCAATTTATCGTATATTTTTTTATTAAACTGTTACTAAATATGACTTGACCTGGCGGCCTTGTCCGTTCAAACGGGCCTTGAAAAGGGCCTATTTACAGGCGGGGTTTGAGCAATGATATCTCTTCTATCCTCAATGATCCCAAATATATTCTGGCATAACAACAGCTCAATTAATATACGTTAATATACTATTTTTCGCACACCAGACTTATGAAAACCCAGACATTTTATTTTTTCTCCATAAATATTCCAAAATGCACAATTTTCTTTTGAGCCAAAGATTTTATTTGAAAATATACAGTTTCTGGGAAACATTATCGAATTACTCTTTACAATCAATAATTCATAAAATTAGGTTATAGAAAGATTCAATGGCGGACTATCTGCTGTTTGAATCGCACCTAGTTTTGAATTCTTGTAGTTATGATTCATAATTTTATCTAGCTTCTCTAGAAGGTAAACGTGATACATGTCGTCCTCTTCTAATGCTTCAAAATCCTCTTCTGACGAAGAGTCGTCAGATTCTGCTGTATCATACTTTCGTTTTGCGGGAACTCTTGGAAGCGGACGTTTTCTGAACGAGATGCAGACTAATTTTATGCTTCAGCGAGCAAGCGTTTTCGCGCGATGTTTTGGCAGGCAGCGATGGAATTTACAATTCCGAATCAGCGGTGTGATCCACAGTAGATTTTGCTTCATTATGTATCAGGTATAGCTGGCAAGGGCAATTGCGAAAACGCCTGCTTCCAAGGGGTAAGTACCATACATTACACGCTATGTTTCAATTCAGATTGAGAAGATATTAGGTAATGTTTTTACCTTAAAGTTCATAGGCGGAATTGTCCAGGCGCTCCTTGCAGAAATGTGATGTCGCACACGTTCTTCGTCAGAAATCAGAATGTCGTCAACTCGCATTTCCTCCAATACAACGTCTGCACTCATTACTTCCAAGTTGATTCCTTCGCGATATAAGTTGCGCAACCCTAGCAATATTAATTATAACAAAAAGATGACTACGTATCTTACACAGCAATATAACAACCTGGTGACCGTACATTTGAACCCACGTACATTTGAACCCATGTGTATATCCACGGGTTCAATCTATATGCGGGTGCTAAAACCCATGGGTTAGGGTTAGTGTGGGTTCAACTATCCGAAAAACAAAAAAAATTCCATAGGTGCAATAGCATACAGGTGCAATTGCCATGGGTTCAAATGTACGTGGGTTCAAATGTAATGGAACCTAACAATCTATACTACACTATCCATAGGCTACTCCGAGCTATTGGGTGATGATAGTGAAAATGTGTGAGAATTCTGCAGACGTGGGGCTGAATTTGCGATGCTTATATATGGTACAAGTTGTCAATTTTTTCCATTTTTTGCCCTTGCTTATAGGCAGTAGAGGGCCAAAAAGGCAGCGTCGCCGAGCAGTACCGCTGTAGGGGGCAGCAGATCCAAGCTGCAAGGAGAGTTGGCGTTATTACACATGTTAATGTTGATACGAACATTTCACTCTTTAAATTAATTCGCATGTATAACAATAATTATGATTTGTTTATCCCTCAAATTATTTTCGGAATTGGGTGTCAGAAACTAGCACTGGGCAACAGAAAAGTTTAGCACGCCTCTGCTTGTGGGATTGGATAGCCAGTTAGTTCTGTTCACTTGCCAGTCGAAAACTTTTTCTTAGATTATATTCTAGAATAATACACACCTTCGTGTACTTTGTGTCTCATTTCGTCATCTTTTGCGTCCCAGCCGAGTGCATGAGCGAACCTTATAGTGACATTCAATTGTCCTTCAAATTGGCGATGCTTCAGATATGACTGTATTGAAGAGAAACATATAGCGTGTTTGGTCAAGGCATAAAATCGTATCATTATAACACTCAAGATTTAGAAATCACACATTAATCGAACCTCAAATTTGTGATAAACATAATTAACATAACCTATGACACTATACATTGTACTAAGGGTAAATACCACTATTTCGGTAATTCAAGAATATTGTAAAATGTTCAAATACTTTAAAACAGGGGTGTGCAAACTTGATACAGGAAGGCCGGATACAAATACTGGGTGAAATCGCGGGCTACACCTTTATTTAACCTAGACTTTCTGGTAGTTGCGGGCACAAAAATTTCAGGTATTGATCTTATGACACGCGTTGTTCGCTTCGCACAAGTTAGCTGTTAGAGCATTGTAAGAGATTGGAATTACTCGCACATACCAGATTAAACTAAATTAAAAACTCGTTTCGCCGCACATCATACAAAATTGGCACTTTCCCGCGGGCCGCACAATTTTCCATGTGGGCTGCGTTTGGCCCGCGGACCGCAGGTTGAACACCCCTGCTGTAAAATATACCTTCTCGAGTTGTATCAAATTTAGCAACGTCTCTGCGCATGTATATATCGGAGATGAGCTCATACAATGTCCACATTGAGTTCGATAGCTTGAGATTTTGGAATTTTCTCTTCCCATGGTACTTTCATGAGATCGAATACAAATAACTGGGTAACACCATCGGCTTTTCCACCTAAATTTAAAATTAAAAGAAAATATTTATTTAAACAGTATATAATATATGTGACTTACGAAAAGCAAGTGGTTGCTACCAGGTTTGTTCGTGGTAAAACATTGACAACTTGTAATTAAAAATTGGTAAGAAGACCTGAAAATGCCAGTAAAACAAATTGAAGTAGAGTCTGTATTGTCACTCATTGAAGTAAATGCTAATGAGATAGATAATTTGATACAATTTGTTTACCTGGTACTATCTATATTCTATACGATGTGATTTAACAATGTATTTTAACAAAGTGAGTTACTGTGAAAATGCCTATATATATACTTATTCTACTTTGTATCAAACGCAAACGAAATATTTTCCTGTCAAAGTCAATAACTGTGCGTCATTAAAATTTACTCACCAATAAATCTAGATCTATACAACACATGTTCGACATCAGTAAATACATCGACAAACGTGATTTCACATTTCAAAACCATTAAGGATGCTAGTCTTCCTTCTGTATCTAGAAACAGTTTATATATACATGCTCTGACCACGGACGACAGTTTCCTGTAACCTCCGTTTCAACCACTCTTTGTCGTTGCTGGAAATCCTGGTATAGAAAGAATATTTTTTTGCTAATGTCAAATGCGTGGTATCATTCGAAAAACAACAATAATGAAGCTATATATGCTATTTTGATCTGTTTTGTTTTTCACTTACATTGAACTCTATGATAGAAAATATATGTCAAAAATATATCAAAATGACGAAGACCGATAATTGTTAATCCCAAATATGTGGTGCTGTTAGATTCGCTTTCAGAAATTTTAAATATGACCTTTTCTAATTTTCCACAAGAGAAGTTCATGTTAATTTTGATAGTAGAAGTTCCCGACTTACTATGCAAAGTACATGAACTCCTTATTTCCTTTTATTTCATCATACCATGTATTTCATACCTGGGGGTCTTCGGTCATAATATTTTTAGGAATTGTACGCGTAGGCTTCTTCGAGGCTGTTGTCCCATGTTGCTTGATGAAGTTGTATTTGCAGGGATAATGTCTTCGCACGCAGAAATTGCTGGTGATAGTATTTCAGATGGTGCGTCATCAACGTCTTGTACACGATTTTCTTCGGTATCCTTATCCTAGAAAATGTGTATATACATATATTATAACAGAGATTGGTCATATTTTCAACATTCAATACGGTTCTTGGCATTTCGGTTCGCAGGTTACTTTCACTCATTAAATATCATTTTCAAACTGCTATCCTTACTGATATATTTCTCCATATTTACTAATTTTATAGTTGCTCTTCCAACACTAACTCACGCGAATGCGTATTTGTTCACACTGCAACGTATCTTCATTCAATTTCAATACAGAAATGTTACCAATGCATTCATACGCGGGCGGGGAACGTATGGGAAAAAGCACTAGCACACGATTAGCGCTTTGTTGTGTCGCAATATTACCAAGAAAGAGCTCATATTCCGTTGTTGCGCGCGCAAAATTCCTTGTTTATTACTTTAGTTTTATTGAGCCTTCATTTATATTCAATTCAAAGCAGTGTCTAATTGTGAGTAAATGCTGATCCTTTGGTTCATCAAGCGAAATATATAAAGGATTTTAAAATGTCCAAGTTTAGAATAATTGGCAAAATACATGGTATACTTATGAATCGAATTTTTGAGAATATCACATCCGTGCTTTTAACTTCGCAAAAGGTATTCTCAGTAAATTAACGATTGTATAGACTATAGCGCGCGTAAAAAATTATAAATGTGATATTTTAACTGAATTGGTTAATGTTAAATAATGTATAAACTGGTTTATTAACCATAAATCTCTGGATCCGTATAAGGCACAAATTGTTACGCTTTACACTGATTTTAAACATGGCCATCTACAATAATATAGTATCAATACAAATATTTTCTCTGCTTTCCTACACCAATCGTTGTTGTATAATGTTTAGCGTACTTACAGAGTCTTCCGCTAAGTTCTCAATACTGGCCGAAGCGCTATTCGGTAGTCCTGTCACTACAATTGATTGCGCGGGACGTTCGTGTTCTGCTTCTGAGGAAAGGCTGTACCTAAACAGTATATAATATATATATGTAAAGTAAATTCACACAGATATATTGGGTGGCAAGAGAGAGTAGGTTTGGTGTTCATATTAAAAAAAATTGACCTTGAAATAGTTGGTGATCCTTCTGGTGTAGCTTGAGGAGGAATTTTCTGAAACACAAAGAAAGTAATAAAATAATATAAATTTATTTATTATAGTCAATACATATATCAAATTTATTTGAATTGAAATAAACTTAGAATTAAAGCAGCAGAAAAGTGCTCAGGTCTGAGCTCAAGTGGGATATTAGCATCTAATGGTTACTATTCTGGTCTCTAACTCGGCTGCGGAATACGAGAAAATGACACCTTGACTCCGGTTGAATAAAATTTGGCTTCGACTCCTACTCCAGCTTCGAACTCCGAAAAATTCAAATTTTGATAACAAAACTATTCCATACACAAGCCTTCTAGAATGTACTAATGTTTAGTCAACTTAATTCTTTTTTAGTTTCTGTGAAATTTGACTTCTTTTATCAACACTGACAGCCTTTACTCCTGTGAAACAGGCCAAACTGAATCCACAGCCATGAACCCGACACAATGTTTTCAACTAAGAGTGGCAATTATCTCTTTTTGGATATATATGTTCGAAACCATACCAATCTGACCCAAACTTTTAAATGAGATTTAAAATTTAACTGCCTATATTTCCAACAGAAATTCGCACATTTCATAGTTTCACAGGCCATAGATGGCTAGTATCTAGTAGTTTTGTGTCGTGCCTTTACCTGAGTTAATCAGAACGCTTATATAAATCGCCATAGCGCTTATGGGATTGAATATTTATGGACTTGTTAGCTATTCTAATTTGATAAAAGAACTGACGTACCTGGATTTCAATTAAATCTTTGTCCGAGAGATCCACGTTTATGTGCGATTTGTATTCCTCTTTATCATCAGCTTGATACAGTTCAGTGTTATCCCCCGCCTCGGGAGAATCAACCACTCCCGAAGGTAAGTCGCTACCTGTTTATATGAACATTTACATTCAACACAGAAGCTTCGAGAGAATGAGCTACATTTAAACCGAAAAACAGAACTTATATCAAATTATTACACTACTTTTTCGGGCTCAGTAAATTTCCATTAGATAGGGTTTTTCTTATGAGTTAACAAGTAACGAATTTCAGCGGCACGCTCGCTACCATTGCCTGATATGCCATTTCATGATAAAACACTTAACTGGTTCTGCGTTAGTTATTTAGATAATAATATGCTTCACTGGATTTATTAAAATGAAGACCATATTTTTATATAAAGTCCACCTACTAGGTTAATACTTCAATCGTCTATTTTCACGACAAACAAGTAGTCTATTATCGCAGGCAAGCTAATTCTGCTTCAGTTTTAAATTTACACCCACACGAACCGTTAAAGCTCTTTGGCTTACCTTCCTGCGCCACCGTTTCTTTTGTGTGTTCCAGTATGAAGAAATGCAGTAAATGGCTAGAACTGTACACCTACCTATATGCAATACAAACCGATCTATAAGCTAACAATGCGGGATATGACTGCAACCTGCCAGCACAATATGTTCACCGCTTCCTCGCAAAACCATTCAATCGAAGGCAGCAGCGGTAATCAGAATGTTGACTATACTGTTAAAAAAATCCATACATTTCATTGTTAGTAATTTAGAGAAGCATAAAAGCGATAAATTGAAAAAGCTGTAAACTGAATTTTAACCACGGTTGCGACAAACATATGGTAACCTCAAACAAATATTATGAAGTTTTGGTCGACATTCCAACTACTCTCCCTCGAAGACGGTAAATACACAATAAAACCTTCAAAAGTATTTATTTACTCGGATGGCACGAACGAAGCGAGTCTGCTGGGCGTAATAGATCTTCAGATCTCTCTTAACTAAACGATTCAACCAGTATTTGATGGCAATACGTTGTCGATGTGCACGACCCTCCTATTGGCCTTCGTGGAATTCGTCATATCCGGGTTTCCGCTCATAAATGATGTAAGGTTTGTCTTTCTATCCTGCGTAATACGCTTTCATTGTATAGAATGCCAAGCGGAAATTTGCATTGCGCAGAGATGCACAGAGATAATATTACGTTTGATCATTCTCGCCAGTGCTAATACTCAATACTTGCCATAATATCGTATGCAATCACCTAGTGTTGATTAATGGCAAGTGTATACGTGTCTGCCTACATATATATCGCATTATACACATACACTGAAAAACAGAGATAAAAATTTTACAATAAATATGTTGCAAAAGGAGGTATGAGGAATTAATCCGTCCTCGAGTCAAAATACAAGAAAGCAAACCACAAAAAAAAAAAAAAATTAAAAAAAAGCGAAGAAGTGAAAACAGAATTATCAGGGCAACGGCTTCTTTGGCGGCAATACTTGCGTAACATCGCCTGATCAGCAAGATGTCAAAAATGGCAATTGAAATATTTTATCTGCCAATTAGAAACTTTTTTCACTCAAATTGCAGACACTTAGCTTGTTTTTGCTAGCTTCTTGTAAGTTTTAAATTGTATTTCTGATCATTTTTATCCGAAATCTTAGCTTAGTTACAGCAATGAGAATGAAGAAACTCCAGAAAAATCTGCGTTAGACTAAGTTCAATTTAGATATCAATATTTTCGAATTGCGGTCAGTTAAATAATATATATATGTGAACCAATAATATGATTGAATACTTTCAAAATATTATAGATCTTATGCAAAAGAGATTTGAGAAAAACATCCCGCCATGTTTTAAATAAAATATTATTATATCTAGTTAGTATAAGTACTAGGAAAGGATTTACATATTTATCCGGGGGAGAGGAAGGCCGATGAGACGGCTTAACCATATGGCGAACAACGGCCTCTCGTCCGGTTACCATCCCATGTCGGGTATTAGATTAGTTAGTTACTTGTTTTCGGACGCATGGACTTGGTGGTGGAGGAAGCCGTAACCGACCAGCGGTTACGTGAACCACCCTACTAGTTTATTTTGACTTCATAACCAGCACAACTGACAATAAAACGATTGGTAAAAACATGAAAAGGCTTTGTACAGAAGATCCAATTGCAATTCACCATTGCAAAAATGCTTATTTATTGGTGTTTCACCGAGTTGGGGTTTACAAACTAGTTTACATTTGCAATACCAACATTTTGGTTCAAAATGTTTAATCACGTGCTGTTTAAATTGGAGTTTTTTCCGGTACTAATTTTTAAATTACTGCAGATGAACCACCACATCGCTAAAGGAACAATCCCGATTAAGTTATTTGATTTATACCTAATTTTTGGAAATGCAACTAAAAACTGTCGAGAAGCACGCGAAACCAATGTTTGCAACTATGCTCGAAAGTCTAAAAAATTTCAATTGTTACACCGTAAATATATACTACTACGTTACACCGCCGTTATCAACTCTTTGCTAGATGGTAATTACCGACTCTCATGACCTTTGACCGATGCTGCAGCTACATAGTTTGAGGGGGACGCTTGCCTTGCTGCGCGTTTCAGACTACGCGCGATTGCTATATGTAGCTGCTTCGAAAAGATCGCTGTGTGTAAATGTTGCTTCAACAGTTTTTTTAATATTATAAATTTAATACTGACTAACTTATGTTATGGTAAGTTGTATGTACAGTACCACGGTACGGTACCTGGTAGTGGTGCACCCGTACCGTTACTGTAGTACCGTCAGCGGACGGGATATCGTGTCAAATTAGTCTATCGAGTACGTTAAAACACTGACATATTACAAAAAACCTACTTTAGTACAGCATCCCTCGGATCATCTATCGCCCAACCACATGCGAATACAAAGCAAAATCGCAGCGTCTTCTCAAAAAGTGGTTCTGGCAGCATTCGTCACGCTCTGTTGAGTCGTATGAAAGTCGGTAATTGTTATGAAAACAAACAAAAGAGCTACGCTCAAATATATGGACACGTCACAAGGTGTCGCTCTTTTTTTATTCTGACACACAAAAATAAAACGAATCTCTGGAAGTCCACAGAAATTTTTGAAATAAGTAAAAGTAATAGCCTTCTAGCAAAAAAATCAATCTTTAACCTTTGAACATTTTAAAGCAATTGGTCTAGTATTCGAAGAGAAAAGCGACTTTATGGTGACGAAGAGGAATAATACCAACAAGAACAACAACATAATATTGAAATGATTGTTATGTACACTGACGTGTCAAATAGGAAAGACGATACTCAGGCGATTTCGATGATAAAATCGTTTGAGGTCTTTCAATTACCGACTTTCATACGACTCAACGGTATGTTAGTCGTTGACTCAACAGAGTATTCGCATGTGGTTTGGCGGTAGATGATCCGAAAGATGCTGTCATTTCGTAATATGTCAGTGTTTCAAGGTACACGATAGACTAGTTTGACAAGATATCCGGTCCTCTGACGGTACTGCAGTATCGGTACGTGTGCACCACAACCAGGTACCGTACTGGTACTCAATTCAACCAATGACATTAAACAACATGATAGGCAACTCTGACGTCACTCCATAAGACTATACGCGAAAGATTGTATTTCATGATACGCTTCAATGCACATAGTTATCGTCGCCTTTCGAGACCGTTTCCCGTTCGCTTTTGCTACTCGGCGCCTTCTTTACGTGTAGTATCTGCCTTTTTGAGCCTGTGACGAAAGAAAATAATCATTAATCTAAGAAGTTTTGCTCACTTGGAAAGCTGGAATGGCAGACAAGCTAGCAGAGTAATTCTGGACATCATAGACGTTTTTTATTATCAGAGAAGATTACAAACGATAGTGTAAAGATTTGTGTGGAACATTTTGCAGATAATGACAAAGTTCAAAGTTACTACTTTTAATGTTTGTACTTAAACATTGAAATTTTATTTAAAGAGGGTTTCTTACAAAACAGCAAGACTGTTTATACTTCTCTTAACGGTGCTGTGATACAATTCCATAACACAAAGTTTGCACCCATCGAATTTGCTTTAGTAGGTGATTTATTAGACATATTACATATTCATTTTATCGTAGTAACATTGATGGTACATAATGCCTCGTAGATATGTTTGTGTCTAAATTTAGAATTTAGCTCATAGCCCACTAATTAATATTATTGTCTATGCAGGAGGTTGCAGGGCTGAATTCAACTTGCAGCCTTACCGATCACCTGATGATGCCCATTTAGTCTGGCTCGAACATGAAAGACTTGTGTGAATGGAAACTACCTATATCTTTTGCCTTCCTCCGATTTTAGAAGACAAATTTAATCTGAGGAATTTTGCATATATTTCTCATTGATTGTTGGCTGTTTATATTTCCTATTAATTGTGAATTCTGATTATAACAAAGAGTTAAAAAAATTTTACGTAATTTACTGGCACCTTTTTCTTGTCAATACTCCAAGCTGAGGTAATAAACAAGACAATACATTCATGTCACCTGGCAAAATATGCACACTAATTAAAAGTTTGACACATTGAGATAATACATCGCGACAGCAAATACAAGTTACAATACAAGTCATACAATATGCCGCATCGCATTTTGGAAATTGTAAAAAGGGCCGCAAACAGTTTTTGATAATGTATACTTAAAAGATAGTTTTAGTTTGTGACATATATTGTGATGCAATTAAACAGTTGGATTAAGTTCTATTATTTTCTCTAATTTCAAATGCAATTACATATTAATATTTGCATTCCACTATTATTGCAAGTTACTGTATTTATTACAAAAAAATCATAAAATTCTATGTACAACCATCAAAATCATTTTTGAACAAGCTTTGGATAAGAAAGAATAATACATACACTAAGAATGACTTAATCTAAATAAATGGACCTAAAATTAACAAAATACTATAGTATAAACTCAATGTTTACTCAATTACATTTGTCCTGACGTTTGCACTTTTTTGTGTCACCAGCATACTAAGGCCAGGCTGAAATGATTTTATAGTACCAACTCTTATAGTAACTAACGAGGTCACATGATCATGGGTTAATATGGATCTGTGAGAATGTTTAATTAATTCCAGTAATGCAAGAAAGCGTATAGATCAGTAAACGAACAAATGACAGATTTTTTTGACAAGAAATTTCGCGCCACATTGCGTGGCATTGAGTTGCTTGAATTATTGTTGATATTGATTTTTAGTAAACTAAGTCGTTGTATAATTAATATACAAACACATGGAAATTTTCTGTTCGAAGTTGGTCTTTGAATTTGTCATATTGACTGCTGAGTTTATTGTGTTATTTCATTGTAGTGATGGAAATATGACAAAACAAAAACAATGTGCTTCGGAATTTTGAGAAATGCAGAAATATTGTAACTCCCATTTTTCTTCGAAAATGCCACCTTCTTCATGTACTTTGCGTTTAATTTACCCACTCAAATGTTTTATTCAAGTATTCTTTTTCTAGCTTGATGTGTAAATTCTTAATGGGGTCAAAATGTGAAAAAAATTAATTTTCCAAAACTACTTTCAGTAAATTGTTTTTTGCGTGAATAATCAATTTCACTTAAAAAATTGGAAAAATCTTTTACATTTAGATAAAAAAAACTTTAAAAAACTATTACAATTATTGTTTAGCGTTCGAGGGCCGCACTGGAAGTTCTCTGGGGCCGCGAGTTTGACATCCCTGGTCTATATTGAAGTTGTCCAAAATATTGAACAGTATTTTATCATGAATCATGATTATACCCTTCCCTGAATTTCTTCTATAGTACTACCAAAATTTATGGAACCAATTCTAACACAGGCGTAGTGAGTGACCCATAATCTACATTTCCAAAGCTGTTTTAAGTATGTCTGGCGTGTTTTGTGCCTTTTTACAAAATAGGACCCATACATAACTCTACCGGGGGTCAAATGTCTTTGCATGCCTCCATAGGTTGTTCTTCTATTGCAAACATTATGGAGTACTCTAATTGTATTTCTTGGAATCACACTGTCACTGATATTTTGCCAGACTTCTGATATCTCCCCGTCTGCTACAGTTGTCCTGTGAATAAATAATGGGAAATTGAGGTTAGACGAATAGTTGAAAGTTTTGCTTTATGTCGACTTAATTTCTTGATTGATATTCTTACTATTTTTGCTATTGCCTCTTGTGCTGCAGGAATCTCACAATGTTTATACAGGTTTGTCCACAACATTCACATCTGAAGAAAGAGAGGATATTTATTAATTTTCGTCAAGAATATTTAAAGCAGTCTATATGATTTAGAATGGAAAAGTAAATAAATCCAATATCTCATGTTAAATGTAAAAAATGTTTTACTGAATTTGGTATATAAACCAACTAATGAAGGGGTTTAGCCCAAAAATTACAGGTATTCGTGGCTTCATATACTTGAGAGATGTATAGGGTGAGGGTGAAATGTTAGGTGAACTTATTAACCCTTTGAATCAATACGCAAATCGAAGTGATTGAGCAATAGTAGTTACAGCAATCCGTATATATCCTCATTGGTTAGAAAAATCTAAATGGAGGTGCATGAACTATTTGAAACCATAAGGGGTAAGTAAATATGCAATTTCGGCAAATGGGCAACTACGTACCGTACTGAATTAATAACTTTGTAGTATTTGAAAAAGCTGGCTTTCCCACATGCACTTAACAGTGCGATGCCCGGGTGTGATATACAACAATAGTATTTATCTTACCTTTTTCCGATTTCTTTTTAACTCAACTTTCCAAAATATCATTAAAATCGACAACAACTGTCAAAGCAGGCACGAACACCATTCGTGCTATGCCTTGAAAGCAGCACACATCCGCTCGTCTCGTCAAGTATGTGCATTGGAGCGTGTTATCGAATACGATCTTCGGCCAAAAATGCCGGAGTTGCGCATCATGTTGTTTAATGTCATTGATTCAACCGACAAATAAACCGTTGTAGGCCCACTGTACATGCAACCAACGACTAACATGCAACTTAACCTAAGTTAGTCAGTATTTAATTTATAATATTACACACATCGAGCTTTTTCAAAGCAGGTACGAATAGCAACCGCCCGTAGTCTGAAACGGCGCGGTAAGGTAAGTGTCCCCTAAAAATATGTTGCTAGAAGCATCGGTCAAAGGTCATAAAAGTTGGTAAAGGATAAGGCCTTCAATGACGAACCAATAGCTCTCTAGCATACCTTAGCGAACATAGGATCTGTACCGTACTCTCTGATGTCTCAATTCACTTTAGTCTCACTGCTGCACTGGTACGTGTTTCGCTGTTAAATGCGATCACCATCTTCAGGCTCAACGATTCTGAGATTGGCGCTAGCATGATTCGAATTGCTTGTCTGCTTGTACTACCAGACTGGCTGACTGTACCGTATGTATGCTGTCGGTTCTGTAGGATTGGTCTGACGCCTGGCGCTATCTCAGAATCATCAATTGCAGAGTTGGCTGACTTTGAAAACCACGAAATTGAAAATCAAAAAAATAGATCTGTTACCGGTATCCTAAATCTGTAAATTAAGCTACTGCTGTACTGTTTTTTTTCTGGCTGTTTTTAATTTCATTCAGCCATAACTGTATTAACTTATCAGGTTACCTATTCCTGTATTCTTTATACCGGTACCGGTACCGTACCATATTTCAGTGTCCAGGTGTTAGTTTCCGGTATTTTTGTACTGACTTATTCCTGTGTATCAGTGTATACCGGTACCGGTACTGTAGCGACTGCTGCACTTAACAGTAAACTATGATTGCATGATGTCATATTTTCATACAGTCATATGTCTGTATGCCAGTATAGTAATCTATTGATGCAGACCAGCTGCAGAGCTGACTGAATACGGAATACCATAAAGTCATAGTTTTGTAGTTAGCCTATAACTTCAGAACTTATACTTGTATAGCATAAGATGCCAGAATACATGACATGAATATGTGATGAATCAATAACAGTAATGCTGTAATGGTACCAGCACTATTTTATGTACAGTCATATGCTTCTTTAATGCACGCTAACTGATTAATATCTGATTCATCTTTCACATCCCAGCTGTGAATTTCAGATTTCATTTTTAACTTATTTATATTCTACATATCATAGGCTACATTGAAACTTATATTTCAGTTTTTATTAGCGCTTTTCTAATTGTACGAATGTGCATTTGTTTTGCAGTTAGTTTCATAGTCTTTCATTCTCATCTGATAGACTAATTGTACTTAGTATTCTGTGTTTTCATTTGTTTGTAATTCCTAATCTCTGCATCTGTGTGTTGTGTAGAATCATTGCTCATTCAAGATGGCGGATTCTCAAGTGCGAGATAACAGTTCCCGGATTCGGAGGAATATGTCAAAATTGGCTTACCGGAGTAAAGAGAAAGTATGTGTGTTTTTTGATTGACTTGAATTCAAGGATGATTTAAATTAAATATAGTTTTGAACATTGTTTTAATATATTTAATACTATTATTAACTTTTGTATTCATTTTGTTAAGCATTTTGTAGTTCTATCTCGATAAGTAACTTTTCTACTGTATTTTACATGGGGCTAATTCAATTCACTTATGTCAATAAAGTATTTTTTCACTGTGTTTTAGTATTTCAATATGCCATCTGTGTTTCTTGTTGATTTGAAAAATAATCTGAAAATTGATCTGACGTGGGTTTGACAAATTCACTATAATTTCTATCACGTCTTCTTGAGACTTATTCTGGCCTTGATTTATCAATCTTGAACCACCCTTGTCCACCAATTCAAGCAATTTTTCCAGAATGTTTCACTTTGTTATTTTTTTCGGGCATGTTTATAACTGACCTTGCCCAAAGAAAAGTTCCTACCTTACAAGAAATTGCAGTTTTTAAACTTACTAATGTAATTTGATATGTAACTGTAATATGATATATATATATATATGCTTATCTGAATTGAATCAAATTAAAATTTCTTTATCATTTTAGGTGATGAGATCAATAGGACGAGCTGAAGAAACTAAAGATGAAATTCTTGACCATTATGTGATGTTAATAAACAAGCAACAGGTATGAACTGTTTGCTGTATTATTGCTGTGAGAGTATTTAGAATTCAGTATTTTGGGAATTTATGGCCTGACCATATTTTAACAATATGCTATTCTAGTGTTTATGTTGCAGCAGAACTCTCTCAATTTTGTTATAAATAAATAAAATTCAACTGCAAAAAAATTTTACAGTAAAAGTTATTACCGGTATACAAAATATTTTTTTTTGATCAGTAGCTGCCATTTAATTTCATTAAAATTTGAAAAACAGATTTATGCACTCATTTTACACCACTCTCTCTGTTTATATTTCCTGTACATGTTTGCAAAAACCTAGAATACCTTTTTCAGCAATAAGGGTATTATTGTTTATCATGCAGTAGGAAATCTTGTTTGACTCTAATAAATAACAACAGAATCATTTTTCCAAAATACCATGCCGCTCGCGATAGCAAGATCTTATTTGATGACAGTATACCAATGAATCAATTTCTAATATTTCAATTGTTTGAAAATTCCTAAAGATTTTTTTTCATTAAGTTTTGACTATTTAGCATAATTGAATGGTTTAAATAGTGACATACGGTGTCACCATGTCATTTATGATGCTGTGTTACTGATATCATAGCACCAACACACTTTTTTGAAGTAATTTATTTATTGCATAATCATTCATCTATTGGCTTGATTAAGAAATGGGGCCATCACAAGCCATCAACTCTGATTCCTGATCATATGACAAAGCTATTTGATTTGGTTTTTCAATCATAGTATTGCTTATATTATTTTAGTATAATATATTGCACCATAGAGTCATTGCAAACTGTTTTATCGCACTATTCCACCCTTGTACTATCAAATTCCTATACATCAATCATTAGCTAAGCACATTTGTACAACACACAAAATGAACTCTGTTTTATTGACTTTTCAAGTCACTAACGAGGATATGTTTATTTTTGCCTGACTTAGTTTAATTCATGCCTCTATGTGAATCGCTTCAATGTTTTTAATCTAAAATGAAATTTCAGTGCTGGATCATGTATGGCGTACATATAAACCATTCTTGACAGCTTGATTCATTATCGAATCAGCCTTAATTTTTTTCAGTTTGGGAAAGAGAATTTTCTTTCATGAAATAAATTTGTTGCTCGGATATTTTAACATCACGTAATCAACAAATTCCAAAACATGTTATTCGTGTGTAACATACATAATTATGTTAAACTACATTCTGTGTACTTTTTATGTTCTTTTAAACTTCAAATCATGATGAAAGTTGGTTGCCATATTGATAGCATACAATATTCGTCTTATATATAACTATAATATAATAAACAAGTAAATTACATAATTTATATTTATTAACATTATCACCACATAGATTATTATTTTTTTACTCCACTTTATTTTGATGTTGAAATAGGCTTCATCAATCATTGTAGTTATATTGGATGTACTCATTCATAGCGGAGGCAGTTTTATCACTTTCGGTGTTTTATTGTATTTGCATTATTGGAACTGCTAAACTGAATTTATTGGAATGGTATTTTCCTATTTACTTGGCATATATTCATGAAATTCATATTTCATTATCGCTGCATTCAACCAAACGTTTCAAACTAAAAACGTCATTTCAACCCATGAATGTGTGCTGTAGTACTTTGTATCTTTGTCATGATAAAAATTGATGCGAGTCAAAAACACATGACACTTTGTTAGATTTGTGTGTGTCTCGTTTGATTTATTCATACTTACTGGTAGTCTAATCATTTTTAAGCTGATTGAAGAAATTGAATTTTTAATAAATCTTAAACTATATTCTGATCATACAATTTCAGTTACAAATGCAAAAGTTACACAGAGATATGAAGCAGTATTTAGCAGCTCTAAGAGGTAATCTTTTTCATTTTAGAATTTTCTACTGATTTTAATGATTATACTGATCATTGATAGGATTCCTACTTTTGTTCGAAAATGATATTCACTTGTGAAGTTGTGATCAATTAGTAGTATCCACCTTTGAAATTAAGATAATTTTAAACAAGTTGCCGGCTTTTGATGTTTTAAAAAATTTATTTTAAAATTCTTAGTTGGTTTTGTCCTGCTAATAGGATACTGTGTTCCTCTGTCGATTTTGTTACATACCGGTAATATCTAACACACACAAGGATTGATTGGAAAATATCTTTAAATATGGTTCATGCATGATCACTTTGTCACTGGTTCTCAAACTTTCCACGATCCCTGGCCCCTTTTACTGAATATCACTCTGTGGCATGCTGCTTCCATATAAAAAAACTAGTTTCACTTTTAACATGTTTCCCTCAGTTATTTTTTATACGCCACATAAGTTATAGAAACTCTAAAAAATGAAAGCAAAAGAATAAATGTTTTGTAGTTAAAGAAACCAAAAAATCACAGCCAATTTCAATTACGGTAACGGTAATGTAGTCATCTTAATAAACAGTACCTAGGGAGGGACTTTGCTCGTGGCGTCCTAGAGGGACTGAGGTTACAGTCTGGGAAACTCCGCCTTAGATGTTTCCGGACTTTGAAATGCCTTTTCTAATTGCAGCGATGAGTCTTTCACAGAAAGCCTTTTATGATTCTCTCTATGAAGTTTATGATGATGATTGGGCAGGTAAAGACGTCATTGCATCTTGTTCACAGGTAATTTGATTTTCAGTCATTTTTCTAAGGAGACATTATTATAACTTCTATATATATATATACTATAATCTTATTTAATAATTTTAACTGAGCTTTTTTTATTGACAGCGGAACCAACTATTGCATGATGATATATTTGCGAGATTTCAAGCTGAAGTTACAGATACATTACAGAATCATTTGACAGAAGTTGGTGTCTTTTTTATTTGTTTCTATTTACAGTGTTTCGATCACACTAAGCATAGTTGACTTAAAATGACTGCTATTTTTTCTGTTAATAAATTTATCATACCCATGGTTAGGTGGCTTCTGACACAATCCTGAGATATTTAACCTGTTCTTCAAATAGATAGAGCATGCATAATACACCAGTATACTGGAGTCCACCATTGCACCGATGGAATATGTATCAAAACAAAAATCTTTGTGCCCGCTGCACAGTGATTATCTTATTGCTGTTTACTCTTATGAAGATGTGAATGAGTGATCGAGAGTAAACTAATGATTGTACATGGTAATTAACATTCCAGTATGACTACACCGATATATAAGTAATTACATAGTATGTTGACAGCACATCCATCAGGTGGTTTTTTTCAATCGTTCCAAATATGCCATTATTGTCTTACTTGTTTGTTATATTAGGTTTTTGAACACTTGAAATTGAAGGAGATAAAAAAAAACTGTACATGTTTAGTCGGAAAAACTTATTGTACTCTGTGTATTTTTTACATTTTTATGTGTACTGTAATGATAAAAAAAAGCTCTATATTGTTCAAGTAGGGTTAGAAAAATTATATGCCCAAGGTTTAGCAATGCATACCCATATGTTACTTACTATATTTGAGTTAGAGTTTATCATTTAGAAAGCATCATTACATTACAGTCAAATCCTATATACTGTAGTTTATGTTGATCATTCAATTGTGGATTGTTTTGATATTTTAGAGCCAGCAAAATGTTTTAATAGGCTACTGATACACTGGGAATTTGCAGTGGTCATTTTCAAGACTTATTTTATTTTTTTTTGCTTCCATGTTTTTTATAATTGTACTTATTGGGCATTTTATCACTGCTATGCTAAATTATGAAGTCCCGGTTACATTTACTTATTATTTTTTAGTACAATGACTGCAAATTACGTGTTGAAAAAAGAAGTCGAAAGTTGGTTGATTATGATGCAGCGCGCAGAACATTGCAATCATTGGAAGCATCCAGGAAACCTGACCCTACTAAATTGCAAAGGGTGAGTATGTGAATCTATACCAAAATAAAAGACTTTTTTGGAAAGATATTTGAAGCGATCGAAATACTTGCATGTGTCATATTTTATCAAGATGCGCTTTACACCTTGGTTTACGAGAACTATCTTTCCAAACTGTAGGTCGCGACTCGCGAGTTGAAGTTGGGTCGCCTGAAATCCTCTTGGATCCCCTTTTCTTGGTAAAATTTATTCTTTGAGGTATTTAATATTGAACTGTTGGTTAATTATAATTGTATTTATAGGAAGTATCGCAGCGTAAAATATTGGCAGAATCTATTTTGTTCCGCTTAGGTAAACAAGCGCAGCTATCTCATTAATGATTTATTTCTGTGAAACAGTGTTAACTCTAAACAAATTATGAGTGCGAAAGTGCTTCGCAGTCCAAAAAAAAAGTGCGAAAGTGCTTTTGCCGATTTTAACAAGTTAGGTGCCCTAGCCTTTCATATAACCCATTTAAAACGGCATAGATACTCGAAAAAGCGCTCCTCCGGTTAATATTATAAATTAGTGAGAAGCCTTTTCGTTAACGAGTTCCCTTTAAGCGAATTCATGTTTAATTAAAACAAGCCAATTCATCGGCAACGAAATGACATCTGCTAACACCTGCCGCGGACAAAACTTTCATGCAATGTATCACGGTGTCAGTTGCTTATTCGCGTAAACAGCAAAGACTTTCACATTTGTTACTCCTTCCATCTAACAGACACCAGGCCGACTGGAAACCATATTAGTTACAGGGTGGATCGTTTGTACAAATCCGGTGCAAAATAATCCCCCCCCCCCCCAAATATAAATAGCAATCAACTAATTAGGGTTAGGTGCGCTGGAAATTCAACTTTTCGATTCATCCCTAAACCTAATCTGATAATTATTAATTTGTGATTTTGAACCACTTTGAAAGTCGCCACCCTGTTTTAAAATATAGGTTAACCTACTTTCCCTCCGAAATATTATGCAGGATACTCCCCTGTTTTAGGAGATAGGTTGACCTACTTTCTTTTCAAACCTTCATTCGTCGCCTGGATGATGCCATACAAAACAAAAAAGATTTGATCGCGAGAGTTACGTGAGATGACTGCCGTTGTTTTTTAAGCAGAATGTAAAAAAATTTATAATTAATAAACGGGAGTTACGACGCCCTTTACACATCGTGTGTATTAAACTTCCCTGGTAGGTACTTTGGTAAGTACTATTATTGTTGTACCTATACACCTGTTGGAGTATTTCGGACAATTTCGAATTTAAAATAAATGAAAACCAGACATATAATAAAGACGCAAAAGTAAAATGAACATTTATTGAAAAAGTTATTATTTAAGAAAGACAACATGATCGTACAATTCCGCCAAAACCTCGATGTTCGCAAGTGAGATGATAAATAAATACTTCCCTGTATTCGATCAATTAACTTTAGCGTATCGTTGTTCTGCCAATAAACAGCCGGGTGCAAAATATTTCCGTCCTGTGATATGCTCACAAATATTCTCGATATTAATATCATACCCTCGCGTATGTACTTTCTATTAGCTCTTTAGTGATCCCTTCCATCCTTGGCCAAGTCATGTTTCGAATATGTGAACATTTTATTCGACCATACATGACCGGCGGGATGTTAAAATTGTAAACAAGAGAGAGGTAAAATCAATCGCGAATTTCGTTATAACGGCTCGTTTACGAATTGTTGCGCCTGTTATCGTCGAAAATGGTTACATTTGTTGTATTTTGAGGCATTTAAGCAATAATAATTAGGGCATGACATCATCAAAATCGTCAAGTGAGATCTTGAAATTGCAAATTCCGTAAATAAAATTGCGAATTTATCGGTAACGAATTCAGTTTTAATGACCGTCGGGTATTGTTTTGTTGAAAATTATTATTAATGTGAGAGCGCCAAAAACATACAGTCCATACCGATGCGACTGCAATTTATATGGTCGCAATTGGTGTGGCGCGTTTATTAATAGTGTAAAATAAATTAAACGAATATCAATTATAACCAAGCCTGTCAGCGTGTTTATTTTCTGTGGGCAGGAATCGTAAAATACCATCTTGAGACAAATTAACTTCTATTATGAAATCTTAATTTTCAGTTATTATCGTTATACAAATAACGTGTGGCAACTTTTTAATTTATCGTCGACCAAAAAACCGCCCCACACTCGTCCAAACGTGTGTCGAGCTTGAACGACAGGAACAGATTCATCGACGACCTTAATTAGGGAAAATATGTATTTTATTGGGAATGCAAAATAAATGTAACAAAACGCATTTTTTGTGATATAACTTGTATTTTCGGAAACAGGTTGCCGTGAAAAGTAAAATTTGATCTAAATTAATTGCAAAAATGTTTTATTTTAAATGTAACAAAACACATTTTGCGATATAACCTTGTATTTTCGAAAACGGGTATGCTGAAAAGTAAAATATGATCTAAATTAATCGCAAAAATGTTTTATTTTAAATGTAACAAAACACATTTTCGCGATATAACCTTGTATTTTCGGAAACGGGTGTCGTGAAAAGCAAAATATGATCTAAATTAATCGCAAAAATGTTTTATTTTAAATGTAACAATTCACATTTTTCGAGATACAACTGTTTTTTCGGATACCGGGTGTCATGGAGAGTAAAATGTGATCTGAATTCACCGTAAATAATGTTTCATTCCAAATGTATCATAACGCATTTTTTTGCGATATAACTTTGTATTTTCGAAAACGGGGCCTCACGAAAATTATTAATTAAATGTTTTATCTATCGTCTAACTAACCTCTGGAACACATCATTTTCGGGGAGAACTCTAGCCCGCGAAACGTCATTTAATTTAAAATAGAGAATGTTTCACGCATTTCAAAACGGAAAATCACCAGTAAGTGGACAGGGATTCAACCCTTCGGATTCAGTATTTTATATCCCCGTGTCAGAACTTTCTGAAGAATGGAACAAAGAGCCCGTCAAACCGCCACGGAAGAAGGGGAGTATTTTTTGCACTAATAATTAGGGCGTGACGATATCAAAATCGTCAAGAAACTGGTGAATTTGCAAATTCCATAAATAAAATTGTGAATTGCTCGGTAACATTTTAGCTATAATTATCGCCAGGGTATTGTTTTGTTGAAAACACGTTGAAACTTGAGGGAATTAGTTACAATTAGAGCCTGACCTCTATTTTTATCACCATAGAAATACATGAGAAAGTTAATTATCGTCTTACTCTTAATAAATATCTGCATCACGGTATGGACAATAATATTACCATTCGCATAAAATTGGGATGGTAAATTTACAAATCTTGATAGGTAATTTTAAAGCCAGCGCAAATGTTAATTTGAGTCCTCAATGTCTTCAACAGCTGTTGCCGATGTGAATGAACGGGTAAACCCGAAATATAAAACTTCGATGTCCGCCGACCCACAAGAATTCATATTTGTAAAAAAGACAGGGCGGGAATATAGATTACCCAAAACCTGGATATCGCCGCCAAAACGATCGGTGTCGAGAACAATTAGCGATTACAACGGAATTAACCAGTAAAAAGGCTTTGTTGCCGATTTTTTAATGTTTCCACCTCGTTTATTCGGTACTCCTTAAAAATATTCGATTTAAAAATATATTGAATTATGCCCACCCCTCCTCGCATATCAATGAGAAATAGTTGTGTAAATATCGCAAAATTACGGAAAATGCCACCTCCTTTCAACATTGTGATTACAATAAAATGGCACTTAATGTGAATTTGTTGATTTTGCAAATCTGTGACATGCTGCTAAAAGTTTCGTCTGATTTGAAAATCGTGCAGTTGGTCACAATTCATCCAAAGCGACTATAACACCTTACTAACACTTTTTATAGTCATTTTGAATTCATCGATATCATTGATAGTCACATGACCACTCTCGTTCAAAGAAACGCCCGGGAGCGTTTTTTTGCGGGAGAAGCGGAATCCCTGTGCTTGTATAATAGTCATATTATAAACAAGAATTTTGCCGTTAATGCAAAAGCTTTATCTCCTATGTCTGCATCTCATAGGTTAGAATTCCGGTAAATATCGTTATGATATGCAGAATTGAGTTACAAAAGTACCAGTATGTTACTTATTTGTCAACTTAATACTCGAAAATATTTGTTAACTTTGAATTTTTATTAGATTCAAAATCGGAAAAAAGTGCTATTTCTCTTCAAAATCGGAAAAAAGTGCTATTTCGCAGTCCCTAAAAAAAGTTGCGAAAGTGCTTCGCAATTTTCGCAAAAAACTGCGCTAATAGTGAACACTGCTGTGAAATAATTGTTATTTAAAAAGAACTGTTTGGTATTAGAATATTTCACTGCCATAGTAGTACTATATGTAGATTAAAATGTATGCATACATGTCGTATTTGAGATTAGCTTCGGGTTGCATATTTTTACAAAATTTATTTAAAAAAAAAATGAATTGAGTTTGGGAACGACCGCTGCAGAAGAAGGCATACATTGGGAGGGAGGTTTAAGTTTTGGGAGGACTAGGATAGCTTGTGTAATGTGTTGGCACTTCGTGTTCAATTTTCCAAACCTCGAATAAGATATGGTGCTTAATGATAAAGATTTGAGGATGAATATATAAAAAGTACTTTCAATTTTTCTTATTTTTAGGCACAAGAGCATGTCAGAATCACTAAAGAAAGATACGAAGAGTTGAATAGTCAATTGCATGAACAATTACCAACGTTATATGATTCAAGGCTTCCCGTTTGTACCAACACATTTTCAAGTATTTGTGAAAGTGAAAAGGTTTTTTCAAACGAGATTGCAGAGGTTTGTTGTTTGAATGTCCTCTTCCAAAATTAAAATAAATTATTTTATTAAATGGCCACATATCATACAGAGTTCCAAAAAATGAATATGGTTTTTACTGACGTATAATTCATGAGATTTCTGTGATTTTTCACACAGTATATTTTGCTCTATGAATTTTTTGGAACTCTCCAGAAGTATATGTACCAATATGGAGGTAACTAATTTTGTTCGCATACTTTACATCAAGTTGTGTATGGGACCTAAGCCTTTGGGCAGGGGTTATGTTCACTTGGCTAAGACAGTCCTCGAACTTATAATAGAACTAAAATAAGGAAAACCGGAATAAAATTATGGCCCAACCCTAACCTGGTACACATACCACGGGAGTACCCTTGCAATAGCTTTAATTAAAGCAATATCTCATCGTACTCACCATCCCTTATCGTTACCAAACCTAACCAGATTTTTGGTTCGTTGTGCTCTTCTGATGATAAGAGGTTAAACTCTGCTTTGTTTTGCAAGTCCCATGACTTGATTAATCTTTCAAAGTTTGCTTGATATAATAAGTTATTCCGATTTTTATTTTCAGATGCGAGACAAACTAAATAACGTTCTATTGAGTCTCAAATCAGCATTTGATGGCGGTCAATATCACATTCAAAGAATGAGACCTCCAATGTGAGTCAAAGAAATTACTACTGATATTTTATACCAGTTATTTCCAGTCAATTCCACTTTGAATGACAATCAAAATTATGATAATGTGAAGAAACTACCGTCTTTTATTAGTGAAATTTAGTGAACATATTTAAAGCTAAAAGATATATTTCTGATGAAAAATTATTTAATATACGCTACTAGTCTGAACAAGATATCCTGATTAAACTGACGATTGTCTATTAAAGAAATTGTAGGCGAATGATCACTGGCACTATGTCATTATTACTTCGATTTTGTATATTTGGATATTAATTGAATCCTTGCATTGGTAGTAAACCATAATGATTTTTTCTAGGGATAATGGTCGAGTCGCAGCAACAACCAGCAGTAGTGAAAGTGCACAAGGAACTAATAATAGTTCTCCTGCTAAAATTATGACATCATCGACTGTGTCATCACAATCACCCACCAAATCAAACAAAGAAGGATCAATACCACCAAGGTCTCCAAATGATGCATCAAAATCTCCAGGCAGTGATCCCAGGTATGATAATTATAATTTAAATCCACACATAATTTGTATCCCTTGTATTCTTCAATTGTTTAGTAGTCAAAGATTCTATGTCTTGTGCCTGTGAGACTTGTCCTTGCTTCAATACTTCTGTGTTAATGGATCTGTATGCTCATGAAGTCATAATGCATTTTTTTGCGCTTATTATGGTATTTCATCTCCATTTTTAATAACAAGGCTTGTCTACAAACAGCCATTGATTTATATTGAGATACTATGCATTGGAAGAAACAGAGGCGTATATTTCATATAATATATTAAGCTAGGGGATAATTAAATGACTAGGACGAACACTAGGCTTGTGATCAACCTAGTTAGATCAGCCTGACACTCTTACCCTGAGTTGGCAAACCAAGGCCCGTCGACCAAATTTGGTCTGTTCGGTGATTTAACCCGCCTGATGCTGCCACAATCAAACTAAAACCAAATTTTGATGTTTTGTCTAAAAATATTCAAGGAATTTGTTGAGATTGTGATTAAGTTTAGTTTTGGCATGGGGCTTATTATTTTTCATTTATGCTTTTGTAACACTGTAAATATTGTTCATAAAACGAAGCTTTTTGAGTCACACTTAGGCTACATGGCCCACCAGTCTAGGTGGGCAACATTTTTGGCCCCTGGATCCAAAACCTTGCTCACCCCTGTTCTAACCACAAGGTCATCCTACCTAGGATATAGCAATTCATATTTATCACAGGGAGAGATAAACTGAAAAGAGTTACTCTTGGTAGTTTGCCTAGTAGTTTGCCAACAAGAATTACTTATATTAGCATATATTTTATATTGCCCCTGGTCGCGCACAAAAACAGAATTAATTAAATATGCAAAGATTATGAAACTTTGTATCCTTCTTGTAAATCAATGTTAATCTTATTCTAGCACTCATGAATATGTCAATTTACAAGTTGGTTCAATCCCTGATGTGGTTCGTCCAGTAACAGAAGAAGATGAAAATACTTCTCCAAGTAAAGGGAGCAATGATGGTGACAAAAATAACGCAAGAACATTACCGGTATGTACAATGTGTAGTAAGACTAGCCTACATTTATCATTATAGTATGTTTGGTATTCTATAGATCTCATATGTGAATAGTTTTAATATTCGAAGTCGAATATTTTAGATAGCTTCATTTTGTGGTGAAACCATAATATATTCCAAATTTTACATACTCTGTTCTCTGGAAGTGGTATAATTTTATGAAAAAGAAAAAACAGATTATTTTTTGAGTTTTTGGGACAATTTTGCATAATAGTGTTTGTTTTGATTTTCGTTTTGACCTTGCCATCCAGCCTTCTGTAGGGATAAAACAAAGTCCATACATTGAAGCATTTGTACAAATTGCATTTTGAGTAAGCTTAGTACTTACTGTATTTGATATTCACTGTAGCTTAAAAATTTTCTACTCACTAGTCTTACCATCACTCAATGTAAAGTAGTGCGAATCAATGCCTGGATCTAAAATTACTACATTTCTGCTTGGCATGTAGAATTCTACAGCTACTTATTAGTATAATAGTTGAAACTTTTAGTATGAACACCTTATACTAAGAATAAATCAAATAATACAATTTCTCTGGCACAAGAAACCGAAGGATGAGTTGTATTTATCTCCGACTGTAAACAAAAATCAAGAAGATATCAGCTATATTATGGCGTCCGATCCTTCATTATCTGCTCGAAAGTCGGATCATCGACCTAAAATACCGAAGCCTAAACCATCACCCAGGTCGCAAGTGTTTCGTATCCCTTCTGATACCAAAGACACTCGTCCACCCATACCGAAACCCCTGCCGAGGACACTGAGTGCTCCGACGACAGAGCGCCCTCTACATTTGAAGAAAAATAATACATCGATACAAGGAAATTGGAGATCACATAAAAATCAATACACAGATGTTCATCTTAGATCTCATAATCGTGACGCCGTGAAACAAAGTACATCCTCTCTTCGAGAACAACGTCCTGAGGTTTGTTGTGCCTCTGCACGTCGAGTCTTCATCATGTTATTTACAACGAACTTCATTTGCCGTTTTTTTACTGATGGTTTCATTCTTTTCTAATCTTCTATCGGCATTTACCGTTCTTTGGACTTGTCTGACTTTTCTACTTCATTTCTATTTCAACAGTCTTACTAACTGACTTGCAAAATGACACTGCTTATGTACTAAGTAGATACTTCAACTATCCTAATCAGAAAGCATGGGCATTATTAAATGTAGTGTATCATGCAAAGACCCACAATCGTAGATTAGATTATTTTAGCACTAGTGCAGTACCATTTATTTTTTTCTTTGTTCTAGTTATCTAATACACGGCCACATAGCCAATTACATTTGTACCATGTATCAGTATTGTGTTGTCATTTTGTATGTTGTATCTCTCATTGCAGCTTGTAAAAGTTACAGCAAGATTTCCAGTGCGAACTGACTTATGATGGCCATAACCGTCATATCATTACCAGTTACTATCTAGTCATTTACTGAAAATTTTAATCTTCATTTTATGTATGACGAACGAATAAATTCTTTCTCTAGGATCTGCAATTCTAATACCCAGAATGCTGTGCCATTTCAAGATTGATTACATACAATTTTCACTGTATGATTTTCATATGTCGAAAAACGCCTCTAAAAGCACGTTTCAGAATCCACTTTTGATTTTTTTTATGTGGGTTACAGAAGCCACGTCCGGTATCTATGTATGTACCTGCAGCATCCAGTGAGTTAAAAGTAGCAGACGATGAAAAAACAAAGTCTAAGGATGATGGAAGTGGAAACGCAGACGCTAAAAAGCTGGACAGACAGTCGGCAAGCAAATCGGTGATAGTTCGATCTCCTTCTTCCTCGGACAAAGATAAGAATACAAATGCGGAAGTGTCACCCAAACCTCACAAAGGATTTCTTGGTTTTTTGGGACTTAAAAGACAGTCAAAAAAAGCTGCTTCATCTAAGCTTTCCACTCCAGCTAAAAAGGACGCAGATGTAGCAATGGAGGATGTGAAACCCGGAGAGAAATCCACACCGAGTGTGGTTCCTGCAGTGGCAGATGCTGCATCCATAGCTAGCTCGAATGAAGCCACTAAAAATGACTCACAGGACAGTTCTACTACAAAAGAAGCAGAGGGTCCACCATCTGAGAAGTCCAAACACCTTGAATTTGAAAAAGTCACTTCTGAAGTACATCAGCAAGCTCCGCTGCAGGAAAACGATGATGAAAACATACATATAACTGGAGTTGATAATCCAAAAAATATTGCTTTTGAAGAGATAAATAAAAGCAGCGAAGAATTACAATTGAATAAAAATGATTTTGCTGAAAGTACACCACAAGAAAACTTCTCTCCCAAAGTCCAAAAACAGGTTGGCGTTGGTGGCCCATCAGCTATTGCTGGAGATTCTGACAATGATTCGGTTGGCAATTACGAAGACATGGATTCTGCTTTCGCTCATTATGGAGCTGAAAGTGGTTTACCCGCAAGTCATCTTCAAACAGAACAAGTTTGTGATAAAACTAGCACAGAAGGTCAGACTAATGAAATAATAGATGAAAAGCGGCAACAACATTCGAATGAACATGATCTGGGCGAAACGCAAAATGCGGTCGAAGTAAATGCAGAGATCAGAAGACTTTCTTTTGAAAATGAAGCTGTTTATTCTGTAGCTGTAGATATGGGACCTGGTATTCCGTCTTCAGAAACACCAACTGCGTCTTCCGAAGTACCAGACACTCAAGTTAAACTAGAACCACCAAGTTTTTTTCCTGATGCTTTTGGGGAAGCTGCTGAGCATGGTACAACACCAGTTTCACTTGACGAAGCTTTCTCAGCACCTTCACCAATCGATAATAACGTAAACCAACCGGGAGGTTTTACAGAACAACCTGGTTTTGGGAAAGATTTGTTTGGATCTGAGCCTTTTGAATGTGTCATAGATGATACCCAACAGACGCATAGCTCTGATAGTAATGCTGAAAAAGATGATCCGTTTCCTGTTTTAGGAAGTCCATCTCCATTTGATGACGAAGGAAAAACAAATCATGAAGATTTTTTTGGAATGGATGATACATTCGAGGACCCCAAAAAGAAGACTGCTGATACACATCTGTATGAAAATATTGAATATACTCAAGGTCAAAAACCAGAGATTCAAGGTCAACAACCAGAAACTCAAGGTCAAAATCAAGAAAGTCAATTTCATAAGCTAGAAACTCAAGGACAAAAGCTAGAAACTCAAGGTCAAAAGCTAGAAATTCAAGGTCAAAATCAAGAAACTCAAGGTCAAAAACAAGAAGCAGAAAATGTGATTAATGTTGATGTTTCTGCAACAATCAATTTTGAAAAAACTCAAACGAATATAATCAAAGAAGAGAAAGTAACAGAAACTTCTCAAAACCAACAGCAATCTGCAACAATATCACCGGCTACAAATGACTCTCAAACTCCTCAAACAGATATTGAACCAGTAGAGCAAGTGAATCAAGAGACTGTCAGCGAAAAACAATCTGCTTCTGGGAATGATGGTTATGTAGAAATGAACTTCAAATCAAATGTGGCCACAAGTAGTAATTATGAAAACGTGAGTTTTCCTCTAGAAAATGAATCTTTTATTCGTCCGCTCGAAGTAAATCTTTCAGATGATGATGATGAGATTGAAAATGACAAATCACAAAATCAACAAATCGAGGAACTTGACTTGGACTTATTGAAGGATGACATTCCGAAGGACGCCATATCATCCGGGCATAATGAAAAAGCTGGTGAAATGAATGAGGTATTGCAGTGTTCAAAGTACTTGCATTGTCCTTTAATTCCGATTGATTGTCCTTTCCACTAATTACACCATTGTAATTTGGAAGATACGATGTGAGATTTTCATCCGCAGAATTGTTAAGCTTTGATCATGTAATTGCTATTTAATCTGTTTTAGACTTTGGTGAAAATGAGTTTCAATCTGAGTATATTATAATTTTATTGTTTGATTGAGATTTGTTATCTTTTTGGTTTTGTACAATGTCATCAAGATTTCAAATTCTATATCAATTATTTTCAATATTTGTTGTTGTAATTGGTATATATCGTTTTTTGTGTCAGTATTATGTGTAATTACTGTAATTTTGTGTACTGGTGAATTGAATAATAAATTATTAATATTTGATAAATCTTATTTTGATGAAAATCTTTAGTTTGATTATTTTTTTCGAGGTGACATTTTTTAAAATTAATTTAGCAATATAATAATTCGATCTACTTCATTTGATCACTACGTCTTAATAGTCCGTAATTATTTTATTATAGAGTCTCATTTTCTATGAGTCCTCTACGCTTTTACTCTGAATAAAGCTCTGTTCCAGAATCCGCTGACTATGTATGACACTGCCATGAATGGAACTGGAATTTTCCAGTTTGGCGCCGCTTGGCCAATTTATTACATCCTGTAGAAGTTCGGAAGCCCAAATCGTTGACGCATGATGCCGACATGTTTATTCCAACTTATTATATTTTAAAACAAATTATTTATCAAATTGTACCTGCTATTTGTTAATATAAATCTAGTTGGTGAAAGCCAACCAATTGGTCAAAATTAGAATGGCCGTTTTAAATATTCTGGGACATCCGATGATATAAAAAACAAACAAATCGAATATTGTGAATGCTATTCTTAATTACCCCAATTTTAATTTCACAGATAATTTAGAATAGTTATACATGAAAATTACCGTAATTCTTAGAAATTGAAGTTTATTAGTTCGATAAAAATGCCTCTAATTTCCAAAAGCTCTAGAAAACAAAACTAACTCATTGGATATGCATTGACTTTTATTTGTTATTTGTTGACTTGAAATTACTTTTAATTTTGATCATACCTGAACATAACGTCAACAATCTAATTGTTTTTGCTTAATTACTATAATGTTTTGCTGACATTTTATTCTGTCTCCTTGTAATTAATCATAACAATAGCCATTCTCTAACATTTCGAATATATGTATTCACGAAATAATGAACCTGACTACTTCTACTATTTTTACATTCAAATAATCTATTCATGATTAATTGGAATTTTGAGATACTAAGCATGTAATTAATTAACTTACAATCAAAATTAATTATAATTTCACCATTCATACTTCTTAATTTATCACTGTAAATCATTCGGTGTTTATTTATTACCTGCTGTTTATGAGTTTTCATATTATCAGTCAGATTTTGTCGATATTTACATTAAGAATTCGTCATGTATGATTCACTTATAAATTCAGCCGATAGGATGAATTTATATGTGGATCATACATGACGGATTCTTATTAAAAGTAAATGTTGACAAAATCTAACGTATTTATATGTAGATCATATATGACCTATTATTATATATTCACAACCTTTTCCAGTTTCCCATGCCTGATACTCAACTTCCATCACATTCTCCCACTGCAAACGGAGGAGATAATGTCGTAGCTCAACCAATATATGAGGAACCACCTGATGTAGAGGATTTGCCTTCATATAATAAGCCAAATAGTAAGTTTTCGAAGATGTTTGTCTTCTCGAATGATTTCACATGTAAAAATACAGAAAATTGAACATCTAGTCCTCTAGTTCAATGTTTCCCAAACTTTTTGGGCAGCGAGCCCCCGGTTTTAGAGTCCCATTTTTTACGGACCCCAATTCTATGCCGTATCAATTCCTGTACCTAACCGACGAGGAAGGATAATGTTTTATTTGAATCACAACAACACAAATAATAATAAATTGTTGGATGAGATATTTTTTGACTGCACAATTTACCATTTGTCGTAGCAATTTGTGACATGCATACTCGTAGGTTCGACTCTACGACAAGTCTCTCTGTATTTTGTCATCAAATTCGTAATGGCTGAAAATGCTGCCTCACACATGTAGCTCTTTCTAATTGCCCTTTCTGATAGCAATGGACATTTGTCTGCATCGCTCCACCACAGATGCAATGGCTTGAAATCAATCATTGAAGATTGATCAGACTCTTTTCATATCGTCACAGACCCCCTGTGCAGTGATCACAGACCGCGAACACCAGTTTGGGAAACCCTGTTGTAGTTTATATAACTGCTGCAAATATCTGAGTTTTTGGTATACTCGTATACTGACATACAACTTACCACCTCACCCAAGAATTGTTAGGCAATGCCGAACCAGAAATAATCCAGTCTTTCCAAAAATAACTGCTCCCTACATATCAATGGTTTATTGTACAGGGCATTGGTCGAAAGGTGGTAAGGGCCTTGCATAAAAAATAAGAGTTGGTCATATGTTGAGGCAATTTTAATCGGCTAACCATTGTATCAGATTAGTTAAGCATTATCTATTCTAAACACTTCATGACTTCCAATTCTAAATAGTTACACAATAAGAAACAGGATGTAATGGTAAAACTATGAAATAAAATATTTTTTAGTGAATGAGAGACCACCTGAGCCTGTTCCAAAATCACCAACCAAATCTGTAGATAGTCATCGATATCTTGATTTGCCACCAAACTATTTGTTCTCGGTAAGTCTTAATTGTTAGATTACATGTATTCATATCGATTATATTACCAATGTTGTGGAGTCTGGAAAAACTTCAAGCAGTCTAAAAAACGACTCATGATTAATGAATTTGGTTAAATTGTTGGTTAAATTTTGACACCTACAGTATGAAGGATGTATTGACTGCAACACCAGCTCCAAACTTGAATAAAGCAAATTTTGACAATAGAAGCTATACGAATTGTAGACTTCTCACTCATACTCCAATATCGATAAATCATGCCAACCAAATTCCAAACCTATGGTTATTACCATTACATACCGATAATACTAAAGTAAGGAAACTTGCACAGATTTGCCTATTTTCTAAGTGCATACTTGCCATTAATGGCTTATTCAGTTAGAGTGGGACTGTGACTTTTTATATATATACCATAATTGTTTCTAACAAAATAACTGTCTGATTTTATATTCAGGTTCAAGCTTTATATCAGTATAAAAGTACAGATGAAGATGAATTAGGTTTTGATAAAGGAGACATAATACATATCATACAACACCCTGATCCTGAAGAACAGGTCTGTATGTAAAGGAGCAAGCAAGATGCCTCATTTAGATTTCAGGGATTGAATCACTAAATGCATTTTTTTTATTTCACACTCATGCTGTGTACAAGGCTCTGTTGAAGCAACCAACTGACTGTGAAGAACTACCATTTTTTATAATTGATGATGAACTACTTTTTTATGAAATTGCTTTTATAGGAATTTCATCAATATTTTTTTACACTTTCATTAAAATTAATAAATGGAGGGAAATTGTTATATTGTAAATATGGCAGCTCAATAGCCCTGTATGACATGGGGAATGAAGTCGAAGACTGATGATTAGACCAAACTATGCAGGTGTTTACACACAGGTTAAAGAGAAATATGGTTCAAACACCCATGCCTTTCACTTCACCCAAGGCATAATAAATTTGGGAGGGAAGGCAATTCCAAACCACAAATATTCTGAGCCTCTCAAGAATACGAGCTATTTTGGTATCACTGGCTCATTAGTTGCTTCTGCATAGTCTTTCAGATTGGATGTTTGAAAACTAATACGAAAAGAAAACAACTCTGGTTTTTTATTATTTTACCAGTATTTGTTTCAAACATAGTAAGTTAATAATTATTTTTGGAAATAAACACATGAATAACATATTTTTAGACACTTAGACAGTGATGACTAACAATATCTTTTATATTACAGGATGACGGATGGCAAATGGGAATCCGTCAAAAAGATTGGGAGCAAAAATCTGACTTAGTATCATGTATGGGTGTATTTCCTGAAAACTTCACCAAGAGAATTCAACTCTGATTGAAAGCAATCTTGCTCATCATATATGTTTATATCAACCTGTGATAGAAGTCATTGATTTGAACTAGTTCGAGAATTCACTTCTCGAAAAACTGATTGTTCCATAATGGAAATATTATCAAGAAATTATCAAATCATAGTTTATTACCCAATTTATCTATAACCATGCAAGGTTATGTATAAATTATGTCATGGTCCTATATATATAGATAGATATACATATATCCTATTGTGAAGCAGCATAATATTGTTAGTATAATATTATTATTTTTTGTCTTGCCAAAGATTGATGAAAATGTATTCATTTTGTTTCTTGATTTTTCAAATGAAATTAATATAGTTTTGTAATTTAAGCATCTGATAATACATATGTTTATATTCTATCTAGTGCAGGTTAAATATAAGTACAGTAATGATAAAATTTCAGATCCAGATTCCTATTTGTTTTATTACCCTTTTAGACTTGATTTTCTGACACCAATAGTACTTGGTTTCAAATACCTCACGACCGATTATTGTTTGCAAGATTCAACTTACCTTTTCAAAATGGCTATGTGTTTGTGTTGACTAACTTTGGCTATTGGTATGGATTTTAAAAAATACAGTTCAATTATGATTTGCTGGATAAACATTTTTGTTCACCGTAGCCAGAAGTATACAAAATGGATTGAATATGGAATTGATTCGAAAATATTTATATTTGGCAGTTTGATTTTTAAGTATGAGAGTATGTTTAAAATTTCAGCTACTGAGCTTTCATAGTATGATCAAACACTTCCATTTATTTCTGAAAACTATAAAAAATAGAAAAGAAACTGAGTGTCTTTCAACTGTCTTACGTTTCCAAACAAACTCATTGAATATATACCAGTGGTTTCCAACCTTTTATGGCTCGTTGCCCCCTTTCGGATGGTTTTAGCACCTTTGTTTATCATTCCAACGGTATTTCAACAAAGTAAAAACAACCTGTGAAATTACCTTATCAAGCTATGAAACTAGGAAAATGGCGGGCCCATAATTGTGGCCCCCCTCAAACTGCTCTGTGGCCCTCTTGGGGGATGGATCATGGGCCCCTAATCGGGTACCTTTGATATATACTTTGACACAAAACATAGATGATGGATGTATAGTTGGTTCTGCAGAAATCCAATTGAAAGAAATCAACGATCACCTAATATATTCTCAATTTCAAATAATACATTCGTTTAGTTTTGGATGTCTATGATTTGGTACCAA